GGCCTATGCTGTGCATTTCGGACATATGCTCCGCCAATTGAACTTTGGGCAGAAAAAATTCAGTTGAACTTTAGGAACACTCCTACAAAGAATGTATGAAAAATAGAAATGACAATTTCCAAATTATTTTTAAAGCCGGTCGCCTACGAATCTTTCTATATGAACTCCCAAAAACGTATTAAAATGCCAGTGCTCGAGAATGGATCTCATTCTTCTATTTGCAAAATAAAATGAAGAGTCTTAAAAACAAATTTTTGATGTTTGACTTTAGCCATGAACCATTTTTTGGGCGTGTAAGAACAGAAAAGAAATGTTTTTGATATGTGCGATATTTTATTTATATTAAACTTTTAAGGCTACTTTCTATAAAAAATTATCTGACTGATTTCGATTGGGCTGGATGTTACCTGAGGGGGAAGAGCAGTTGGAAGTGGCTGTTGCCTTTTGATTGGTGGATTTAATCTAAGTAATTTGGGAAATAATTACTAAAATTATTGTCAATTACTGCAATTGCGATTGTGGCCTCTTTCCATCGGGGACATCAAAAACACCAAACCCTAAATAGGATTCCGTGTAGACTTCTTTTTTTAATTTTATTATCTTTATGTTATATTATTATTTTATATTTCTTATAAAAATATATATAAATTTTAAAAAATCAGTCAGGGAAACAACAACTAAACAGATGTTTAAGATGTGATATATGAAATCAACACGTGCTTCGCTTAGTTTTCAAATCAAAATTATACAAAATGTGGAAATAAATGTTTTCTCTACTAGTAGCATAATAATATAATATCAAATATGTATGAATATATGTATAGGAAGAGCATGCACATTGATGTTCCTTTCGAGTGTAAGGTATGAAAAGCGAAAACAGGGCTTTTCTAAGCAATTCCCTATTTATGAATTTACTTCTTAAGTTGTTGTCTTCGCTTTGCTTTGGTGAAAAATAAAAGCATTTGTTGCTGGACGAAAAATTTAGAAAGAGGTGCCAGAGTTTATTTATTTTTTATCAAAGATGGGGGCGGTATATGCAAGTGAACTTCCTCTCTTTCTTTTTCAATTGATTAAAAACGTTTTTTGCTGACCAGGCATGGACTTTGAGTTATACTTGTATGGCGTGTGTGTGAATATATGTGTGTGTGCATGACTCATTTGCAATTAAACGACAAAAGCGAGAGAGAGCAAAGGAGAAAGAGAGAATGAATTTTAAGTGCCGCAAAAATGCCAGCATAAAAATAAAGCAGTCACTGTAAAAAAGGCAGAAGAAAAAGAAGCAGAAGACGACAGAAGCAAGAAGAGGAAAACCTACAAAAGCAGCGACCACAAAGGCAAAGATACAAAAATCCATACCCACATACATTTATAAAACTACACCACAAACTCGCTCAGTTGCTTGCTCGCACATATGTATGCACACACATACATATATATGAATATATATACGTCGAAGTCGACGTCGACTGTAGCAGAGGCAGCGACTGATGTTTACACAACGTGTGGTATATTTGCAAGATACTCGTCGTACAACAAGAAAAACAGCAGCAAATGCGGCTTATACTTATTCCCCTTTTTTTGTCTCTAATTGAAAACAAGCAGAGAGTTTGTTTATGTGTGTGTAGAAAAAACAAGAAAAACAAGCACAGCGAGCGTCTACAGCTGGCTCTGGCGTATTATTGTATCTGTTAGATGCGAAATTGCAAACCCCACCAACAGGCAACGTTGCCGAACTTCAACGTATTGCTTTTTCTTCTCCCTGGTTTTTTTTTTTGTTTTTGCAGCTTTGTAGCCGAGTAGTCATAGTTTGAGCGCACGGTGTGTATCTGTGTCTTTGCGGAGCAGCGTTCTCTCGCCGTAGGATGAAAATTGCTGCAACAATGTCGCTTAATTTTCATGCGACCAGCAGTAGTATTATGTATGCACCTGATCAGGCCTTTATGATAGGCCCCTGAAAGACGAGAAACCGGTTTACAGCGTCACCCAGCCCCATCATCATCACCATCATTAAACATAATCCCAATCCAAGTCCAGGTCCCAACTGGTTATCAGTAAACAGAAACACAAACAGGTAACAAAACACCAAAACCCAGCCGAACTGAACCCGAGCCGTCATCATCATCCTTCTCCTCTTTCTTTTCTCAACATCGTCTGGGTATATTCACAGATGCGACAAGAAGTTTGGCCATGCCACGTCGGTACTAGCCCAGCAATTTCTGGAATTTAATTACTCTAAGGAAACTTAATTTAATACAATATTTCTTTAAAACTTCCAAGTGATTTTGGTATGAATGATGATGATGGTATAATGTTATTTATGAAACTGATTATAGATGATAATAAAAAAGTAGAAGTTCTGAGCATCATTTTCTTGTAGTTACAAGGCTTTTACGAATTTGAAGATTCTTCTTAAACCTAGCCATATTTTCTAAGCCCATTCAACAGCTCTTTGGGGATAATGATCGATTCCTGCTGCGCTTTCTTTGTGCTGTTTCTGTGCCTATTCGTTGTACTTCACAAAGACAGGGCCAAAACAACTCACACAATCGCCCCTTAATGATAATCTTTTGTGTCTGTCCGGTTCTTTAGCACCTTTTGTCAATGTGAAGTGCGGCAACAGTGCGTGCAGAAAATACGTAGATCCGGAGATTCTTCTCCTCTCTGAGTCCAGCTCATGCGTAAAATTGTTTAAGAATTTTCTAATTTCCCATATAAGCTAATTTATTGCATCGCCCCAGACAAACCCCCACTCCTACCTTATTTTCCCGCACACTTAGTCACGTTTCCCTGTGATATATCAATCCTCCTATTGCATAGCACTTGTTTTTGCGCGATTTTTGGTATTGTTTTTCAGTATTACGACACTGCTAAAAAATGAAATGTGCATTGCCAGGCACAAAAAGTGCAAAACAATAGCAACGGAACAGTGGAATGTCTGTCTATATGAAAATACATATATAATTGCATAACTGTCATGGGCCGCCACAATATTACGCCCAACCCCCTTGCGAACCTATTTCTATTGCTTGGCGTTCCAAAGCGTAGTGCATAAGTACACACATGCAACTTAATAATACAACTGAAGAAAGTGTAAGTTCGCCAATATATACAAATTTTGCACCCGCGCGGATCTTATCAATCCAGCAACATCGTGCACAAAAATACACAACTACCCATCGAAAATAACAATAACAATAACGCCGCGCAAGTGTTTATATTTTTGTTTCTGTTCTTGCTATCAAACGCAGAATTGGTTGTTTTAGATGAGTAACCGGAGACCATCGTCGCAGACCCCTGGAGAATAAATAAACAACAAAACCACGCCATAAGCCATGACTAAATATATGAATAATAATTATTAAGTACAAATTTACAATGGCATGGTATTTGATATTCTGCTCTATATTTTCTGGAGAATTCCGACCCTTTTTATATATTTTATATTTTTTTCTGAGAACACGAAGCTGTCTGGTTTCTACTTTCTGTAGGGCGCCCGATTTAGTTTTGCGCTTTATCTAATCTACATTTTGGGGTTTAGGAGAGGAAGAGCCTCAATGCCAAACAGAAAAAATAGCTGGCAACAAAAAATATCATTCTCATGTAGCTGTTGAACACAAACAACATTGAAAACCTAATTAACAAGAGCAACAAATATAAATGTAACATGACATTGAAACGAGTCAAAAGCACAGAAAAAACTACATACACATGCACAGTATTCTCGTCTCTATAAAACGTGAAATATATCATTATTATTGTTGGTTTTGCTGCCTTGCCATCTCGTGTTAAATTCAATTTAATAAAGTGATCCAAGCTGACGATGCTGGGGCTTGGTAGGATGCTCCACGGATCAGGAAAAGAGCTGGACGAGCACGAACACTGGAATAGCTTTTAGAGTGGAAAAAACATTTGGTTACACAACTTGAATTTGCACTACAAATGCAAATATAACAAGAGGAAACGCTACAGTCTAGTGCCGCGACTATAAGATACCCGTTACTGTTTTACAGCGATTTTAGTTTTTCGCAATTTGTGGGCGTTAGAGTGGGCGTGGCAGGATGCTGTAATAAACTGCGTAGGGACCTCAAGAATCTTCATGTTTAATCTCTTCGTATCTCTTATAGTTCCTGAGATCTCAGCGTTCATACGGACAGACAGACGGACATGGCTCATTCGTATCATTCGCTATTCACTGATCAAGAATATATATACTTTATAGGGTCGGAAACGCTTCCTTCTACCTGTTACATACTTTTCAATGAATCTAGTATACCCTTTTACTCTACGAGTAACGGGTATAATAACACAAACATAAAAATATAATCTCGGATCCGTTTCAGTATTTGTCAGATACACAATATGAAAAACTTACAAATTCTTTTGCGGACAAGGCTATATATTAGCTTCTATATCTCACGGACTGCCAGGGTTATGGGGCTTTGAAGAATGGAAGTTTGAATTGTATCCCTATAAGAAGTCAGCTGATAAGGATACTTAAGTATCAGAACTTGATTTTAAGAAGGGCCTCAATCCACGTAATAGGCTGATTTCTCTCGTTTCTCATTATAAAACTTATCGTCTATTAGTCATTCAAATTAAATTAAATGATATGAAGACCAATGTAATGCTGCTTTATAACAAAGTGCATACTTTAGTTTCAACCAAGGAATGTTCTTTATGCTATACATGATATATACTATTACTTATACTTTTGGAATCTCTAGTTCAGAGAACTTAGATAAAATATTGAATTAGTTCAAACTTAATATGTAATGTAATTATTTTCTCGTCTTTGGTCGCCCTTTAAAGATGATTTTTTACAGTTCTAGTTAATAAATCCGTTTAACATCTTAACAGAGTACATTCTAAATATATAAATTGGAAATTTGGTTTTGTGGAATAACATTATGAGGAGTTTCAAAAAGGGATTATAGAAACCCGTAGACAAATCTTCGGTTAGAACGTCATACAACTATCCACATTTCGTCGAGGAAACTTACCTTTTTAATATTTGATTATTGTTGTTGATGTTGTTGTTATTAATAGTGCTGCTATCCACAACGAAGTGTTGTTGCTGCTGCTGCGCTTGTTGTTGGTGCGGCGTAGTAGTTTCGGCTAATTTTCCAAAACAAATGTTACGGCTGTTGTCGCGTACCATGTTTCGACAACGGAACACTTGCAGCAGAATCTTTTCTTATTTAGGAGGAGCATCGCGTCGTATGCCGCGGATCGAGGGGCATCATTTTAAATGGGCGCCCTCCTTCCCATTAAACATTATGCACTCTTTTTATATATTCCAGTGTAGAGACTGTTACGATTATCGACTTTTTGATTTTGGCTCTATTATGGATATCTTTCTTTTAATTACTTTTGTAAGATTTCCTTTTCACTTGCACACTTTTAGCACTATATTATAAGGATGACAGAAGACACAAGATTATATGGATTAGATTTTTCTAGCTGGCACCTACATTTCTCCACTAAGCACTAACACACGCACTTTATATGGAACCTCTTTCCTTTGTGATTTTCACACGATTTGACTCTTTTTTTATTTACTTTATTTTGTGTAGCCTCTTGTTATTTTTCACTTATGCCAATTTGCCTTAATTTAGCAACCAAAAATACTCTTTTAATTTAATTCAACTAGAGCAATTTAAATTTATTGAAATTTTAATGGGCCCCAAGATGTGTTCTCTTCTTTTTGCCTTAATTTAAGCGAGGAATACGGCATGTACTAGATATATAGAGATAAACTTCTTGTATAGGGCCATTTCCTCTGTAACAATACGAGTGCGAGAAGGTGGAAAATGCGAACAGCGACGTCGACAGAGCGTTATTATAATCCCCATCCCTCGAAAAAGGGGGTTGGAGGTACAGCATGTTAAAATTCCATGCACTAAAGAAGCATGGAAACTACAAGAACAACACACACATTCAACACCGAAGTTTGGCAACGTTGCCGCGCTCTCTCGCGCCATCTCGCTCGCTATGACCGCTGCGGGCTGGCATGAAGACTGGCAACGTCGCTTTGTTTGCTTATAATTGACGTTTGCCGTCTGACGTGGTTGTTAGAGCGAGATAGACGGCTGTTGTTGCTGCTTCAGCGCACAAAATACATAGTGTGTTTGAGTTGTATATGCGCGATATGTACTCGTGTGTATATAAAGAATTTATAGCTGGTACTTTTTCTCGTACATGGAAAACGAGTATCTCTCTGCTGTGTATTTATAAATGGCTATGTGGTCATGTGGTGCGCTTCTTTCGTTTTGCTCTTGCACGTTCTTCCATAATTCGTGTAGTTTTGTAGCTCTAAATCTTCTACGTATTTTCTTTTGGGGCGCAGCAGGAAATCACACACACAGCTGTGAGATTTCTCTCTTTGAGTGCCCTATGTGGATCTCGCTCTAACGCATTGAATGGTGGCGTGAAAGTTTCTTTGCTGCCGACAGCGCGGCCACTGCTCTGCACACCCAAAACTTGGGGAGTCAGAGCTACGCGATTTCAGTCGCTTTGTAAAACTGGTGGGGTGCGGCTCGCAAAATCGAGATTAAAAATGGCCCACACGTAGAAAGAAAACTAACTTGAATGTAAAATGGATTTATTCCAAAAGCAAGGCGAAACTTCTCTAAGTGTAATTGGCTATTTTGTTTTTAGTTCTCCATTTTGAGGTCGGAAATCTGTATTACTCCATTTTTCTATAGAATAAAAAAGACCATTAAACTAAGGCGGTTTAACTAGAATTCATTAATATTGCCAGCAGCAGCAAAAACAAAACGAGTTATATGTAGTATGTATGTACTTAATATCTGTTTTTCGTTTTTGTGGCTACGTGACCACACACCTACAGCATTTGCCAGAAAGAGAGCGATTACTTTGTAGTTTTTCTCTCCGCAAACCCTCTCTCTCCCATACAGGAGATACTCTGTAAGCACACACACACATGCATAAACGCACAGCAAACGGGTTAACTCCGTCTCACTCGCACAGCAGCTGAATCGATTTTTCAAGCGACACGACAATTTCTCTCCACCACTCTACGGCCAGCTGTTGTCCCACTCGCTCTTGCGCTACATTGGAAGCGCCCTCTCTTTCGCTCTAATGCGCTGTTCGTTTCTGTAGCTTGGAGCCCGCTACACACGCAGATATTTATATACGGTTTATATATAGTCGCCATGTTACTTTTTCGTACGTTGGGGGAGCTGTCAGCCTGGATTTTTCGCTACAAATTTCCAAAGTCTCTCTCGTCGCTGGTCTCTGCTGCGGCCGCTGCTTCGGCCGACGACGTTATTCTCAGCCCATTGCACGTCATCCGTTTTGGTATGTGTGCGTATGTATGTGTGTGCTTTGAATTTCTGTTGAAATTCTTTGCTTTCGAGTTAATTGCTGCCCGCCGTCGGCATCAAACCCTCTGCCTCGGTCACTGCCTCTGCTGACGTCGCTGTTAGCGAGCTTACATTTTTTGTTGTGCCATTTTTCTTTGTACGGGTGTACTGAGGAAGAACTTTTCGCTTTGAACTGGGAACTGTGTGGGAATATGGGCGACTTTTAAACACATTTTTAGACCGAGTTTGCCCGAACTCTACTAATAGAACATGACTTTTTTATGATACTTTAATTTTGAATACTTAGATAATACAAAATTCGAATTGATTGATGAATTTAGATAAATATTTTCTAGTTTTCTAGTTGAAAGAAAATGGATTTGTAAAGAAACATATTAATTTAGGCAAGTTTATAAATCAAGAGAACTAACTTGTTAGTGGTTTAGCTTTCTAGTTGCTTAATTTGGCAATATATTTAGAATTATTCTTTGGCTGATGCTTTCGACAATCGATTATCACTGAACTATAATTTTTTATACACTGACTTGATATTATAAAAACCTGACGTTATCCAATCACTTTAATTTGTTTTCATTTGATAAATTTTACTTTTGATTGATTTATCCATTCTTACCCTTTGCGTTTAGAGCTGAAAAAAAGTTTGGAAAATAAATAGATTATTTATAAAATTTTTTCTGAATATTTTCTACACTGAAATTTTGTATAATTATGTTAATCATATGTTGTGAAACAAAGAGTACATTATAAATATTAGGTCCCATTAGAAATAAAAATAAATTCCTATTTGACAATACAAAGTATAAATGATTTTTGTTATTTATTCAATCCCAAATACTCACACCATTGGAGCTGCTTTCCTTGGCTGATCATCGGAACCTTTTCTCCTGGCTTTGTAGTATCATTATTGTAATCCCATTTTGGACTGTATTCGAAACATTCGCATTATACTGGTTTATTTCGCGGCGATAGCTATCAACGTTGCTGCTATTTCGAAAACTTCCAAAATAGGTAACCACGCACCCGTTGCGTACCGAACCAACAAAACCGATCCGAGTCCAAAAGTACCACTTTATTTAATTTTTTTAATGGGTGTATTCTCTGTTATCTTTTTGTGTATTATGCACTCGGGATTTTGGGGTGACTTTTTGCTGCGAACTCCCTGCGAATTATATTCAGCAGAAGACGCATCACGCACGAAATTTAATTAGAAACAATAAAAAAATTAAATTTTTATCATTTAATATGGAGGTTTTTTTTTGTTGGATTAATATTTGCTTTTGCTTCACCTTTTACATGTGTTTTAGTTTCTATTTTATTGTATTTGGATTGGTGTTAACTTTTCCTTCTCTAGCTGTGGTTGTTGCATCTGCCTTGGTATTGGTGTAATTAATGCATTTTAGCACACACACACACACACACACACTCGCGCACGCACACACAAAGATAGCTGCCGATGCTGGCACACTCTGAGAATGGGAAAGGGGAGGTGGGCACTTGCCTTTTTCAGATAACAATAATTTTTTTTCGATGTGTGTGTTTTGGCGGCGTTTTGTTTAATCGCCTTGCCGCCGTTGTTGTTGCTTTTTGCTCGCTGCAAACGACGCGCGCGGTCCGTTCACTCCAAAAATTTTCAAAACAATGTGACCGTTATCAGTTTTAGTAGTGTGGCCACAACAATGAAGTGCATAATATGGCCACAATGGCTTCTTAAAAATATGCCGAATGGGACCTTTAATACCAATAATATACTAAAGTGTCTGTATATCCAAGACCCAAACCGCTTATAATAGGTATATTAGCAATGACCCAACGTATTTAATTCAGGAGTGAGGGCAGACTTAGCTTTAATATAGCTAAGTATTAAGTCGCTGACCGTGCTAGTTATCGTTATCGCGCCCATTGGCTTGTTTTGTTTTGCTTACACGACATAAATAAAACTTGTAAAAGAACGTAGATATATTCTAAAAATGAGTAATTTAAAATCAGATTTAGACGAATACTTGCTTCTGCAAAGTGATCAAAAGAAAAGTTTCAACGTCAAGCTTCCACAGCTGAAAGTTCCGTTCCTGTCCAGAAGGGAACCGGAGGCAAATAGTTTTCTCAAGGATACAGACTCTTGCTGCCCAAAATTCTCACGTCTGCAACGAATCGTGGGTTTCGTGGCTTGTTTGGGAATGGGTGCACTGTGCATGACACTTTCCACATTTTATATTCCGGTCTTAATCCTGAAAGCCAGAAAGTTTGCTCTGCTCTACACCCTCGGAAGCCTCTTCTTCATCTTGAGCTTTTGCTTTCTTTCTGGATTTGGATCCTTTTTAAAGCAAATGTTCTCCAAACCACGCCTGATCTCGTCGATTTCGTACAGTTCCTGTTTACTTTTAACTCTATACTGCGCCTTGGTAGCCAAGAGCACCGCCTTCACTGTTCTTTTTGCAGTGGCTCAAATAATTGCTCTGCTATTTATGATTCTGGGGATGGTTCCCGGTGGAACTACGGGGCTTAAATTCTTCGGACAACTCTTTAAGAGCACAGTCTCTGCGTCAGCGAATGCACTACCTGTATAAGGGGAGAGGACATTCATCCACCACCGCAGAAACTAATACTAAATTATTGAACTCAATAATAAATGTAAAATAAATATTATTTGTGATACAACGCCTCTCAACCTAACTATATTTAAAAATCTTTTATTGGCGGGTCTGAGTCATTAATATGTATGTATACTCCTATTATCAGCAATTCGTGTGTAATAAGTTGACATCACTCTTTCCACCAAGATCTTTAATATTAAAAAGCATCTGTCACGTTGGAAATTTTCCTTTCAGTGATAGAATAGTTGGCAGATAGAAAAGACCTTCTGATAATAAGTTCCCCAACGTTTTAGTAAATTATGAATATCGTCTTACACAAATGTATTGACAGCAACACAAGCGCCTACGAAGGTTTATTAGTAAAGAATCATAAAGAATACCTGGCTTTTACAGAATTTTCACGAGAGTAGCAATCCTCTCGATCCTTGGATTCATTATCGGTCAGTCATCAATCTCTCCCAAATACAAGGTCTTGTCACTGGATCCAGAAAGAATAAGCGGCTCTTTTGGACTAAAGTCCACAGTATTGACACTGCCATTGTGCCCAGGCAGTTTGTAGAGAATTCTTCTTGTATTTACATCCCAAATGTAGACATGTCGATCGGCGGAACCCGAGGATATTTTATCTGTACCTGGCGACCATGCGCAACGCAGCAGATTTTTCTCAAAGTTGTGCTGATGGCCCTGAAACACCTTAACACATCGTTCGCCTGGGGCATACGGCCTTACGTCCCACACTCTCAAGGTGTTATCCATGGCATTTGTCAAAACAAAGTCACCTTCGGGAGACAAAGACATTCCTGTAATTGTATCGGAATGACCACGCAGGTGATGCAAAACGGCTTGTTTTCGAATATCCCAGATCTTTAGTTCGTTGTCGATGCCACCGCTTATCACTTGTTCTCCAGTATCACCAAAACAAACTGCAGTGACTTGGAAGGGAGATTCCAATGTATGTGCGGCGTGCTTTTTCCTGGCATCCCAGATTTTTATGCTGCGGTCATCGCTGCCCGAACATAGAATCTGCTGACCCCTACGCGAGCCCTGCACGCTGTTCACAAAATTTCCGTGACCCTTGAACCGCCGTTGCCTCTGGCCTGTGACTATATCCCAGATGGCCAATGTTTTGTCTGTGGAGCAGGTGAAGATGTGCGAGCCATCCGGCGTAAAGTGAGCTTCCATCACAGCGCCACTGTGTCCAGACATGGCCATCACATTATCGCAGTCCCCGTACACCTGCCAGATGTCTGAAATGGATATTTTTATATTCTTTATGTCTATTGAAAGAAAATAACTGTAATAAAAATGGGAATCCTTCCTGACACAACTGAATATTAAGCTCCTCAATATATTACATACATATTTGCCTATCGAATCCGGAGGAAAGTAATAACTCCCCCTCGGGATGGAACTCGGCTGTAAAAATCTCGCCTTCATGTCCTTCCAGCTGCATTATAGGCGCTTGTAGATTTGAGGTACGTCTCACGCCCTACATAAGTGGTAAATAATATTAAACAAATCAAATGTCGACATGTTTCGGGTGCTTCTTCTTGCCGGCACACTTACCGACTCAAGGAGTGCTTTATCTCGATTTGTGAAGGCGACCAGGTCGCTTTTGCTGCGCTTTGCCTCTTGTGCCAATACCACGGCATTATTGGGTCTTTTAGTGCCCATTATTCAGGTTTTATTTGTAAAACACAATTAATCTGATACAAAATTTGTGAGCCGTGAGGGAGTGTTACCAGAGCATCATATTATTTCATCGCATATAGAAAAGTACTAAAATATCCTACTATTTCATACAGATTTGGCTATATTTAGAATTGCTAGCACTACTCAAAATACTAAAAATATACCACAGACATATTTTGGTTTTCTTTATTTTTACAGATTTTGCGAATATACAATAAGGATTAACCAAGAAGTACGGCTCTCCGATTAATATGCATCCACGCGAGGAGGGTCCGCAAAGAATTCCTGGCCTTTGCGCTCTCCCTTAAGCCATTGCTTATAGCGCTCGTTTCGCATAGCCTGAAATGCAAAATTTTAGATAAAAACATACAAATCTTATGCATGCATCATTAAGGGAAAACCTACATGAAAACGCATAAGCTGCTTTTGCATGCCTACGCACTCCTGGAAGTCGGAGATTAGGTCGGCGCATTCCCGTTTTCCACGCTCCAAGCCGTACGCCTCGAAGCACTCCATCATCTTCATCTCAAATTTGCCGCATTTGTCATAGGTCTGATGGTTAATTAGGCAACCAGTTAGATCGGTCAAAGGCAGACGCAAAAAGGGACTCAACGACATTTTGTCTGTGGAATAAAATGCAACCGATTTTAGTTTATTTATGGGAGCATGCAAAGTTTCCACCACTCTGTTCTGTGACGTAACAATAAACAACATCCCAAAGTGTCACACTCCAAGTATCACTCATTGGGTCCAAGCACTTATTTTAGGTCTTTTTTTTTTATCAACATTTAGCAGTTATCCCTAATGTCAGACCTTAAATTACTGGCAATTTGCGATAAAAACAATTCTCTTCTATTAATGCACTCACAAAAACATAAAAGTTATCGATATCAGGAGGCCGTATTTGTGTGGGCTATCGTCGGGCACAGTCGTTCTTCAAAATCAGGGGGCGGTATTTGTGTCAGCTCTCCACGTTTTGTTTACAAAACTACTTTTTACAAGAACCATGAAAAATCAGGATTTGGTAGATTTCCTAAGCTCCTTGGGAGTGTGCGAAATATGTCAGCTACGTTACCTGAAGGCCAGGGGAACGGAGTACAAGGACATCAAAGAAACCCTGCAAAAGGTTAGGATATTGCTTGCTTAAAATTTCTTGACAATAATAAATGACAGACTTCTCTTTATATGCCTAGTTCGATGTAAAACTGAATAAAAATGTGGTGTACGACGGGAAACTAATATCCTACGAAGCTCAACCTGCTAAGAAAGCCCGAATAGGAATTTGTCCAACGTGCATGGGCTTGTTCTCAAAGGACTTTCAGATGGAGCTCCTCGGGTGCATATTAGCTTCGGACTTTGCAAAATATGATTGCCAGAAAATAGTATTGGCAATAAGTTTGCCCATGTCGCTGCAGCTGAGACAGTTATCAATGTGGTTTGCTTTAAAAAGAAAATTCGGGGCATCCATAGACGATAATATTCCCCCCGATGTGCCAATAAAGGAGGCTGTTAAGCTTATTCTACACCCCATTATTTGCGACAAGTTGGAGAAGGAGTACGATGCCAATGGCCTGATGATCAATATAGATCTCACACATAAGCTGGAAAACGAAGAGGTGGAGAAACTGGTGCAATTAAACAAGGAGGCTTTTCCTGCCAAGGCTGCGTACCAAAAGCGCATTGAAATTTCGAGAGGTTTACTGGAGAAACAGTACCAACCTTCTAAAGTGAAAGCGGAAACCTTTGAGAAATATTTTGAAATACCTTGTACACAGGTAGAGGAATCTCTAAAGCTCGGGTCAATAGATTTGCAAGGACCACTAGTTTGTGTGGCTGGCAGGTATCGAAAGTTGAGCAGGGAACTCTCTCACACTCCCTGGATTTTAAGTGGCCAGAGACTAATGGATGACAGTATAGAGGAAATTATTATTAGGCATGTTGGTCCTCATTTTACAGAAAAGCTTGACAGAATCACCTTTATGTCGAGTGGTAGAGAAGATGTGGACGTCCGATGTTTGGGAAAAGGCAGACCATTTGTTTTGGAAATACCAAATGCCACAAGGAGCTGCTTGAGTCAAAACCAGGCCTTCCAGATGGAACGGGCTGTGGATGGATCTGGAAAAGTGTCCATACTTAACCTTCAAGTCGTAGCCAGAGAAGAATCTATCCACATTAAGACTGGTGAAGAACAGAAAAAGAAATTCTATCGCGCTTTATGTGCCTTAAAAGAACCTGTTACTGCGGAGATCCTGGATAAACTGCAAATTTCAACGAGCTTCGACATTCAGCAAAAGACCCCCATACGAGTTCTGCATCGACGTCCTTTGCACACGCGTCCTAGAAAGATTTATAGTGTTAAGGCTAAAGTACAACGTGGAAGTACCAAAGTATTGATCATCGATATTGTCACTCAAGCGGGCACTTATATAAAGGAGCTGGTTCACGGGGAATTTGGCAGGACAAAACCGTCATTGTCCTCGATCGTAGGCAAGCCCATCGATATTCAAGCTCTGGATGTGGTCGGGATTGATTTGGATTGGCCTTTAGAGGTAAATAACTCGACATGTATAGAGTAGCGATGTTAAAAGTGCATTTGGTCAGATTTCTGCTGATTAAAATAAATATAAAAAAACAAGCTACGAATTCAAAGATATAGTTTTGGCTAATTTTGGTTACGGTATTGAAAACAAAATTAATTCTGATCAATAGAGAGTTATGGCACAAGTTTCATTATTATGACAGCCTAATAACTTTTTAAAGTTGTAGGGTTTAGATCCTTATATTCTTTTGCCTGATAATTGGCAATAGAGTATAACATCCAGCTAAAGGACAAGCTGACATGCGCAGTTGATGTAACGAGCCTTGGGTGTTCTCACTATAGTCAAGCTCTGGCATTAAGTACAAAAGGAGTTAGCAAGCTGGAAAATTTGACATTCGTTGCTAGAGAGTTGAACTGTTTTGTTATGGCCAAGCCAACTGAAAAAATCGAAAAAATATAAGTAAAAAGCCGAACGCAGTGCAATAAAATTTCCAGTCAAATGCAAGAGTGTGTGAAAACTAACGATTAAAGCAGAGTAAAAAAGTCCGAGTTAGACAGATAATTGCAGGCAAAATGTTCTTTCGGCATGTTTTGGAACGCAGGGATAGCGTCAGTGATGTGTCCCTCCCTCTGCCAAGCACGGAAAGTTCACAAGTGCACTACAATAACGAAAGTGTCACTTACGTGAGTAGTGCTGCCGATAGTAAAGTCAAGGACAGCAATAACAACCAGTCGACGGTCGGTTTGGGTGCTCCACTGTCCGCTTCAATGAAAATTCAACGCCGGTCGGAGGCCGCAATAGGGGCAGTGCAACTGACTCCGCTGTGGGAGCACATTCTTCGTACCCGCCGCCTCCCGGAAAAAATGTCACCCACGGCACTTTACGCCGAGTTCCATGAGCGCTTGCAGGATCCAGAGTGGCAGGTGCGGCAACACGCGCTGCGAGTTCTCGTCGACGTTCTCGTGGTAATGCAAGACGAGGCCGATGGTCACATGGAGCGGGAGCAGCTCATTGGCTTACTGGTCGAGAACCTGGGCCATCAAGCGCCCACTGTGCGTAAGGGAGCCCTTGATTGTTTAAGGGTCTACCTTGCCGAAACCGCTATTCCTGAGGCGGTCATTCTTGGAATTCTTGACACCGGCCTGACCAAAAACGTCTTCACGAAATCAGATCACATGGGTCGTCTTAGCTGTGGTGTTTTGCTCTCACTGCCTGCTCTTCTGCAATCAACTATGCACACTTCACAGAGACGCCGTATTGCACATAATATTTTGGAGCGGGTGGTGCAGCTAATTGATCAAGTGCCCCAACAGGAAATAACAACGAAAGTCTTAACGAAAATCAGAGAGCTTTTGGGAATTAACGAATTTGAAAGCATTATGGGTGATTTGGGTCGTGCCGACGCTCTAACCAAGTACTATGAACTTTGTCAGGTTTACGGGGTGACTGGAAAACAAAAAAGAAATGATATGGTAAAAACCGGCGCTTGGAGAGCTTTACCTAGTGAAACAGGTTGGAGAAACACCAAGGCCATACATAACTTGGACGGTTCGCCGGAAATGCAGTCGAACTGTCCAGAAAAAGGAAAGGTAATCATGGAAACTGAGATCAAGATCAACGATGACACTGTGACAATGCGGATCCTCGAGGCGGATACCGAGACCGAAGAGTCTGACAGCCCAGGAAGAAATCTTTCAAAGAATGAAGAGTCGACGGATCTAGTTTGCCACCCTTTTTTGACCAGTGCTAACAGCCTCCACAAACTCAGTGTTGGGGAGGGAATTTTTCACGTTTTAAGTGATTCAGAATTGGAGGAGCCGCACATCATCAAACCTGTCAGTGTTTCAGAGCCAAGTACTCCCTCTCGAGGGCTGAAGCGTGTCACATTTGGGGGGGAAATCGTTAAGATGCGAACTCCTGATAGCGACGCAGCATCCTCTACAAACAATTCCCGAAACCCAGACCAGGTTAATGACATTGTCACTGTTTTGACCATGGAAAACCCAATGGTCAGTAAAAAAACCTCGTCAGTTAAGGAAAAGTCCAGTAACCAAGAGACATCGGCTCTCTTGGTGGAGATCCCTTTAGACAATACCAAGCCTTTGCCTCAAACAGGGCTTGTTAGTTCACAATCGTCTAGCGATGCACGACCAGGCAGTCCCCGCAAACGTCAGGAACCTCTCGGAAAGATGTCGCCATCATCGCGCTCTCCCGGATTCCGCAGTCGCAGCACCAGTCCAACAGGAAGCAACAGTATCAGCCCCAAAGTGCCGCACAATCAAATCGAGGTTTTGCACAATCTGCAGCGGGATCCGTCGCCTAGATCTCAGCGCCGCGTGGAAGACATTAATGGCGATCCGCAAGCACATTATCCACCAGGAAATCCCTCTGCCGCCCCGATACAGCCGTTAAAAGCTAAAACTGGCACTACGTCGTCGCCAGCCATACCGAAATCCTGGGAAGACTTGGACATTGTTAGCTATAAGACGCTGATGGACCTACGATCTGGGGTAAGTTTTTGAAGCGTGCTATTCAATAAGCTATAATTGCAATAAAATTAGTGGCCGACATTTAGCTTTTCCGTGTAATTGCATTTCTCTACCCGTTTGGGCTACTTTGTGCGAACGAAAATAAAGCAATGAAATTACACCACACGCTACGCCAACTTTGGGTTCAGGTCGCCCAGCGCTTTAGGTCCTAACTGGGTCACTAGGATATGTACAATTTCATATGCGTTCATAATTCTGCCTTCATAATGGGAGCCGCCCGGCTTTATGGTGGACTAGGCACGCATCACTCCACCCCCAGTCAGTATTGCTATTACAGGTGCTATTATATCGCCGGCGACCCTTTGCTTACTAATGAAAATTTTAGCGATAACCGACCCCTTTCTTCCCGAACCCATATCGGGCTGTTCTGTATAGGACAAAACCGGCTATTGCCAAGTCACTGTACCAATAACCTATTAATTTGAAGGTATATGTATACCCATCTTCGTTTAAAAACTTTGTTAATAATGGGGTTAATAACTTTTAACTAATAACTAATGGCCAAAATTGAGCAAAATAACAAGAAAATTTCGGAAAAAGTGCGTCAGCGAAATAAATCGTATTGTAACAGTAACAGGCAGGTGATTCAGATGGGCCCCTTATCACGACCAACTTTTTGAGTGGTGCACAAAAACTTTTGTATTCCGGTTGCAGTTGCATGTTGTAGGGACTAGGTGTTGGATTGGATTGGTTTGTTGGGGAGCTGCAGCCAAGTACCAAATACAAAGGTACAAGTTCTCCACCAGTGGCGTAGTTGGCCGGTCAATCATTTAAGTGCACGCGATTTTCATAGCACTATGCACAAAAACAAGAGCAAGAACCATAACCGACGCCCAGCCTGCAACTCGTATGCGACGATAAAATGGCAAGACCGTCATTATGGAACGATGTTTGATTAAGACGCTGGAGAAGGGGGTCAGGGCACAGAGCGTGTCAAGAAGTAGGTCATTTCAAGCACACAAAAAAAATAAAACATTAACCGAAATTATAGCGCGTACTAAATGTACTAAATACAAAGAGAAGGGTATGCTATTGTCGACTGCAAGTCCATTGATCTTCTTTTAATACGAATACCTTTTAAATTTAACTTTAATACTTTCAAGTGTGCGATTATTTAATTCATAATCAAATTTAATCATAAGCCCTTATGCTCAATTAAAAAACAAATGAAAACATGACATTATATTTATGACTGATTAAGTTGTTTCATCTGCCCAATTTCAAGAATTCAGTTCTGTGTGATTTAAACCGACATTTTAAATTAAAATTTGACAATTATCTCAAATAAAATATTTGCCCACTTTTATCCGCGTTTCTATCTTTCGCAGGACTGGCGCAATCGTATAACGGGAATCTCTCAATTGGAGATTGCCCTTAGCTTGTCTAGCAATTTAGCCTTGGTACAACCGTTTTTGGACAGCTTGCTTCGGACCCTCCTGTCATCGGAGCGCCATTTTAAGGTGTCCGAGCTAAAGAGGGAGTTGCTAGAAAACCTAATCTCACGACTGCCTTTGGACAACTTGGAGGAACGTACACCACAAATAATAACTGGACTTTGTCGCCAGGGCAACGCTGGAGCGAATCGCGTGTGCAAGTCTTTAATGCAGCGCCTTCCAGCTGGTACCATTGTGGCAAAACTGACTTCGCCAGAATTCTTACACGCAAAAAGTTCAAAGGTAAATTTTTTACATTGATTTCATATAATGTAATTTTAAAAGAATCCTTTTACTTCAGTTCCGGGACCATGCCCTTCAAATGTCCATCTATTCCCTGATGACTTTTCCGGGGACATGCTTCGACATTAGTCTACTTACGAGTCAGGCTGTCTACTCACTGCTAAACCACAAGCGACGCGTGCGGCTGGCGGCTCTTGAGGTTCTAGCTGTTTTGGCCGATATCTCTTCCATAAATGAGGTTATAAATATTGTCTCAGAAATGACCGCCGGCGTTGAGCTTGGGCCACTGGTGCTGGAGGCGACCACTGTGCGTCTCTCGCGCTTACAACTTCCAATTGTCACATACGATTGCGGCGTCCTTTTCGTTTTTAACCAAAACGAACCTGGATGCAGGCGTTCTGGAGCGGATGTGGATTGGATCTATCAGGGGGAAGGATCCGCCTCGCCTAACACCATCAAAAGGCGGCGAATACTGGCTGCAAGCAGTCAGCGCGACGTACTAGAAAGTACGGAAGCAAAAAATAATAAGGATGCATTCCACAGGTAGAAAAGAAAGTGCCTTGTTTTTGTACCTTTAAGTTAAGCATACGTTGACACTTTAAAAATAAGAAATACTACAACTTAAAAAGTTGTAAAATTAACTTCGCACACATAAAAAATCTTTACTCGTTTAAAATTGTCTTATACCTCATAGTTTCGCCCATGTTGACGACACATTGCACCCACACACTTTCCACTCTCCACCGGAAACTTTGGATATGACTAGCCCCACAAATGTGAGTTTCATGCATATTTTAAATACCTATAAATAATAGTTCTTTATGCTAGGAAATTTCTCAAAGATTATGCGCTGGCGCTAAAAGTAATAATAGTAAGTATACTCTAAATTTTAAATTAAATATATTTTTTATAACCGATCTTTTTATCAGTTGGAAACCAATCTTTCAAGGAGCGTCGCTTGTTAGCAAAGGCGTGCTCTGATACTTCCATGGATGGACGAAGTACTGACAGCACGGCAACCACCTGCAGCAGTGGAAGCACCACAGGTAGCTTTATACAGCTTACCCGCACTAGTGGTCAATTTGCTGGAACAACTTCCAGGTGTGTATTCTACGAACGAACTCTTTATTCTTCAATGTTTTTTTTATTAACAACGATAACAAATTTCTTACAGATTTCCCGCCATGAACCAGCATGCCGACTTTAACAATTTCATGCAGCGCAAGACTAAATCCTACTCCGTAGAGGTGCCGGCCTATCCGAAAGTCAGTTACTCGATTCCGAAGTCCCAGTCAATGCTTCGCAAGAAAATCCAGCACCAGCACTCTTTCTCAAAGCTGCGCAATGCAGCTTCTGTACAAGGCAAGTTTGCTTCAGCGGTGGCCTGCAAGTATTAACATTATCTCGCTTACTTTCTAGACTTCGAAACTACAAAATTAAACAAGTCACAAGGTAGTCAGCAGAGTGATGTTTTCGAAGAACACCAGCCATCACCGGATCCCGTGTAAGTTTTTATCTCATATCAAAGCCCATTCATTCAATGGCTAGGTTAACCTACATTTTTTAAAACCCCACTGAGATATATTTGACCACTGGCCGGGTTGAAAGTTAAAGGGGCGAATTCTCGTCAACAACAACAATAAGTCACCCCGGCCAGAGCACGCACCTCCTCACAAAATTGTGGCATTAAAGGTGTCGGGTTGCTTAACCTAAATAATTGAAGTGCGCAGTGGAAATCGCGTTGGTAAAACTCTAGAATGTGGTGGGAGACATTGGTCAACGTCACAGGTGACAAACCTTCAAGTGACCACTGGTGATTCAACCTAAATTCGGTTCTAAATTAAAAGCTAAGTAAAATATAAAGAACAATTAAGGGGACGCATTAAAAAATTTCTTATACGGTTATTTTTTTGTAAGTTGAACGGAACATGTTTAGTTAGTACATTAGAAATAGTTATCCAATGACAGCATACATTTTTAAATTTTAGCCATCCAAGAACCTAAGTACCCTTACGGTACTCTTTAGACAACTAGTTATAAAGCCGTCTTCGGGACTCTCCACAATGAAACGAAGGCGCCCGAAGATGACTAAGAGGTCCTTGTTTAGAAACCGTAACGTCTTGAGGAAAACGCCACTACTCAGCAAGCCCGTGGCCAGTTAGCTTGAAGTTCGTTGCTGGTGGACGCTAGACCATTCCGCGACCTTTCCGTGGCTTCGATTTGGCACCCTAAGGGTGGGCGGGTGTTCTAACAATATATTGTGTGCTCGTGTGATTGCTTGGAAAACGCAATGTCCTGTTTTTCGTTTGCAGCTATGGATTTGTTGTGGGTTCCCGGTATGGAAGCTCATTTGAATTGGTCAAAACGACTGGCGACGAGCAGTGTAAACAGTCAGCAAAGTCGCGTTGCTTAAAGTGGTCGCCAATTGCGGGTATCTCGGGTCTATAATCCAATTGACAATCACGGAAAAATGCATAATGCGTTTTCCTGTGATGCGCAGCCATCTGATCTGTTTCGTAGGACACGTACTCTGTTTCACTCACTAAGAGCGTGTATCTGCCACAAGGCTGCAGAGGCACATTCTGTGGTTCACGGGGTTTTTTGCGGTCACAATTCGGTCACCGGCACCTGCTGCAGAGTCGACAGGGCTCTGGAGTCAAAAAAATCGATGCAAATTGATATAGAAAGCCAGTTACTCGATGATGAGCCCAGTTTCGTCGTTTTTCAGCCACCGAGAGGTACTGAAAATGGCAAAGCTTATCTTGAATTTGAGGAGTTGTAAGTCTTTAAACATTTCAAAAGATAACGAGTTATTTTTATCCTTGCCTTCACAGAGAAACGGAGGCAGCGAGGACAATACAGTCTTTGGAAACAGCTGTCCAACCTTTAACGGACGGTTCCCCCTTGTCCGTAAGATCCGTCAGTTATTCGCAAAAGTCGACAGCCTCGGTAAAATCTAGTGGCTGCCAAAGCGAGATGGCCCGTAGATCATCTTTATCCACCGGCGACCGCAACGGTTTCCCGCTGGAGGTGCTGATGAGTCGGGAACAGGATCCCGTTGAAGCCTTTGGAGAGTTGGTAGTGGACGACATTGAAGACGAGACCGAAACGGAACCTCCCCCTCATGAGGAGCCACCCAAGCTAAACGGAAGCCTAAATAGCCTTCACAGTAAAACAGAGAGTATTAAAACTCAGTTGGAAGACACTACACCTCAGCTTTCAAGGGCTCAGTCAGTAAAATCGCTGCCCATTGAGGAGGATATTGAGGGCAGCAATAGCTTCGTGGTAGTCGAAGAAGTACATCACGAACTAGAGTCATCGCCCGCGGTTACTACGCCAGCAAAGCAATTACAGGAGGAGCCAGTAGCTTCTGAAAACCCAAAGCTAAATAGTCATAAAGTTGACACAAAGGTGGTCTCAGCGCATGACGACATAGTGATCCATTCACGAAGTATTTCACTAGACTCACTTTTTGGGCAACGGCCGTGCTCAAAACAAGGATCTCTGGACACCAGCACAAGCACCACAGACAGTACCTCGCAGTCCGGTTCTCAATTGGGAAACATCGGCATCCTCGGGAAGGCACAACACACGCCGCTCAAGCAGAAGTCCAAGACATCCTACTTTTTGCGTGCTCAGAGACGAGTCTCACCCGTAAAGCAGGCCATTAAGATGTCTCAGGCGGAACTCTTTCCGCAGAATATGGAGCGCTTTGATAAACCTCGTGATGCTCTGCTTAAGACTTTCGACCAATTAGACTCTAGCAACTGGGAAACAAATATGACTGGTCTGAAAGGAATGGTGCGTCTGATTCGCTACCATGCCGACACATTAGACAATCAGATGCACATGACTTGTATTCAGCTCACCCGGTCAGTCCGAAATCTGCGGTCTCAAGTGGCTCGCGCTTCCTGCCAGGCGGCTGCAGAGTTATTCTCCCTCAAGTCCTCTAGTCTTCAGCAAGAGTGTGACGATTTAGTGTGTGCTCTTCTGCATCGCACCGCTGACACTAACCGATTTCTCCGCGCTGATGCAGCTCATGCTCTGGAGTCGATGGTGGATCATGCACAGCCGCAGAAAATACTCAACATCCTGGCGACAAAGGGAGCCCAGCACCAGAACGCACTGGTACGAACCACTTCAGCAAAGCTGCTCTTCAGGCTTGTCGAACGTCTCGGCAACGATCGGATCTATGCTATGGCCCGCGAGAGTCGGGACAAATTTTTCGTGGTGGGGGCCAATTTACTGCTGGAGGGCAGCCTCGAAACGCGCAGCTACGCCAAGTCCTTGTTCCGGGCCCTGTCCGAGCACCATAGTTACCAGCGACTACTGTTGGAGGTGATACCACCGCGTACATACAGGAATGTGGAGAAAACGCTTAGAAGCATAACACGTTGACTTCGGTAGATCGAAATCTGTACAGTAGAGATCTGCTTTCCGAAGCTACTGGAAGCTTACACGTGTTACACACATTAAATTAAATTTGAGTCTTAAGTTTATCATGAGCGTATCTTTAGCTAAAAACAATAAAATTATTGAAAAATTAAAAAAGAAGTTTGGAGCTACTTATGGGTGGAATATTCATGTTGATGGCATAAAAACAATTATGCAACAATTAGTTGAAACACGCACAAGCACGCAAACACGGCTCGAATTCCTAAAAATGGAAGTACTTTTGGATTTCATTCTGATTATATTCTTAAGCTACTCCTAAATACTAATTAAAAGCATTTTAAAATCTCAAAGTAATCTGCGTTTATCATTGTGGCGTTGGTCCGACCTCCTGTTGCCTCCCTGCATGTGCTGGTGGTGTTGCTTTGGTGGCATTCTCGGCCGGTTGCGTTCCATTACGGAGCTGTCGCTACGGCGCCGCTGATCACCGTTGTTCCCAAACGTATTGCGATCGTAAGGTTTGGCGCTATGCAAGCTGTGGCGGGCGTGGCGTGGAGGTGACGCCTTCGGAGACGTCTCCAATATAAACGGATTGCGCAAGCGACTCTGGTTAAAGGTGTGCGGATGCTTGGTCTTGTCCGCGCCTTGTTGTTTGATGGTCACTTTTTTTGTGAACAGTTCCAAACCTTGGTATAAATCCATGGCAAAGGGCACTGCACACAGGCGTTGGTAGGTGACAAATCCAAAGTTCCGTTGCCGTCCCGTATTGTCAGTGGGTATTCGCACTCCCTCGAGAGGACCAGCTTGCAAGAAGACCTCGTACAAAATTTCCTCCGTCACCCGCTCGTCTAAATTTCCGCAGAACAGAGTGCGCTGCTCCTCGTCCTCCTCCTCGATGTCGTCCTCAAATTCATCACCAACCTCATCACCGTTCCCATTGAAAGCATACGGGCCAAAAGACTGGTGCTGCGTGCCAGGCGGCATGCCGTATCCGTAGCTATTCAAGTGCGGAGGCGGCATCATCATCGGTACAACTCCCGCACTACTGTACATTTGCTGCATTACCTTTTGCAAGTCCATTTCGCTTCACGAAATAAATAGACTCTTCTTCGAAATGTAGCAAAACAAAAAAACGGTCACCCTAAATAGAAACGATAGAATCGCAGTGCTATAAAGCGAGAAAAGACGAACTGACGAAACTGTGAACTTTTGTTTTGAGAACTGGTTCTTAGTGGTGAGTAGGGACACTCAAATGGTTTCTGTTAATAAGGTGAAATACAATTTTCCTGACGAGGTGCATAAGCGTCGCTGATAACAGAGACATTTTAATTAGAGGTCGCGCCTGCTGATGTTTCCGATGGTTGTCATTTTCATCGCCGACTCTTTTGATTGAGCTCTTCTTGTTGTACTAACTTTTCATAACAATTCATCTTCACACCTCGACGATATGAATCAAAGCAACTATTTAGTCAGGGGACACTGGCTGTGAGTAAAAAGCAAAGCTACACAAAAACAATTGAGGGGTGTAAGTTTGGAATGGGCCGGCTGTGGTTTACCCTACACTTAATAATACAAATTAATGAGAACATTTACTTACATGTATTTCCAACTGACTAATTCAGTCTTGAAGCTTTTAAAAGTTCCCATTTACAAAATACGTTTAAAACTTCAAACCAAAAACCTTTTAATATAATATAATATAAAATAAAAATTATATGAATTCGCCAGTGTGGTTTTTGGTGTTTGGGACATTTAATTAAGAGAGAGGGAAAAATGCCGAGTATTATGAGAACGAAAGAGCAGAAAAATGACGAGTACTATGAGAACGTTCTGTGATAGTTATCAACGCCACTTGAGCCAATATTTCGCGTAGCGTCGAAACTCGACAAATAAACTAGACTATCGCACATATAAACGCACACATATTTGTGGATTTAATACCTCTGAAACTATGCGCAATCAAAGGTAGAAAAGCACTCTCGCCGAAATTGACGGAATCATTTAGTCGTTTATTGGGCGCCTAGTAGCACAGCAATGGGAGAAGTTCCAAAAATCAAGGACTTATCACAAGTAGTCGAACGTCATCTGCCACAAGGCTTTACCTTGGAGTCGTACGCTAGTCGTTACCTAACCAAGCCCGGAGACAACTATGGCAGCATTATGTTGGCCGTGCAAGCGAAAATCCGAAGTGCAGACGGTGCTTTTCGGGAATTGCCGCTTATAGCAAAGCTCCCGCCACTCACCAACGACCTTTATTGGCAAATCTTTCAGCCCGAACGCACCTGTATTACGGAGAATGCTGTTTATCAGTACTTGTCACCTGAACTGGACAAGTTGCAGCTGGAGTCGGGCATCCTGCCCGCAAAACTTTTTGACGGATTCCCGCGATACTTCGGCTCCCGCATCTCGCTTGATTCTCGGGCTTCGAAAGTGGATCGGAATGCCATTTTAGTTCAAGAGAACGTCACTGTGCGCGGCTATCAGCCGGGTAACAGACACCGCCCGTACAATCTGGCTGAAACTGTACTCGTCCTGCACTACTTGGCTCAGTACCATGCATTGCCCATCGCTTTGCGACTTAGGAAGCCGCAGGTGTACGAAAAATACGTACGACCGTACTTCAAGAAGTTCGACATGAACAGCAATATTGATCCTGTCGAGAAAGAACTTATGAACACTGAGATTCTTAAGGACATAAAATTGGTGACTAGTGATCAGCGAGAAGTGGATCGTGTCAAGGAGCTGCTGGATATTTTTGATGTCTTTCAAGCTAGCAAGGATGTGGAAGATGGGCCATTCACTACCCTTGTTCATGGAGATCTTTGGATCAACAATATGATGCTTAAATACGGTAAGAAGAGTCAGTTATTTGATCGAACAACGTTATTAATTCTATACAAATGTTTATCAGATGAGGAAGGCACTCCAGTTAGTGTGAAAATTGTTGACTTTCAAATTGCGCAATACGGATCCTTGGTGCACGATATCATCTTTTTGCTGTTCTCAAGTGTGGATGTCACTGTTTTGGAAGAGAACTATTACAATTTCCTAACTATTTACTACAATGCCTTTATTCAGACCTTGCGTGGCGTGAATATAGACACGAGCAACTATACATACGAGATGTACGACGGGTTCTCGAAATTTTGGGTATACTTTATAACCATTTTGTTTATTGCAGATTTCTGGAAGAGGTTCAACGAACAGCGCACATACAGATACCACATGCCATCTTCATGATGAAGGTAATCCTAGCTGATAATAGTACGCTTCCCGAAGATTACAAAGACGTGGATTTTACTGTGATGACCAAGAACACTGGAGTAAAAACTATTGTGACGAAATTTGAGGCTATCATGCGACTGGGAAAGAAGTTTAATATATTTTTCTGAGCTTTTTTCATGCAATAAACATTTCACCATAGCACACCGCTGTTACCAATTTCACATATATGTAAGATTTTGGCTTGAATTTAGAGGCAAAATCAATCCGATCTCTATATCTTTTTTTTTTATGCACTTGATATGTATGTAATAAGTAGAAAACAGCAGCAGTGCCGACTTCAGTGCACGTGTTATTGATCTGGACGAGTATGTCGTACAATATATACATACAACATGTACAAAAACAGCAAAACTTATTATCGACTTTCAAATGGCGCAAAACGGCATAATCTTGATTTTTTTATCAAATTATTATAGGGCTATCTTGGAGATACATTTTGAACACAAATGTAAGTCTACTGGGGTCTGTTTTGTGCCGTGTGGTGACTTAGAGGTTCACACCCTCGTTTGATAAGGTAGTAAGATAGACGACGTCCTATTGATTGATCGCAGCTCCGAGGGTTGTATACCGTCGCCATCCTATGGTTCACGCAACAAAGCTGAGTTTGTACTACAGTACGAATAAACTAAGCGAACTTCTAAGCTGGGCATATGGAACTAATTTGATAACTGATATTGACTAATGAGAATTTGATGGAGAGGACTAATTGTTTTATTATTTTCTTAGCTGGCCTCGGAAACAGTGAACCGATATTTCGAATGATCAGTATTGGGAAATATGCGCACTCTTTGGTTAGTTGTGATGACCATTAAGGCTTTAACGGTGCTTCTGGAGCTCAGAGGGATAAATAGTAAGGAGGTCGGTATTCTAAGCAGATCCCAAACTTTTATTTTATCGTAATTCTCCGACTAGAGCTGCTATTATGTGGCATTCACCTATGCCAACTGGACGGATGACCGACCTCGGTTTGTGGTGAATATGACGTTCTCAAACCAGACGGGCATCGGATCCGTCACTACCATAAACGAGGAAATAGCCTCTCCGGTCTCTCGTATTTTAATTCTCCAGCACTCTGCCCGTGAGAAGCCTCGAACCATATACAACGCTTCTACCAAATTATGTGACCTTCAGACCGTCTTTAACTCAGTGCCACTTTTTAAGCCAGCCAAGGACAACATGCTCAAGCAAAGTAACTATACATTAAGCTGCCCGCTGATCAAAGGTACCTACGCTATGAACAACATGCGCGTCAGCCCCAAGAATCCACTTCTCAGCCTTCTATATCAACGGAAGCACACCTTTTCGGTGAAGGGCGGATTATACGAGGAACTGCCGCGAGGTCGTCGGCTACGGCCGTTATCCACTTATTTCATGGCTGGAAAGGTTGTGAAAAAGTCCTGTGGCGCCAATGAGTGATCATCAATTTAAATCAGCAAAAGCTGATCTTCTGATTTATTTTTCAACAGCCCAATATTATACTACAGAATGTGAACTTACTTAAGTATACCACAAATTTTGATTATTACGGCAGTCAAAAGCATTAAAAAAAAAAACGTAGTTACCTTCTTGTTACCTTATGTAAAGAGAATAATGTTGCATGTGGACATACTTTACATACAGTGGACATACTTTAAGTCCTTCAATGCTGACAAATTTTCCAAACTAATTATAATCATCTATTAAGGCAGAACCGTTTCAATATGGAGACATTGTAACGGTTTGAGATTTACTAGGTCTTCCCAAATAATTACCGGCTGGCTAATGAGCAATAAGTCAAGTAAGCGAAGATGAAAAACGGGTGAATGAACTCAAATTGATTGCACGTTTCCAAACGTACAAAGAGTCTGGTTCAGCAGTAGCTCAGATACGTAAAAATAAAATAATTTAAATATTGAATGCTACGCCACAAAAATAAAAGGTTTCAAATTATTCATTTTAGCCCGGCACAAGCTGTGTAAAAAACTCCCAGTGAAATGTTTGACTTATTATCGGAAAACTCTTATCAACCTACTTGCACATAAACAAAGTCTTCGCCCTTTTGTTTACTCAACTCAATAATCTGTGCGGGTTCCATCCATTGTTTTATGCATTTACACAGATCGTAGCTTTCTGCCTTTAATCTCATTTGTTTAATTTAAGCGGACCACAAAAACATTATCAAAAATATATTTAAAAAAAAGACACAAAAAAATAATAAAAGCAAATTAAAATAATGCGCAATGATTGTGTGACACAAAAGACTCCCAATGCTTGAGTCTATGTCCGTCATCGGTTCGACTTCGGCGAATGCCTCAGGAATCAGGGGACTGAACTTTGTCTGGATAGATGCGCCAAAAAACCAAGGAACAGATCGCAGATCACTTGGTAGAAGCGTGTCGGGCGATGACGCAAATATAGCGAATCGCGTGTGGCCGAAGACACAGGCTAAAATAACAATAAATTAGGGGCGGAAAATCTTGGTATTCTCTGGAAAACTTAAAGAGAGCACGCAGTTGTTCTCTGTTTTTTGGTGATTCAGTTCAGTTGGTTCCAGGTTCTATATGCTCTCCACCTTAAATATAGACGCCTATCACGGCCAAAACATTTCAAATGGCGTGAGCAGTGTGAAATTAGATCAATAGACCAGATAAATGATAGCATTTTCTGACTGTATGCAATGGCGGAAGACACGAGCGTTAGATAAAAAGTCGGATTCGCTTTCGCCAAGTAAACACCATTTTTGAGCTGCAAATCTGTCCAAATACTTTTCGGTACGTGATCGATTAATTGTTGGTCATCGGTCACGTCACAGGACATAGCGATGTTTATATCTGCTTTCGGTTGACAGGTTTTATAATCGCCCAGAGTGCTGGTCATATATTTTTAAGCGTGCTATCGATTAAGAGTGCCTGTGCTATAAGTAGCACCATAAAAATTAATTTCAACAAGCAGTTGGTCCAATTGAAACAACATACATAAAAATAAACAGTGACCCCAGCAACGTTGATATTCACCTACAGCGTCATAAACAGGTCCCCTTTGTTTTGCTTTCATTTTATTTTCTCTCCAATTTTTTAGGACTTTTTCCGTAAGTTTGGTGTTATCAGTATATTTCCCAACCTCACACCCGTCGCAGCTGCGAATTGGTTTCTTGACCCAATTTTTGCATTAGGAAATTTATTTTTGCGTCTAGCAATATAAGAATTTGCCTCTTTGCATATGTTTTGTTCCTTTTTGCCATTTGAAGCCACAATGATTTATGGCACTATGATAACGCTAGCCAGTCGGTGTCATTCTATTGACCGAGTTAAATGGCACGCTGGCAATAATAATGGTAAGCGTTGATCATGCTTCAGTAGCCGGAAGGCCAAATTAGTGGCCTTTCTGTCTTATCAGTTGGGTCGGACTTTAAACGCTGCTAGCTTTTATTTATTATTTAACAATTGAGTGCGGTAGATACTTTTTAGAACAGAAATCTTATCATTTCATCTTATGCAAATTGCCAGGTCTAAGGCAACATAACTAGATCTCCTCAGACCTGCATTGTAAGATGCTGCCATCTTCGAACTCGTTCCATGCATACCAATGAACCTGCTTTAATTCATTAATGATCCGGTCTGGGGACGGTTGTGCGGAACTCTCGAGTTATGTGATCACAACAGGCTAGCTTCTTTATTTTGATTGTTTATGTGATTTTAAAATACTATCTACCTATATAAGGTATTCTGTTTTGAATATAACATATTCTGTTTTAAATCGAACAGAGGAATGCGCTTCAACCTTCGGACAAAGGGTGAACTCTTGGTCAATCGGTCTTGTTCGCTGAGCCTCTTTATCTCTGTGTATTCACCATTCTTTTGAATAAACGGAACCTTCTTATCTTCTTGTTTGACAACATTGCACATCCCTTAATCCATAATCCGCGCCCAGTGAAACCACGTCAACAAGCATCGTAAACTGAACCTTAGAATGTCAACCATTACGAATGCGCGAATGAAAAATGCACTCAAAAAAGTGCGTCATGTTGGGTTTTGTTCGTGAAATAAAATTGTTTTTTAGTAAAGCCTTTAAATAGATATAATTAATCTACTCGATCTCAAAAGCATATGGTAAAATCTACAAATAGTATCAAAAATTCGAAAACCCCTTTGCACATTTATGATATCTTCTTTATAGACAAGCTCGATACATTTTGTAAGTGTGGGGCAGCAAGGTGAGCAGTCTTATGGAACAGCACTGGGACGAATATGTTCGCGACAATGCTCAATCACATCGTTATCAGAAGGGAACATATTTTGCTGAGTTCCCATATCTTAAATTCACAACTATATATACCCGTATAGGAGTATAAGCCTCCACATTCTTACATTGATATTAATCTTGAAAAACATTCAGTGTAGACCAGATGGTTCTAGTGGAAAATTTTCCTTTGAAAACAAGGTCTTGCTTTCGTTGTTTTAGTTTTCGTGCCCCCATGTCACACTTATTTACAAACAAGCTGTTTTGTATTTTCAATTTTTCCCATTTGCTACTGCTGGACGCATTTAAAAGATTGAAAAAGGCCAATAGATTTAAGTTATGGTTTTTTATTTGTACCTTAGCTTTAGATCGAAATGTTTTTTTGAATATCTTTGAAATTTATAATTTTTGGGATGCTTGTACTAGGGATATATTTTTAGTGTTAGCAAATATAGAACGCTGTAAGATGCAACGTTTCTTATATACATAAATATATGTATACCCTTGTAGCATTATATCATATATTATTTTCTGTGAAATTCAACGCAACGAATTCTACTCAACAATTAGATCTATAAACAATTTAAGTGCGTATGGATATGAACGACAAATATGGATATCGTTTTAGTATTTTAGTGATATTCTATTCTTGTATATAACGTTCGATTTAACAAGAGAGGTCAACACATGTATGACTTTAAAACGTGCTGGCAAAATCTACATAAAATCCAAATAACTTTGTTTGATCTTAAGATAGTGCATAATGTAGAGTTTATTTTTTATTATTTAGTTAAAGCAAAAATAAGGTATACGTTATCTGTAAAATATTTATGGCAGATTATTATTGGGACCCCATTAAGTTCAGGTAAAATTTTTATCCTGTTCGGTTCTTCTTGCCACCCACCCTTACTCTTAAATGCTATACACACGCTTTTCGTGCCTCGTTCTACTGTCTTTTTGCATAAGCAAACAAAATTTTGCTCCTAATGAATTCAAAAGTAACCAAATAATCAGACAGGCTCCAGAACTCCGTAATATACTATTTACAAAGGATATTGAACCCATTAGTCCCGTTACTCAATCGTCATCTACGCCTATTCGTTGAGCAGACATGTGCGGACGATAGCACCGCACACGGCGTAGGGGTCACAGTTCGAGCTAGGCCGACGATCCTCGAAATATCCTTTTCCGGCTGTCGCCACGCCACGCGGCACTCTTACACTTACGGCCCGGTTAGCAACGCCCCAGGAAAACTTGTCTATGCTGGAAGTCTCGAGGCGACCAACAAGGCGACGTTCATTGTCCTTGCCCTCTTTGGGGTCATAGGCCTTGATGTGCCGCTCATGGTGCTTACTCAGCTTCTCGATAGCCTCTTCTATGGCTTTTATACCTCCCTCGGCACGCATGGCTTTCGTCGAAAAGTTGGTATGGGCGCCGGCTCCATTCCACTGGCCCTCCATCGGCTTAGGGTCGAAAGTTACTACCACGCCGTACTCCTCTGCAATGCGCTGCAAGATGTAGCGTGATACCCACAAATCGTCACTTGCCTTCAAACCTTCACTGGGACCAACTTGGTATTCCCACTGGGCGGGCATTACTTCGGCATTGGTGCCGGCGAAATGGATCCCCGCATATAAGCAGGCCACGGCATGGGCCTCCACGAGATCGCGAGCGTAGACACGGTCGGCTCCCACACCGCAGTAATAGGGTCCTTGTGGTGCCGGGAAACCGTTCTCTGGCCAGCCAAAGGGACGTCCGTCCACGTCAAGCAAAGTGTATTCTTGCTCGATGCCGAACCAGGGCTCCTGCTCACCGATCTTTTCAACTCCCGCCTGAAAGGCAGCCCGCTTGTTGGAGGCCGTCGGCTTGCCATCAGCACTATAGGTGTCGCACAGGACAATCACGTCGTTCTTGCCCGGCTTAAATGGATCGCGATAGAGGGCACGCGGCTTGAGCGTGGTGTCCGAATTTTCCCCGTGCGCCTGGTAGGTGGAGCTACCGTCATACTGCCAGTCTGGCAGGTCCTCAACAGAACTGGGAACCTTGTCTAGGACGCGGTCTTTAAGTCGGATGTTCTCACCGGTGCCATCGATCCATAGGTAAGTGGCTTGCACCCGGTTGGCAGGCGTTTCCAGGTTTCGGTATCGCTGCAGGATACTTTTGTCCAGCGCGGTGTTTGGCGAGTTGGCCAAGAACTGGGAGCGGGCCGTATAGGAGGTGCCCAACAGACGCAGTTGCTGCTTTGCGGGAGCCACAAGCTCCTTTTTGAGGAAGAGTCCGGCCACGCGGAATGCCATTTTGGTCCTTGATGAAAGTCGACGAGAAGGACAAAAGGACACTGTTAGTTAGGTATTGCTCGCGAGTGTGAGAACGTGCGCATTTATTCAAGGATGCTGCCAGAGCTGACTATTTTTATGTAATTATTTTTTTGGACTTGCTTTTCCTGGCGACTGGGTAAGTGTGTGCTCTACCAGTCCAGTTGCAGTCTTCCGCCCAACTTACCGTGCACTGCTCGTTTGTCCACTTCACAGTTATGTGATATGCTTTGTAGTCTCTGGCTGTGCAGGTCTTTTGGGTGTTTTCAGATTGCGGGACTTTTGGTGTCTGATTTTGTTAGTAGCTGCAGACCGACTGACCAATACGAGGTTTGGGAGGCTTGTGAGCACAGTTAGCGCGACAACATTCACTTTTTTCTCGTTTCGATTCAGTTCGTTTCGTCGCGCTCCTCTGTATTTCTTTATCGCGTTTTGTGACGCCGACGCACAGGCAAAGGCAAATGCCTCCCAGAGAGCGTTGAGAGCATACAAGCAGCAGAGTAAAAACCGCTAAAGGCAAGTAGCAGCTCTCGGAGAGCAAGGCAATGCGACCCAAAATGTTTCAATGCTGCACGATTAAGCTAAATCCCCAGTACGCTCATTCATGCATTACTGGCGCATTGTTTAAACGCCGAAAGCAAACAAGGAAAAATTCTCATTATAGAACACCTACGCGACAAGGCCGAATGCAAACGAAAGATCAGTGGAACCTCAAATATTGTTGTCGATATTGTTAGCTACTGGTAGTTTCAGAGCGAAAAACTAGCAAAAGCTGCCCCAAAATGTATGTACATATACCTTCATGGAATATTAATAATAATAAAATTGTATTTAAGAACAAAAATAAATGAGTTTTGGTGGTTGTCATCAAAATGGCAGTGGAGTATAAATTTTTTTGTATAATTTTAAACCAATGTAAAGCCAGTTTTTATTGTGGATTGTTGTTGTTGGATTTCCTCTATCTTCGGACTTTCCCTCCTTATGTTTTCCGTTCACTCCGGACGCTTGTGTTGCATATTACAATATTACAAAAACATGGAATGATCCACAAACAACTTGCAGTGGCAAGAAAGAGCAACCAGGAGGGGCATGCGCAAACTCTCTCCGTTTCTCGCCACCTATTCAGGACAACCACCAGAACTACGCTCTCTGACTAAATGGTTTGGATACACGGCTGGTACAAAGTTCATAGGGCACAATTATAAATAACAGACGCAAAGAAAAGCTTATCAGTTATTTTTTTTACCATTAAATGAACTCTGCGGGGGAGCCTCACTTACAGAGCTCTGAAAAATCAATATTATTTGTGTTTAGGCTAATCCAACACGAACATATTATCCTTTGCAGAGAATTAAATAAATGATATTTTTAGAATTCAGATAAAGTTATGCTAACTAACAAAAATATTTTAAAATCCCATTTTAAACAAATAGCTTTATAATAGACTACTACTGATAAGAGTTTGTAGATTGGATGTGGCAGCAAACTTAAAATATTGCCTGCTTTTAGGCTTGAAATTTGTAAAAATCGATAAAAATGTAATGTATATTTAGATCTAAAATATATTGGAAACATCTGCCCGTACTTGAATGATATCTAATATATATACATATGTAGATGGATGGATAACTAATCTGCTGCAGCGCAACAATTGGCAGTACTCTGCCAAAAAGCCGAGTGGCCGGAAAACAAGCTTTTTGTTTTGGTTGGCTCACATAACGATGGCCGAGCTTCAGGTTGCCACAACAAAGAAAATAGGAAAACAGAAGAAACTAGTATTGGCGTTGTGTGAGTACAAATTTCCACCATAGCTGACACTGCATCACACTTAGTTACTCGTACTACGCTTTTCCAGTTGCGTGGCATCGTTTCCACTGGATGGCCGGCTCTTTCGCAAGAAACTACACAATACGAGTACATTAAATATGTATATTTAAATGCGGTGTGGCACGGACAATTCCACAAAATACCACATTTTTATATTCGGCTTGGCATCCGATTATTCTACTGACATAGCGACTTAGTATTTGACTTTTTTGAGAAGGCCACTTGTTGCTTTCCAGCGGGCTTCAGAGGCTTTGTGAGTGTTTAGTTTACTGCACCATGAACACGTACAGTTTAAAGCAGTTTTTGGAAAAATATAATCTGTGAGTAGCCGAACCAGGCGGGGTTTTAAGCAAAATGCACACCCAAACAAATGCAAAATTAATCAATAGGTATTCTAGGTTCGACGATTAAACGATTTTAAATTCCTGTCAATCGTCTATATCTCCGTGATTTGAATATTTTGTTGACTCAGAAATTTTCACACAAGTAGTCATTATTAAACAATGTTTTCAGATTATAAATTGATAAAAACTGGCAAAGCCGAATCACTTTAAGCCAGTTTGCTTTGGGCCACGCACAGGAACTAAAATAAGAAACATCACGTAAGATCACGTAAATTTGGTTTCGCACTGGGGAAATGTCGTTTGGCGTTCCATTGCTCTTTTTTGCTTTAAGCCCAATCAATAGAAAAACCGGTTTCACTTTACTTCATTTTGCAACGGTTTTGCTTACACTTCAAATTGTAAATTGTAAAATCCAAATGTTGAATGGTTGAAAAAATACAAAAAAAAACTGCGGCTTATTGTCTGAAGTAGAAATGACTGAGCTTACATTGAGATAAAACTTCTCGCCCCTCTTTCGTGTTTAAATTGGATTATAAAACGTCGAGTTTTAGTTACATTTCGCGCAACGGAGGACAACATTATTACACTAGAAGAGTTTATTTATACCCTAAAAATATTTTTTGGAGCCAAGGTCTAAGGACCTCCTACGCTCAAATGAATAGCGCCTTACAAATGACCTCATGCCATATAATGTGGGGAGATATTGACCTATGAGCTAACCATTAAAATGGCTCATATTGTCAAACTTGATGTGGAGGACTGATGGCATTTCAAGTTGCTTTGGCAAAAGAGCCAATACCAAATGGTACCAAAGTACATCCCCTTTATCGGCCCAATGAAGGCTTCTATCAGCCATAGATTGGCACCCCAAGATAAGCGCGACAATAACCCATGAGTCATGAGCGAGTCCCATACCACAAACTTGTAATTTAACTTGTAAATATCAATAGCCCAATATCAGAGTCTCTCTTTAATTTTGTTCACAACTATTCGAATCAGATGAAATAGGTACTGATTAATAAAAATTTCACGCAATGTTAGTTCAATATCAGCAAATGGTGCGCTTATGCTTTCGGGTAGGAAGTACTTGCTTAATATGCAATGTTCTAACGAAGAATCCGATGGTTTTTACGAGAGTGATTGTGAAAAGAGTAAAACCCCTGTGTCTCTCTGAGAATCCGAGCCAGAACTGGCCCCCTATCGCCGTCTCACTCTGGCAACAGACTTCAAAGCACTGTTTGCGATGGCACACTCTGACAGCGGTCGTTTAAATTTCTCGCTTTGTTCCACTGCCGCAATTGCTTATTTCAGTTGCGATCGCGGCGCGAGCGAGTCAAGTCGAAAAATTTGAGAAGCGGGAATTTGGCGTCGAGCACACGGGTGGAAAATTTCTCTCACCGGACTAGACGGTGGTGGAATTGAATTGAGAACGAAAACGTTAACCCAAGCGGGAGAACAGGGCAGCAGGGGCTGCATTATTGCTGTCAGTGCCAAAGTTTACAAAGAATACACACACAGCACAGTGGTTGCATTTTGCGTTTTTAATCCCGACTGGTTGCACGATAATCAAGATGACTAAAAACGATAATGCGAATCTGTTGAACGACAACAGACTGGGCACCGCCGGAGCGGCCCAGCTAAAGGCCCAGATTGTGCCCGCCCAGCCGAAGACTCTACAGCATCTCCCTAAAAGGCCGGCAGTAGACCTGGCTTTTCACAACCTGACGTACCGCGTCAAAGAAGGAAACCGAAGCAGTAAGTAGAACGCCTTATATATGTAAATATGTAGATTATATGCATCTGCACGCCTTGTCCCAGCAGAAAAGCAGGCGTGATCTGCACTATAAAAGAGCAATTTGTTTTTGTGTTCTTTGTATGGCGTCCCAGTACTCGTGGTCAGGGGAGTATAGCTTCCCTGTTTTTGGGAGTTTCTTCTTAGAAGGGCTATGCTGCTGTTACGCACTTCATCAGCCTTCAGCGGGTTTTACTTGTTTGCTTTAGCTGCGCTTTGCGTCGTGCTGGTTTCTGGTTTCTTTGTTCTTCTGGTAGCAGTATCAGTGTTGTCATACTGCCAGCAATGGGGAAAACTTCTGGTTACAGAGCTTATTCGTTTCCCAGTTGAACAAGGGCGACTGTGGCCAAAGTTCACTGAGTTTTTTTAGCGATAAGCCGTGACAAACACATTAAACTCATCATCCAGTAGCCCCGGAATAACTGCTCACAGACATACATTTTTTCCCAGTGGAACAGTCAACAAGTTGGTTCGATTCTAAAGCATTGGGCATGCGAGCCATGTACTCGCACTTCTCTCTACATTCACGTTTGTATGTATCTACTTGGTAGCATGGGTGGAACCAAATGGGGGTTTGCCTGGATCTGTTGCTGTTCATGAGAAAAATGACATGCTGGCGTTTTATGCTTGTATAAGCAGATCGATTAAGATTTATTCAGAACCGGATAGCTAACTACGGTCGGTTTGGGTGGTTCCAAAATATTCATTAACATGCAGGGGAAATACAGAAAAAAGCGCACTCTATTTGCGGGAGTGGCCCCGTTGGGCATTTTCATTAATAATATGGGACAGCGATAATATTCCCAATATTGTATTATTTCAACGGGCACAGCTGCTTTGTTCTCAGATATCCGCCAATCAATAAAAAGCACAGCCGCAAATCCCCCCTATATGTCAGAATCGAACATTTTGACTCGCCCTGGATGCAGTTGGACAGAGGCAAGGACAACCACTATAACGGGTCGGTACATCCCGTCTGTAACTGAGAAAAACATCAGAACCTGTTTGTAGCTTACGGTCGCAACGTACGAGCAGTACGGCCAAGTGCAAAAGTAATTGAATGCGGCAGCAGTCTGAACTTTGCACAGCAGCTAATTGCCACAAGATACAAAGGTTGGCCATTCGACCCAATTAAGTCGTTTAGAATATATGCTCGTATAGACGTATTTGCAATGGTCACTGAGTGTGACTCACGTGGACCAAAGATTTGCAGATGGCCCCCGATTTTAGAGACGTGCTAAGTTAGAGGCCTAATTATATACACAATAAAGCGAGGCATGCGATAGAATTTGAGCTGTATTCGGCAGACCCACTATTTTAAAGTAAACAAACTGGCAGGTGCGAGTACCTGCTTGTGTTCTCGGATGTTCAACAGCCACTGTACGGGGAAATCTAGAGAGTAGACTTCGCAAAAGAGACTGCAGTGCCCTTGGAGCTTGTTTCGCGCAATTTTTTCTGTGCAAACTGAATGACAGCACTTGTTGTTAAATCCAACCATAAACATCATTGCTGCTGGTTGGCCTTAACGTTGGACAAAAATTTGTCAATTGTGGCTCAACTATGGCGCTCTTACTTACCCTTACGACTGCCATTTGACTGCTGTCTAAATCAGGCTTCGGTTCAATGCGAGACGTGGCTGGTGGTTACGCTTACGACTAGCTAATCGCCGTCTGACAGTTAAGGTTCACTGCCAGCTTTTGATGTGCGACGTAGTAAGTCAGGCGTCGAATAACAAAATTACATCCCCTGCACGAGCTCGAACAATCTCTAGTTTCACTTCTCAGCGGGTCACGGCACTCTACTAGCCGGAGTTATGAGACGTTTTAATTGAAGTATTATGTAATGTGTAACATAATTCAGCTATAACTCTGCTGCCCCACAATAATCAACACATATTGTAAAATCCTTCATATTTTTACACCACCAAACTTCGATAAAATGGTTTAGGCAAGAAACGTTCGTGCCCCTAGAAAACGGGTTTATTAGCATTTTTCGTAAGGCCCAGATGGCTTGGTGTGCAAATCTTTTGGTTTATAGGTATGTGATGTTAATAAGACACTTCCGCATCTAAAGTTCCATTTAGACATCATGCGCGAAATTACCAATTCTGAGGCCGACCATCTCTAAAGCGGAAATCACAGCCAATAAATGTTTACTCCAATATGCTTTTACTTCTATCAAGAGTAATTCAATACACAATGTATATTCTTGATCAGGATCACTCGACAAGGGGTTTAACCAGTTTAAGATTATTCCTACGAACTCTGAGACTTATAAAAACTAAACAGTTTAATTCCAAAAATATACGACGACTGTTTCTACCACATCATTAATGTAGATAGTTGGAATACATTTAAACATTACTTATTATTTGAAAATATGTATGTAAATCTATAAATATGGTCCAATGAATTGTTTTAACGCTCAATTAAAATCATTACTGATGAAAGAATAACGGGTACCTTATGGTTTCTGGTATTGACTATAGCGTACTTTCCAATTCCTAAAAAGATCTTATTTTTTGAGAAGTTTGCATTGTAAACTTCTGCATCGCTAGAATTTAGTTCTTAAATAGTACAATTTCTGCCCAAACTAAAGACGGTAGAAGTGAAAGATGAAAACTTCAGGGAGGACAATGACCGCAATATGTCTTTTGATTGTCACATTTTCCAAAGTGCTCATCTGAATGCCAATGCAACGCCTTCTTTGACAGCGCCGCTTTAAGTGGCGGCTCTTGCGTTTAATGACGTAAGGCCAATCAAAAAGTCAACTATTTATAGTCTCAATTTTAATTTTGTGCCTTTTGTTACAGATGCCAAGACAATTCTGAAGGGCGTCAGTGGACGCCTCCGGTCGGGAGAGCTCACCGCCATAATGGGACCATCGGGCGCTGGCAAGAGTACGCTTCTCAACATTTTGTCGGGCTACAAGTAAGTTTGGTAGGACCCTGATAATTTGCATTCACATTAAGTAGCTGCTGAAATGCGAATCACCGAACGTACATATAATACATTATATGACCTTAAGCTGAGTAGAATACGGCAATACAAGTGCGAGTATGTTTTTATTATCAACAAAAATAATTCCGACTTGATAAGCGGTAAAAGAGCCAGTTTAGCGCTTGAATCTCTAACCTTTTCATGGCCTGTGTTCTTTGTAATTACATAATTTATGCACGCCAGGCCTATCTTTATTCGTTTATTGAAAACGCTAAATTTTGCTGTACCGTACAATAACAATAAATATTTCAATTCACCTGCCAAATTGTGACTATTGTTACCATGAGCGATCAGCTTTTCGAAAAGAGTGGCTAAATGAATCGCAGGAAGTCGGTTTTTATGATACATACTTGTATATCGTATCAGAGTGTAATCAGCGACTCGCTTCGCCATTTCCTTCAAAACACAGCATTGTCGCTGTGTTTTATTAGTTTGAATTCTTGTCGGAGAATACGCTACCAGTTTGCTGAACTTCGGACTCAGGTTACCCGATCGATCGCGTGAAAATATATACACATTGTATAACAAATAAGTGTTCGCATACAAGCAAGCGGAGATAATAAAATACACCTTAAATTATTTGCAACCTGCTTGTCTATCATAACCGTTCGTGTGAACGATTTCTCGGTCTTGAGAAAAGAAAATGGTAAAAAATAGGTTTTCATACGTCACCGTATATTGTAAAGCAGATAACTAACACTTTCTATATAATTGCACACGCAGAACATCGAGCATCGAAGGAAGCGTCACCATGAACGGCGCCGAGCGCAACCTCAGCGCTTTCCGCAAACTGTCTGCCTACATTATGCAGGACAATCAGCTGCACGGAAACCTAACCGTTCAGGAAGCCATGACTGTGGCCACAAATCTGAAGCTCAGCAAGAAGTTCTCAAAGCCTGAGAAGCATTCAATGGTAAGTCAAAAAGGGACCGAGACAGACCGAAATACTATTCGGCCAATTAATCAAGTTTCCCTACTTTAATGGCAAATTTGCTTTTAGAACAGAACCATTTCTGAGTTGAAGATATTTATAGAATATTTAGCAAGTCATCGGCACTGAACGGAACAGAAATATAGCTTATATACTTCCACCCTGCTAACAAGCCACTATCTTTTTCAGATCGATGACATCTTGTTGACACTTAGCCTAAGCGAGCACCGCTATACGATGACTCGGAATCTGTCCGGCGGTCAGAAAAAGCGCCTTTCGATTGCCCTGGAACTGGTCAGCAATCCACCCATAATGTTCTTTGACGAACCCACCTCCGGTCTGGACAGTTCCACTTGTTTCCAGTGCATCCATCTGCTGAAGATGCTGGCCGCCGGCGGTCGCACTGTTATCTGCACCATCCATCAACCTTCCGCTCGCCTTTTTGAAATGTTTGACCAGCTTTACACTCTAGCTGACGGTCAGTGCGTCTATCAGGGCAGCACAAAGCAACTGGTACCCTTTTTGTCTACTCTAAACCTCGAATGCCCCAGTTACCACAATCCGGCGAGCTACGTGATTGAGGTGTCTTGCGGGGAGCATGGCGACCACACTCGCAAACTGGTCGACGCCATTGATAATGGCAAACGGGATATTCGCTCGTCGGCGGACTACGCTGGCCTAAAAGCTCGCAATGATCTCGTGAAGGTTCAAAACCTTAAGGCCATTTTGGACAAAAATGACGCCTCCAACGTCAGTGGCAGCAAGTACGACGACAACCTGACCTTGAACAACGGTTTGCTCAATGGGATGGTTAACGATATTGTAAAGGAGGGCGCTAACTCTGCTTTAGTCACCACCAATGAAAAGGGAGATGCTATGATCGATGTGGAAAAGTCTGTCAACTGCACCACAGGCTTGCTTACAGAAGAGATCACATCACCGGAGCGTTACCCCACATCGCAGTTTCACCAGTTCTGGGTTGTTCTTAAGCGAACTCTACTGTTCAGTTATCGCGATTGGGTAAGCCAATTTTTCGACATAAGCTTGTGGGTAGACTTAAAATTCTGTTTCTTATTCTTTAGACTCTTATGTATCTGCGTTTATTTGCTCATCTTTTGGTTGGATTCTTAATCGGCGCCCTCTACTATGACATCGGAAATGATGGAGCTAAAGTTCTGAGCAACCTGGGTTTCCTTTTCTTCAACATGCTTTTCCTGATGTACACGTCAATGACCATTACAATTCTGTCATGTAAGAAATATCAGAGGGTTGAATACCGTTTTTCGATATATAATATATATATTTATTTTCAGTCCCGCTTGAGATGCCCGTTTTATTAAAGGAAAACTTTAACCGCTGGTACTCGTTAAAGTCCTACTATCTAGCTATATCAGTGGCCGATCTACCGTTTCAAGTGAGTTGCACATAGGTTTTAGGAATAACTCAAACTATAACAGAACTATATTTCTCCTTCAGGCAATTTTCTGCGTCATTTACGTGTCGATCGTCTATTACTTTACCTCACAGCCTTGGGAGCTGTTTCGCTTTTCGATGTTCTTGTCGGCCTGCCTGCTCATATCGTTCGTGGCTCAGTCAGTGGGCCTAGTGGTCGGTGCTGCAATGAATGTGCAGAACGGTGTCTTCCTGGCACCGGTCATGTCCGTTCCCTTCCTGCTGTTCTCCGGCTTCTTTGTCTCATTCGACGCTATTCCAGTATACTTGAGGTGGATTACATATTTGTCGTACATCCGATACGGATTCGAGGGCACTGCCCTTGCCACCTATGGATACGGTCGTGAAAAGCTTAGGTGCTTCCAGACCTATTGTCACTTCAAATCACCAACTACAACGCTGGAGGAACTGGACATGGTAAATGCCAACTTTACTCTGGACATTGTGGCCTTGATTGTGATTTTCGTTGTGCTGCGCATTTCGGCGTATCTGTTCTTGCGCTGGAAGCTGAAGACTGTGCGCTAAACATAATACCGCTATTTGATGTTTTTGGTTCAAAAAGCTTTCATATTTTTTATATTCAACCACGAGTTTTGGGTTCTGTTCTTAATCATTCATATTTTTAACAAATATATTTTTGGCTAGTTTGTAATTGCGAAATTTAGATTTTAAGATGAAAATGTGTGTAGGTCTTACACGTAACTGAGCTTGATTCCAACCTTACAAAAATGTATCAAACCAAAGTACTGTAAGCAGCACACAACCTTCGATATAAGAATGGTATAATGATATAAGTTATTATACTTCAAAACCCTAAATTTTTGCCAAAAAAAATTAAAATTTAAATACATTTCTAATTGTATTTAAAAATTGTTTTGTAAATGTCTGTGAATAAAAGCTTATTAACTAATATTTTGTGCCCACGAACAAGGTGTAAAATAAATGAAATTATTTTAATATATACATATATATAATTGTAATCAAGATACTATACTATTTTGTACCACTTTGTAATACAGTTTTACGATAGATCCAAATATAATATAGGTGTCTGCAATATATACATGTATTATAATCCAACTTGTATTTATAATTAGTTCATTTTGAGGAAATAAAGAAATTATACACAGGATACTACTTCTAGGTACGATAAAAATAATGGGATAATGTAGGTGTGTAAGACGCTTAAAGCTCTTGCAGCGCCATCTGGCGGTAAGCGTTAAAAAAATGAAAAAGTTTGCACTGTGAACACGGAACGATTCGATTATTTTCAATTTAGTGTGCAATACGGTAAATTTGAGCTATTTTTGTAATGATAGCGTGCAGTCTGTAATAACTACTATAATTTCCCACTCACTACATTGAAATTTGTGTACATGTTATTTTAAATAATCGTCCTCGTTTTCTAAAGAGCACAACACAGTTTTCACTTGATGGCTAGTGGCGTGGCGCAAAAAAGGTAAGTCAGAGGAACTAAAACAGTTCCTGGCATATCCCAAAAAAGCCAGGTTAGTAGACATATTAACGTTCACTTTTAAAGAGAGTAGACCCGGTATAAATAGAATAAAGTGGTTTTCAGAGGATCCAAAACAAGTTTTTGAGTAAGTCCAGCCGCCTAGAGATCCAGAAGATGTAAGTTTCGCCTCTGGCACTGTTCTTTTCCTGCACTCGTTTTTAGTACATAAATGATACTCGGTGCCGCAAGTCGACGTCTCCTCGCTGCCGAAGTAGTTGCCGGCATACATATATGTAGATAGAGAGTGGAAATGCAGCGACCGCAGACCCCGCTATAAGAAAGTGGCCTCCAACTAACCCTCCTCAGTTCGAGCTAGTGAGTTGTGCATTTACGCAGCTGCAAATAGTAGTTCTCGTTCTGCCGGCTATATCTAAACGCGTTCGTTGAACCCGAAATGTCGGGAGCAAGTACAAGAATGTAAGAGAACTTGCAGGAGTGTAGGTTCTATTTACAAAGCTTCTCACTAGCGGATGCAAACACTTATTCGATTTTTAGGTCAGCTAAGGTAGTTGTTATCAGCGTTCAAAACAAGGTTGATCAGTATATGACTCAAAAGCCCGGGACAAAAAAATATATTCAGAATATGTCGATAATTCTGTAAACATAAAATATTAAATTAAAATCACATCAGCTTTGCTTTTTATTATATTTCTGTGTCGGAAGTATACTCCTTTTATATATTTTAGATACATATGTACTTTTGTTTATTTTATTCGAACATTGTAGTATTGTTGATCATGTTTTTCATGTATCACCAGTCGAATCAAAGCCAAAGCTCAACATTCGCCGCTTCAATGCATTAAAATGCGCCATTACTCATACAGCAACGTCAATAAAGTGTCTGCTGGAAAGTCGCCTCTTGACTGCCCTAGCCAAGCTATAAGTACATGAAAAAGCTACGCAAAATTTGTTTGACCGACATCAAAAAGTATATGTCAATGGTCACTCATACAGAACCCCTCAGGATTACACTTGTATTTATACACTGTCATAAAACACTCATCGCTAATTTTTGGGATCGCTAAAATATGAAGCGCGCAATTATTAAGAGATAACAGTGATAGAGAGAAAACATAAGCGTTCAGATTGCGCATCCGCACTGTCTGCTTATCGGTAAGAGTCTTAAATAAAGAATCGAGCAAAACTTCCGCTTTGGATTAGCCCATTTGCTGATAACACTTGAAATTCTCTGACAAGTCGGTATCGTGATAATTGAAAATTCTGTGCGCTGGGCCCTTCTACGAATACTTAGCAGTACTCCGTGACACTTGATCTTCCCCCACACCCAGATTCGGTCGGCAAGTAGCGGGACAGCCAGATCACCATACTGCCACGACTCAATCAAACGGCCAGCCATTCGGTGTAAACTCGAGCAGGCTGTCAGTCGTGTGTGTACTTTCCATCAATTGAAAATCTGAGTTTATTTTCGAGCTTCGCTCTGAGACAACGAACGCGCACTCCCACTTTAGTAGCTTTAGGAATAAATTTCATTTAAAAATTTCTCTTTGTTCAGTGCGAAATTTGTTTCTAGAACAAAGCGTACGTCACTTTTATAAATGTAATTCCGAGTTTAAGTAAAATGAAATTAACTCGCAAACAAAACAAGCGATGAATTTAAATTAGACAAACTGGTTAAACCAACAATCATATTATCTTTTCGTCCACAATACTGTTTACTAGTTGATATCCATTGTACCACAGAATCTTTGTTATTAAATGGCAGCTAAGAAAAAATATTCCAGTATTACGACCCCAACCCCCATCGAAAGGTTATCAGAGAAGCGAAACATTCGGCGAAGTATAAGCTCGTCTTATTAAATTCGATAAGCTCGGCTTATTAAATTCGATATCGCAAATCCTCTCATTTTAGGAACAATGACATCGGAAAAAAACGACGGTGATTTCTAGGAATATCAAAATGCAGACAGCCATCAACTTAAAAGGCAGCACAGGAAGCTCCATTGAATATAGCAGCGACATAAATGCAATTAGTATCGAGCCCGATCATTCGGAGAACTTTCAATCCGTCAGCGGGCTTAAGTATTTACCCTCCTGGCCAGCGGTAAATTTGCAGTTTACAAACCTCAGCTATGAGGTGCCCGACCAGGCCCATGGTACGTATACGAGCTTCTCATATGATTAAGGAATTTTAAATAAATATGGTTGTGATTGATAATAGGTTATTACGAATGATTATTGTTCATAATTTGCAAAGTAATTGCTGTTTTTCTCTCTTTCAACTCTTTTTTTTCCAATGCTAAACATGCACATTTTAAAGTGCAATTATTACAGCAATGAAATTGATGTTGACAGTACCCTACAATTATAAATACCTTAAATCTTAATCTTTAATCATTTATATTGTACTGAAAATTTTCTTACTTTTGTCGCTAAATTATTCAGCTTCTAAGCCAAAGACGATCTTGCGGGGAGTCAACGGAGTGTTCCACTCTCATGAGCTTACTGCGATAATGGGACCTTCAGGGGCTGGTAAAACTACACTGCTAAACCTGTTGGCGGGTTTTGGGTAATATCCAATACAACAAATCTCTCATATAAATAACTCATCAATATTATAAACCAGCGGCGTCAGCGGCTCCGGTGAGATTTTTGTAAATAACAGTTTGAGGGATATGCGAGTCTTTCGAAAAATGTCCCGATACATAATGCAGGTTTGTGTGGGTTTTTGGATGTTCCTCTAACAATTTATTTAATTCATAGACAGATGTTGTGGATCCGCAGTTTTCGGTGCGCGAAATGATGCTTTTGGCAGCAAACTTAAAGTTGGGAAATGAACTTAATCTAAAGCAAAAGCTTGAGCTGGTAAGATTGACTTGACAAATATTCCTTTTCGTGCTCTAAACTCACCCTGAGTAGATTGACGAAATTTTGGGAATGTTGCGACTGAAACGATCTCAAAACACTATGGCTCCAAAGCTTTCGGGTGGTGAGCGAAAACGTTTCTGCATAGCTCTCGAGCTGGTCAACAATCCACCTGTTATTTTTCTTGACGAACCTACAACGTGAGTTTATGAAACCAGTAAAAATAAAAATCTATAATCTCACGCCCATGCTAATAGCGGTCTGGATGATTTGTCGAGCTCTCAATGCATTGCCCTACTGAAGATGTTGGCCGCCGGGGGACGTACTGTGATCTGCTCAATCCACACACCATCTGCCAAGATCTTTGAGATGCTCGACGCTGTCTACGTCCTCGCTAAGGGCCAATGCATCTACCAAGGAAGTGGAACAAATATTGTTCCCTATATGAAGCATCTGGGACTGTGCTGCCCAGTAACATATAACCCGGCAGACTTCATCATTGAAGTGGCATGTAACGAGTATGGGGATTCCTATCACGTGAATATGGTTGATGCCGTTGGAAACGGAAAGGTTTCACGATGGACTCCTCCATCGGAGGATGGCAAATTAACACCCACAAAAACCGACACCACATCGGGAGCATCGTCATTTTACGAACTAGATCAGTTTGAAGAGGAGATCAGTCCAAAGCTGTTGCAGGCCAAGTGCAACTGGTGGATGCAGTACAAGCTCCTTTTTATGCGGATGCTCATACAAATGTGGAGAGACAAGGTGAGTGCACTGGGAGAGATACACAAAAGCGCATTAATATAATTTTAACGATATCTTAGTCTTACATTAAGCTGAAGTTCTACATGAACATAGTACTTGCGTTACTGGTGGGGTCGCTTTACTTTGGTATGGGAACCTCGGCCTCTAAAGCGCTTTTCAATTTCGGTTTCATGTTTACTATTGTGATTGCATACCTCTACCTACCTATGATGCCTGTTCTCCTATACTGTGAGTCCATTATTTCGTCCTTGAACAGCAATGTTCATTAATGAACACCTCTATTTCAGTTCCTACGGAAATTAATCTGTTGAAGAGGGAGTACAACAATCAGTGGTATCGTCTAAGCTCCTATTACGCTGCAATGGTATCCTCCAAGCTACCATCCATGTTCATTTTAGCCGTTATTTATCTTTCTATTGTATACTTAATGTCCAGCCAGCCACTTGAGTGGTTCCGCTTTGCCATGCTATTTACAATAGCTTTCGTTACGGCCTTGACTTCTGACAGTTTTGGTTTGTTGATCTCAAGTAGACTTAGTTTGGTGGTAAGCCATCTGTAACATACAAATCTAATATATCTTAATCCTGTGAAATTTCTTTTAGAATGCAATGTTTATGGGCCCAGTGCTTGCCGTACCCCTAATCCTGCTCTCTATATACGGAATAGGGTACGGTGGTGGAACCTATGTATCCCCTCTTATGAGATTTTTTATGCACCTCAGTTACCTTCGCCACGGTATGGAAGGCTTAGTCGCCTCCCTGTATGACTATGGACGCGCTGACACAATTTGCGAGGACACAGAAATCTTTTGCTCCTTCAAAAAGTCTAAGGTCCTGCTGGCCTTTCTAGGCTTTGAAAACATGCACTATTTGTGGTCTCTCACATGTTTAATTGGCTTTTATTTGTTTTTTACTGTCGCAGCGTACATTATGATAAGACAGCGTCTGAAAAAATCAGCGATAAACCCAATTTTTGCATACGTCCTACAGTTGTTAACTAAATATTTTAACTTTACTTCCTACAATTATTAAAAACATTGATCGTTTTGGGCTGGTGCTCTTAAAATATTTTTAAGCGGGATTCCAGTGGTCAGTCTTAGTTTCCAAATAGCCCATATTAAAATAGGCCAAGCACAAGAACATATAAGAGTAATAAAACATTTTTATATTTATGTTAAAGATAAAAAATAAAAGTGTTTTCTTTAACCATGATTTGTCTTAAAACTTAATAGTTTACTGTCAGATTACACTATAACCCCAAAAGAAACGTCTCTTCTTTTCAATAAAAAGACGCATAGATCAGTTGTGCTTATTCGAATTTGGGTATTCAAATATAAACAATAAACATCACTTACCTGGTGTCTACATTTCATTACTTTGCAGAAGCCTGGATTATCTCACCGGCTATTGTCCTGTGATTATACAGAAATCCGTGACCAGCTTAAATGCTGGCTTGGGTATTAAACACTTATGTTTTCGGAAGAAGACCGCTAGTGATCTCGAACAGTAAACGAACATTTTGCACTTTTACCGCATCACCGCCAAGTTTTTTTTTTAAAAAAATGTATTAAGTGATCTGCCACGGGTCCCGTTATTAATCGATTGGAACAGCTGAGCGTTTCAATATCGATTGGAACATATCGATACATCGATGGTATTTATTTATTATCTGCGGCAGTTTGAATTGAAATTGAATTCACGTAGCATTTGATAAATACTTTCTGACCATTATTATACATGGTTAAATATAACTTATTCAGCATTTGACCTGCGCTTTTAAGGTTTTACTACTAGTGGAATAAGAACGTAGTTTAATTTTAAAAACTCGGTTAAGTTTATTGCAATGATCATTGCTATGAGAAAGTTTGTTTGTCTTGAACATATTTGTAAAAATACACTGTTTTAATATATTCTTTTCATCTGTATTATTAATATATTTTTGTAAAGGAAAATACATTATCTTAAGTTTGGTTGTTTACAGAAAATACAAAGACAGTGTGTAATTTACATACAATCGAGTTGCTTAAAAACTTTTGGTTAAACATATACAACGCATACAACATTTAGAAATATTAAAAGAGACAAAATAAGTGTACAATTAGGGCTTGAGAGTAAGGCATATTTTCTAGGCAACGGATTCTAGAACTTTTATACATATTCAATGCCAACTGAATTATATTGCAAGATAATTTAAAGGGCAGACAAACTAATTCAATTTCAATTTTTCGTGATAACAAAACTGAGCGACTCTATACTATGTATATGTATAACTAAAGCTCATCAATTATGTTGAAGTCCTCTATTAAGTATATATATGCGGGTAGTATGACAAATACAACTAGTGCTGTGTGACAAGACTACACACATCAGATGGTTTAAATTATATAGCGAAGAGCGCAGGTGCAGTTAGAAACAAAGTCTAAAATAAGGTTGCAACCTCTACGACTTTTATCTTTAAAAAGAAAACTAAGAATTACGTTATTGTTGTGGTTTTTGTTGATTCTGACGCTGATGACGACAACGATGGCTTCGACCTTTTAGCACACGGTGACTGTGGAAGCGGGGCATCAGCGTCTAGTCAGTTGTCAGTCTCCAAAGGCTTAGCCTCCTCCCACGAGAAACCGGCACGTCCGAAATGACCATAGGTGCTGGTGCGCTGATATATCGGCTGACGCAAATTCAAGTCCCTGATAACAAATAGGAGGACAATTGATAAACTGAAATACATAGCAGTATTTAAAGCTTTTCACTTACTTAACAATCTTGCCAGGCCTGAGGTCAAAGTTGCGGCGAATGATATCCAGGAGTTCCTTTTGTGACTTGTGCGAAGTTCCATAGTCAAACACGGTTATAGATAACGGCTCGGCAAGACCAATGGCATAAGAGACTTGGACCAGGCAGCGCTTGCAAAGACCAGCCTTAACCAGAGATTTGGCTACCCAGCGAGCTGCGTATGCTGCTGATCTATCGACCTTAGTAAAATCCTTGCCAGAGAAAGCACCACCGCCGTGGGCGCCCCATCCTCCGTATGTGTCCACAATGATTTTTCTTCCAGTAAGACCAGCGTCACCCATTGGTCCACCGATAACAAATAGACCGCAGGGATTGATGTGTACAATAGTGTTAGCATCAATGTATTTGGCGGGAATGACAACTTTCACAACTTTCTCCATTACTTCCGATCGTAGTGTCTCCAACGATATTTTCTCAGAGTGTTGCATGGACACCACGATGGTATGAACGCGCTTGGGAACGGCTGATCCTTGGTTGAATAGATACTCGCAAGTAACTTGAGTCTTGGAATCGGGCCGAGCCCACCAGAATACATCAGAGCGACGCAGCTCAGCAATCTTCTCGTTCAGTTTGTGGGCTAAAACGACTGTGAGGGGCATGCACTCCTCGGTCTCATCGGTGGCATATCCAAACATAATGCCCTGCAAAACGTTTATTTATTGCTTTACTAATGAATTATGCTTTTAATCACCAAACAAAAGCGACCAAAACCAATTATTGTCAGTAGTTAGTAAAAAGAAGTACACTTGGATTAGAAAATTTTCGGGTTATTTAAGGATGAGGTTAAAATAGAGATTACGTTTGGTTTGAAGAAATTTCTAATGAAACTTTCAAACGGTCAAAATATGGTTACATTTTGTGTGTTTGTAATGTGCGTGATGTAGTGTGCCTTAAGTTGAGTATTTGTTATTTGAAACATCTGTCTAAGCTGAATAAATAAAAACAAAATGGTATATCAGGGATTTGCTGATCAAAAAAAGAAAGAATTTTGCAACTTCAATTAACAAAGAAGGCTATAAAATGAAGTGTTGATAAAGCCGTGGAATTGTCAAACTAATATTGCAGCGCTAATTATGAGAAATGACAAATAGGTAACTGAAGATGGATTCAAAAGTAATTAGCAATACAGTCGTCATACAATCCTTTGATTAGTTACAAAAATATTTTAAGGAAACAAACACAAATTTTACAAGTGGAGGTAAGCCCCTTCCAAGAGCTTAATTCCCAAACACCTTGAATATCAGATCCATTGCAGATCTATAGAAAAACAAAAGATGCGTCTCTCTTAGGAAAGGGCCTTCAATCTCGGCATGCCGAGACTACCATTACTTTACTGCTTCTAATTCACACCTGATCTCCGGCACCGATCTCTTCCTCGGCGCGGTTGACATGCACTCCGGCAGCGATCTCGGGCGATTGCTGGTCCAATGCCAAGAGCACGTTGCACGTTTTAAAATCGAAACCTTTAGTGATTTTCGAACCGCGATTGCATAATGCACAATGTCGTTTAAAATATGGTATTGATTTGTATCGTGTTTTGTTACATATGAAACGAGAGAGAAAGATAAGAAAAAAGAGCGCAGCAATGTTGCACATATACAGGAAAATGTCTGTAAGTAATGTTTATAATATGATTGTAATCACCCTATTATTCTAGATTATCATTAAAAGGTTATTATATAAAAATCCGATATTGTTTAATCTTAATCGGGACTCCATTTCAATAAGCAGATGTCTGATGATCTTTAGGTATCATAGCCTAGAAACCTAGGTCTCCTTCGATAGGGGAACACACGTAACATGCAAGACTTCTTTTCTCGCAATTTGTAAATGGTTATAAAATTTTTCGATGGGTTTGAAGAATGCAATTATGTGGTTAGAACACCCGCAGTTTAATCCAAATGTGTGATAGGTTATATATGCAGCCGTTATTTATTTGCTCGAGGTGCGCCTTTTAACTTTTTTTATGCGGATTGCTGCTATTTAGTGGTCATCAAATACAACTCGTACTTTGAATAGCAGCTTTAAAATTGTTTTTCTGGTGGTTTGAAATAAATGAATTTTTCTGCACGGTATCTGCTTTTATGATAAATGTGAAACTCTCGTAGGCCTGTGATCGTGTCAAGTTAATGTAGGAAGTATACAATTTAAGGGCAACACTTAACAAAATGGAAACGAAACAAACGCACACACACTCCCCGCATCACTTAGTGCTAGGGTAGTAGGAGAAGGATAAGCTTTGCTGTACCTGGTCACCAGCGCCGACGTCGTCTTCTTCGCGGTTGATGTGAACGCCATTGGCAATGTCGGGAGACTGTTGTTCGATAGCGACAAGTAGATTTAGGGTCTTCCAATCGAAACCTTTTTGATTTTGTTTTGATTTTTTATGTGATTTAATATTGGGTTAACAAGTAATCACTGATTTCCGACGAGTTAAAAGAATTCTAAAGCCCGCCCAAATATTTACTATAATTGGTAAACACTTACCCTTGGAGGAATCATCGTAGCCAATATGCTGAACTGTCTCACGAACAACCTTCTGGTAGTCGACAACGGCCTTTGATGTGATCTCGCCGCACAGCAAGATCATGCCGGTTTTGGCGACCGTTTCTATGTTAAGTAATACGGAAATTTATAAATTACTTTCTGGCCATACAATTCCATAACAAGCCTCTCCGAAGAACTAAAAACCACCCCTTTGCCTGTCTAGTTACTTGAACTTGTTTATTTACTGGCTAAATCAACTGCCAAATCATTGCACACGGGTCGATTGTTGCGCCAATGTTTACTTAAGAATAAGTTTATTTATTGATGGTATGCCGCCCTTAAACAGTCCAACTACCGAAAGTTTATGAAAAACTGTTTTAGAGAGACTCAAAAAAGTCATTAGTATTGGCTTTTGAGATTTTAGTTTATAGGATCCACGGACAGTCTTGTTTTCATTATACCTTAAACACTTACCACACGCCACTTTTGCGTTGGGATCCTGCTTCAGATGGGCATCCAAGATAGCGTCGCTGATTTGGTCGCACATTTTGTCTACAATAAGGGAGGAGGTTAATAAAGGGAATAAAAATGGTTACCGCCAAGCATCGTGGTCGGGGGAATGAAGGGAGCAACGTTGATGCTAAATACATATAAAAACCCTCCAACATTTGTCGCCGCCTAGGCGAGACAACAAAAGTGCCATGCCATGCGGTTTATTTTAACTTTCAGTCTGCATTTGCCAGCGAAATTCAATGCGACTTTATGTCTATATGAACAAGATCCTATGGAGACGATGGCGTGGTGGAAATACAATTTGATGGAATCCGAAGCCAAATCGCGCATGGAATCCTTGGGCTCGCATTCATCCGATACTAGTCTCGTTGTTGTGCTCCAAAAGTTGGCGCGTAATGTGAGCCCTTTGACTTTCGGCAGCTTTACGTGGAAACAGCGTTATTAAACTCGAATATTGCGTCAGCCATAGGCTCATGAATTGGCAAAACTAGAAAAGTGTTGATTCATATATATGGCGCATCGTTTGATTTCGGCTGGGAAAATGATTGGAAATTTACTATTTCCGATCTCTTGGTTTATGGGCTTAAAACTCATCTCCGAGATCAGAGAATATGTTATATTTCATGGGTAAATTAGTTCCCCATTCTAACGAGCCTGTCATTTATCCATCACCGGAGAACAGGTGAAATTAATGTCAACCACAAGGGGTGTATTCTTTTGGGTAGCTTTTAGTGCTTATCATCACAGTTGTCTAGGCTAGCTTGCCAAGCCGACTTAATTAGCATTATAAAATATAGAACGATAAAAGTAATCAATGCGTAGTATAAAAGGTCGCTCCCCTTATCAGCAGATGTTGTCATACATTCACATACTGGTGGTTTCTGCTGATATAAACAAACTCTGGTTGCGGCGAAAAGCCCGAGCTCGAGCGAAACACGTGGTTGGCAATTTCGCCGGGAAGATAAGCTTTAAAAGCGGATTCGTAGAGCAACAGAACGCCAACGTGGGTTTGTTTTAGTTTGTCCCTTGTTTTGATCGCCTGTGAAACAAGTGTTCAAGTGCATAAGCAAGCATAAGAGCGGAGAGAACTTTCCCGGTCGCCAGCTCCCAATAAGGCAGAAGCACATGGTGCGCATGACGCAGATTCACAAAGTGTGAGAGCGGTAGACGATAAAGAACCAGTCTATAAATTGTGTTGGCCCCACAAACGCAAGGTTTGGTACCGTTGACTTGCGGGGATATAGAGAGTGGGGTGTTCTTATGTAGGCCCAAGTCTCGAATGTAGTGTCTGGCGATTCAGTAGAGGATCCAAGTACATATGTGGAATACAGAATATATAAGAGCTTTAACGAAAAGAATCTTCCCTTAGTGAGTTTTCAGCGATCCGGGGGTACAACGTCTCCATTATTTGAATGACGATTAAACAAGCACGTTTTTCACTACCACTCATTCTGCTACACAGCCACAACAAAAGAAGCTCAATTTGGGCACTACTAACCAAGGGCATGCAGCAAGCTATCCGTCGCCATTTTTATAGTTCTCGGGTATTGGACAGCGGAGGGGTCGAAATAGGTTTGAATGGGATGACAATTCAACAGACAACCATTTGGGTAAAAGACCCTGGACAAACAGTTTGATCAGGTTATAGCCACCATTAGACGACGTAAATGTGCATCTCTTAATACAGGCGAAAATGCATTTGTGACTGTGTTTGTATACACGACGCACATGCAGGGCAAACACTCGCTATGATGCAATATGATGTGGCGCAGATGTATTGAAGTACTCACCTGGATGGCCCTCGCCCACGGATTCGGAGGTGAACAGGAATGTGGCTCCGTCTTCCATGTCATAAGAGTTGCCGTTACTTCCGTTGCAGCCGTTGGCGCTGTGTCCATTTGTCTTTTGCGGCATTTTTAGTATGTAGCTTGAAACTTTTTAAGTCTGATGAAGAAAAATTAACACAAGTTCCGGTCGGATAAATTGTTGGTGGAGCTGCGGGAACAGAGAAAACAGACCACATTAGAAGTTCTAAAAAAAAAACGCTTGACGAAATTGATTTTTCGAACTCTCACAAAACACAGCTATTTTCGCATTTGCGGATCTGCGCTGCCCGTCCCCTTGAGGCTGTTGGGATTTTCCGGTTTTCGCGTGCTTTTCGAAATGACTATAGTTTTTATATAATCGGTTTAATATTATGCTGTGTTTACCACACACAGGGAGCGCCTCACACTCGGTACGCACGTTGTGCGCAGTCAACAGACTAAAAGGTTTCTAGGCGAGAGGTGGCAGCTCGTTTATATGCGTGTTCGACTGGCTTTTAGTTCAATAAATTATACACACTGATTCGAATTCTACTGGTTCAGCGATGGCAACCAAATCAGCGGCGCAGCTAACACACGTCCTATCTTGGCGACGGTTCTGTAGAAGAAGAGCGCATACTTTTCACGGCTTTCTGAATTTATACCTCTAACAGGAGAGCGGGCTTCTGCTTATCGTCGCAAACGAAAGAGGGCTGTTCTCTTGTTTTCTGATTCGTACGTATTTTGGGACTTATTTTGACGCTCTTTGTGGGAACCGCAAAACTTTTCTGGTGTTCTCGGGACTCTCAGGAAACTTCACTTTAACAGCATCTCCACGTTTTCGCTATTGAATCAGCTGTCTCCCCCTAGCGTTGCCACCGTGCTCCAGAGTGAACTTTACTGGATCTGGTTCCGAATCCTTTATACTCACTTTGCTTTGAACAAAGGACTATACGAGACTCAATTTGAATACTCGACTTGCTTCCTGCTCAACTAAAACTCGACTGCGGTCGCATTTAAGAGGCGAATAATATTTAAATATTTGTGTACCGACCATTTGAAAGATGAGTCGGCAGAAAACAAGACCTTATCAGAACAAAACTATGTGGTACCACGTTTGGCACCCATACACTCACTTTTTAAAATCTGTTTAGCGTGACTCTCTCTGCTTTTCTTATGTACAGCAATTCAATTTTACATATTGGCTGATATAGACAATCGCTAAACAAAGCGAAATACGAGCCGACTTTGGAAGTAGATGACTGTATTTGTTGAAATTAAAGCTGCCCCAAAGCTGGGAGTGATTGACCTTTCGGAAGGGATCATTCAAAACTCTCTAGTCAAGGAAAATAGTACAATTTAGGGTTTCGTTCAATTCATACAATCCGTGCAAACGAAAAATGCTCACGTCATGCAGCAGCAGAGGCAAAGACAAACAAGGTCTGTTAAGATCAAGGCGCTTGGTAATCAGCTTTGTGCATGTAGATTTTAAAAATTCAAATACCCACTGAAAATAACCGAAAACAACAGGCTCCATTATCATTCAAATTTCGTTCGACCCCCCGGAGGTCTTAAGAAAGAAAATAGCGTGTGTCTGAAAAACAATTTGGACAGATGTGCAAGTACATTATTCCTATACACAAATAATGGATATTTGCTAATTCTAGATTGTGGCACTGCATTTAACTTGCATCGATAATACTGTCAGATTTTTAGAAATTTTAAGTATTTAGGTACAGTAGTCTGTATCTAAATACATCTATTACTTAGCGTAAACAATTTTTTTTTGATAAAAGTTTATTAGTATTATTTTCTAAAAAACATTGAACCAATAAATCTCGTTTCCAAGAAATCTTCAGAGCAGCTATCAGCTATTGAACCAATCACCTTGTTACCCGTCACATAAAAATTTTATTTATAGTTAAGCCTTTTGAAAGCCGTTTGAATATTATAAACTCGAGCGCCATTGACCGAAATTATGTGGCAACTCTACTCGATAAACGTCAGATAGGGTGATAAACAGCTGTTTAGAAAGAAAAACAAATTGAGAAAAGTTAAATGCGAGCGTTATCAACAGAAACGTCACATTTTGTCGGCCAAAATGCGGTTTTTGTTAGCTTGTGGTGCGGTTATCCTTCTCGTCCTTCAAGCAGCGGCGGACGACGTCAGCGGTCATGATATGCCCAACATTACAACCAGTAACGCCACTCCTCAAGATAATAGTAACTCTTCAAATATTTCGACTGACTTATCGACCAGTAGTCATGTGGGGAATATCTCACCCTCAACTTCTTCACTCGGCAATGAAAGCTTTACCAGGAAGGGCAACGCATCCACGGTGGCTACGGAGCCACCGCTTATCGATTCCCACGCCGTTGAGCAGGAACATAACTCCTCGCTGTCGCTGTTTTTTGTCATATGCGTCATTATGCTGGGCATTCTACTGATCCACTCCATGCTACAGACCGGATTTCAGTACCTACCAGAAAGCATTGTGGTGGTCTTCCTGGGCGCCTTTATCGGCTTGTCGTTGAATGTGATGTCCGGGCAGAATGGTAGCTGGAAGCGCGAGGAGGTTTTTTCGCCCATGGGCTTCTTTCTGGTACTTCTTCCACCCATTATATTCGAGTCCGGCTACAATCTGCACAAAGGAAACTTCTTTCAAAACATCGGATCTATACTGGTGTTTGCTATTTTTGGCACAACTATTTCTGCACTGGTCATCGGGGCTGGGATTTATTTGCTGGGCCTAGCAGAAGTGGCATTTCGGTAAGTAAATGGTAAATTAATTTTTTAACGAAAAGCTAAATTTCTTTCCTTCTTAAGACTTAGCTTTTCTGAGTCTTTTGCCTTTGGCTCGCTCATCTCGGCCGTGGATCCCGTCGCAACTGTGGCTATTTTCCATGCCCTGGATGTAGATCCCATACTTAATATGTTGGTGTTCGGCGAGAGTATATTGAACGACGCCATATCAATTGTGCTGACCGCTTCTATCACCCAATCGGCCAACGCTAATGCCGAAGCAAGCACTGGAGAGGCTATGTTTAGTGCGTTGAAGACTTTTTGCGCAATGTTCTTTGCGTCGGCGGGCATAGGGGTTATATTCGCCCTAATATCGGCACTTCTGCTCAAGCACATCGATTTGCGAAAACATCCCTCCCTTGAGTTTGCCATGATGCTAATGTTTACCTATGCCCCCTACGTCTTAGCGGAGGGAATACACTTAAGCGGTAAATCAGTATTTTAAGACTGTTACTCAAAATTTGAAATTTATTATATTTTAATAGGTATTATGGCCATACTGTTTTGTGGAATCGTCATGTCCCACTACACGCATTTCAACCTATCCACTGTGAGAATTTGCAATAATTTCATTTTTACAATTATTGTTCTTAATGTGTTCATCGTAGGTCACTCAAATTACCATGCAACAGACGATGAGGACTTTGGCCTTCATTGCTGAAACATGCGTGTTTGCTTATTTGGGTCTAGCGATCTTTTCCTTTAAGCACCAAGTAGAACTGTCCTTTGTTATATGGGCAATAGTGCTTTGCCTAATTGGTCGTGCCTGCAACATATTTCCGCTCGCCTTCTTGGTTAACAAATTCCGGGAGCATAAGATTAACAACAAAATGCAGTTTATAATGTGGTTTTCAGGCCTACGTGGTGCCATTTCCTATGCGCTGTCTTTGCACTTAAACCTCGACAGCCAGGAGAAACGCCACGTCATCATAACAACAACGTAAGCATGTTCCGGCTTGAAAAATATACCCAGTCATTTTAAAATTAAATTTTCAGATTAATCATCGTGCTATTTACCACGCTGGTATTGGGCGGCTCTACAATGCCGCTACTTAAGTATCTTAAGCCCGGGAAAAAACGGCGCGCACGTGGCTCAGTACGAAATACGCCTGAGGCTGGAAGCCGTCGCAGTGGCCGGAAGAGGTCGAAGTCTATTTCTCTGTCTAAGACCCGCGAATGGGGGCAGGCAATCGACTCGGAACATCTATCGGAGCTCACCGAGGAGGAGGATGTTACCTTCACACAAGCCCGTGATCGCTTTGGGCGCATGGATCGCAAGTACTTCATTCCGTTCTTTACGCGAAGATTTAATAGCCAAGAATTGCACGAATGTAAGTCCCAGATGGCTGACCTAACTAACAAGTGGTACCAAGCGATTCGCGTAAGTCCAATGGATTCGGATGAATCAGACGAAGAGATCGGGTTGGGCGCCAGCACAAGTCAGATGCATCTAACGCGGTCTTAGATATTCTAGGGCTGTTTTGGGGAACTAAGTGGCTGTGTTAGGAAACTGTGGTGGCCAAAGAGAACGATCGTATTTATAACATAAGCTGTTTTAGTTAAAATGTAGCAATTTTATTTATATAAGGTGGTGGTAATGGTTATCTTGTGAATATTTTCCGTGTTCCAAAATGTTTTTTATTAGCTCTGCATGCAATAATAACATCCTTGTCATGGTAGTTTCTTTACTTATCAGCTTCAAGCAGTATTATATTGCACACAAAAGTTGGTCGTCAAACTCGCCAGAAATTGAGACCAATCCAGATTCGTACATATGTTTAAAATATTTATTGATACTTGAATGTGATTTTGTACATTTTTGGAACCAAATATAATAAATATCTAAATGTGATACAAATACAAAATATGACTTTGACCTCTGTGGTCAATGTTATTTTTTGCGAAAAATTCTTCCTTTCTAAATTTACTTTGGCAAAATAATTTACATTTGGTATTAATTGCAACTATTAAACTAACATTGACTACGAAAGTTGTGCGTTATGGTAACCTCTACAGTTCTTCATGTGCTGACTCTTCACTGATCACCGGGGAATCTGAATCGCTGCTGACTGCAAACGAAGTACACAAATCAATAGAGTGCTTAAGCATATGTTGTCTTATCAGGAATACTGTTGAACAAAGCACTCGCGCAAAAAAAACCAACATTAAGGGCCGACTTCAGTTTGGCTTATAACGACTTCATGATAAGTTCTTCCAATTGTTTTGTGTCAATTTCGGGCTGGTGACCGCCTTCTGCTTCCGAGTTAATCCAGTACTCGGAAACAGCAATATAAACGGCCACCGCCGCACCAACAATGCAGCCCCAAGCAATGTGGGTGGAGCTTTGGAAGATGACGCAGGTAGCCACGCACATCCCAAAGTAGGTAAGCATTCGTGTATAGCTAACATATTTGCTGCGTTGCTCAGCAGAAAGGTCTTAGTTGGTCGGAAGCGCAAGACAAATTGTGAGAAATACGATGTTTATAATCAAATTGGGTTAAACGATATTTTACTTACCGTGACACTTGCCGTTTTTCAGTTCATAGCCCTGAGCACATTTTTTGCACATGTCCGGACCATCACCATCGCAGCCATCGCAAGAGCGATCGCATTCCAGGCAGCTAAAAGAACCTTCGTTGTTTACGCAAAACTGCTCCGGTCGACACGAGTTCGGACTTTTTCGTTCCAGGCACTCGTTTATGTCGACACATCCCGCTTCTGAGTCCATGCTCCAACCGTCCTTGCACTTTCGACAGTTCCGCTGACCGCCTGCCGTGCAGCCACCTTCGCCACAGGCCGCGTGGCATGGTGTACACAACAATTTTTTCTCGTCTCGGAAGGACTCGTAGTGTTCTGGTCCGCACTCCTTGCAGTGTGCCCCTGCATAGCCTAAATCACATTTGCACTTGCCGTTACCCTTCCTAGTTCCGCCTCCTTTGCACTTTCCTGTAATTTTAAATGGTATATTAAAATCTTTTCGATTGGATAGAAAGTCAAAAGTTAATAGGAGTTAGGTCACAATTAGTGCAGGTAATACATTTTTGAAGAATACGCAACTCTTGCTTCCGGTAGTTACAGTTAGTACATACATTTCCATCTCATGCATATGTATTTAACCAATAAACTTTTCTGTATCGACTTTTAATATGGTTAAAATCTTTAGTGTTTATCTAGTAATCTGAAACACATTAAAAACTTAATGCGTACCGTTTCCGCTGCAATCTGTGCAGGGCTGACAGTCTGCACCGTAAGTGTTCGCCGGACAGCAGACTTTCAGCTGCTCGATGCATAGCCACAATTGAAGGTCGGGATTTAGCGCCTGCTTGTGTGTGAACCAATCCTCAAGGAGTGCCTCGTGCTCGTTAGCCAAGTTGTGGCAGTGGTCCTTGTTTACCACATCTGGATCCGAACAAAGTTTCTCCTGAATCTCAACCAGCCGAACCTCACTATTCTTGTAGGAACGAAGTTTCTCCTCCTCCCAGGCAGTGTCCCCGCCTCCGTGTCCTCGTTTCGTGCGTTCGAGTCCTGCCTTAAATGAACCAACTAGTTGGCTGCAGGCCCTGCACGGCGGAGGAACTGGCTTCTCTGGCGAAAATGAGGACGAAGCCACTGTTAAGAATGTTAACGTGGCAGGCCAAAAGTCCTTGAATCTCATTATATTTAATTATTTGGGTTTTGCAGCCGGCGAATATTCTTAAGTTTACGTGTATCAAGCCGACTTTATCGATTGCTCGATAATCCACTCACGTACCAGCTGCCTATTCCGATAGACAGAGTGTAATACGGTTATCTCACTGAACACATCTCAACGGATTGGTTGCAATGCACTGAAACTGGAGAATGAACCAAATGGAGCCATTTGTCATTGAGTTTATATCACTAAATTTTTTTCATCACCTATAATTATTTTTAAACCTAATTTTCAAAATTTGAAAAATATGAATTATATTACTTATAAATAAACCTTTTCTATTTTAGTTCTAGAATCATTTTCATCCTAATTATAAAGCCTTGCAATAACAATCACGGAATTTTTATAATCTTGAAACGACGCAAACAAATTTACGCATATTATTAGTTATCTTCAGGATAAAAGAGATTTTATTTATATAAAATATTGTAATTATACAAAATAGTAATATGTATTATTATTTTATTGATATAATGTTGATAATTAATATTTGGTATTAATCCCTAAGGAAGTTATATAAAGGTTTATTATATATAGTTCAGTCACTCTGAAGGTTACTTAAAATAATCCGATACGCTAGACATGAAATATTAAGAAGAAATATAATAATTCAGCTGCAGACTGCGAATTGCAATGGATTTACCATTTTAGTGTGGGACTTTTGTTGTTGTATGCATTAGCCCTGAAATGAACAATAACAGCATAAAAGATTTTCAATTTAATGCACATTATGAAAAAAAAAGTATACTTCGGCGAGCAAATAAAGGTTTCTTTATCTCAAGAAATTATCGGTCGCTTTGACTTAAGCAATAATTAGGACCAATAATAATTGAATTTATAAAGGTTTGTGAAATAAAATAATTGTATCCTTGTAAAAGTATACAAAATAAAGGCTTACCTAACAACGCCATGATTCTGAACAGTTGTAAGAGTGATAAAGGGAGTTAATCGCTCTATGAAACGATCGTTGTTACGCTCTAATTCCCGTTGGTAATCTTTTTGATCTGAAAGGATTAAATTGCGATTTTTTTTCAAAGCATCAGCACAGCGTTTTGAAAACTCGCGAAAGCACAAGCGAAGTTTATTTTGATGCTTTGTGGGCACGGTTATTCCGTCTGATAAATTGGAAAGGAACACACTAGCCATTTCCATAGGACCTTGGTTGACCGTTGTTCCAATACATCCTTGAAGTACCATTTGTAATATTTTTGGGTCAGCAGGCTCCTGATTTGTAGCTGCCGCCAACTCCAAGGTTTTCTTTTGAATATCCTAGGAGAAGAAGTAAAATTATTATTTTACTTACTGCTGATTTTAGAAACTCTACTTACTTCAATTGCCACCTCAATTGGATCCAGGACTATTTGCTGTCGACTAATTACCATAATTCGTGTTTTGACATAGGGAAAGTGGTTCGCCGTGGTCAAGATCGTTTTGCGCTTACATTGTTCATTTAGTTCGCCATGTGCCTTACCACTTTTTGTAAAAGGAGTTGCATATATAAATCGCTCTAAATTAAAAAAAGAAACTTCAGAACCAAAGCTATACAAATGTTAATCCAGTTCATACTTATATTAAAATTCCGTTCGAAATATGTTTCACGATGCCGCATTTCATATGTTTCAAAATAGGGCTCTACATAAGTTATTTGAATATAGGCTTTATCGGGGTCCAAGCTGTTTATGTCGACAGTGTTGGAATCTTTGATGATATGCACTGAGTCCGGACCAAAACGATCGGTATAAAAGTTCTGTCGTGTATGAGAAAAAGATAATTTATTTTTTTAACTAATTGTACCATGTCATGTACCTGAAGCCGACTAAATATTTCTGGCAATTTGGTTAAAGTTGGCTCTTTATATATGAATTCCTGTTGGTCCAAATCTCCAAATTTGCCTCCATAGAAACCAACGCGAAAATATGTTCCAAAAACTCTTTTCCCCTGTTTACGTATATAAAAAACATATTATCGGTTGACATATTGAAGTAATTTAGCTTACCTGTAACTGCGCTATTCGATTAAATGCCTCCTGGAGTTTGCCATGAACTTTGCTAAGTTTTTGAAAGTCCTTGTTGGCTTCGCAAATTGGAATTAAAATCTTATACACCTCGTTCATTGCTTCGTACATGCCAGCAACTTGAAAAGAATTAGAGGCTTCTTCAAGCAAAGCCTTTAATCCAGTTTCAGTAAAATGATTTCCAAGGCAGATTCCATCTTCGCCGGGGCTGAGCACGTCGTCCGATACGGCCGACTCCATTAGTGTGTTGGGAGAGATGCGTTGAAAACTTACAGCTCCAACAGGTAAATGTGTTTGCGACTCCAACATGCTTATATACTCAGATACCAAAGCAGCAGCGTGAACGTAGCACATGGCTGCTTCAGTGTGATTGGCGCGCTCTCGGTGTTTCTTAGCCATGTTCTCTAACCAGGTCAGCCGTAAGTCAGGGTTGTTTTGGTATCCTTTCGCAATGCGGTTCATGAGATCAAGCAACATTTCTGGGTCTTCTTGATACTCCTTCATCTTAACCGTATCTGACAATATCATATGCAAATTAAAAAGCAAATCTTGCACTTGCTCAGGAAAAGACGTATCCTGTAAGTCTGTGTCGGATTCAGCATAAACAAGCACTGTTTTAAGGGCACGGCGCAGAGATTGTTCACTAAAAACCGAACTTGTTCCAACGAGAGAACTTAAAGACATAGTCACTTGCATCTTGACACGCGCAAAGTTCTAAATATAAAACTTTAAATAGTAATATTATCCATCTCAATAAAATCAAACTTACATTTCCGATTTCAAAATTTTGTCTCATTAGTAAATATAATGATGCAGCTGCCTGTGATCGTATCCCTGGCAAAAGAGATCCACAATGCTTCAGCAAAATTAAACATAGATCAGCACATATGTCTGTCTCGTCGTCGAATAATAGGTTTGGAAACTTGAAAATTAAAGCGCGCTGAGAGGCAAACAAGTTTTGTAGTGCCAGAGTCGATTGATTTCGGGATAGTGCATGGAGGAGCACCTTAAGCACAGTTCCAAGGAGATTATGATAATGGTTAGCAGCTACATGAACAATAATTTCTAGGGTGTCGAGAAGCACAAGAGCAACTTCAGTCGCCAAAGAGCCTTCGATGAAGTGACTCAATTCAAGTTCATGCTCATTTTTGCCTACACCATCTGTATATTGTGATCGATATGGCATCTGGTCTTTTCGCCAGCGAAACTTTTCCGTCGAATTGCGATCTTTTCGACGATTTATTAAATCGTATCGTGCTGAATTTGTTCCTCTTATACACTCCTCCAATTTTTCCTTTACATCAGTAGATCCGGTTTTTCGAAAACTTTGTGTATTCGTTCGTTTTAGAGTGGGAACGTGGTTTTGCCCTGTATACTCAAAAGTTTTTAGACATACATTAACAACTTGAAGCATTTGGTGCACTCTGTGTGGAGTTAAATCCAAAAGCCAACGGTATAAGACACCGTGCTCCAAATTCTTCAGCACCCACAGAAAACACACCAATAAATGGCGGGTGTTTTCCGAACTGAGGGGAGATTTGTTTTTTACTTGTTCATTCAAGTAGGAGTACGGTCGACTTCCTGATATAGCAAATGCCACTTCCGGGTTTATGGTTGATGCTGTAATAGTTTGATGTGGGCCCTGATAGTCTTCTAACTGACCGATTTGTTGCAAACGGTCCTGATCCATACCGTGCTGATGCAGCTGTGGAATGGTGTCCATCACTATGGAGAGCAGCGGTATGTATAAAGCAGCTACCCTTGCACGCGCTTCCGTAAAGCTATACCGAGTGTCCAAATCATGAGACGTCATCAGGTTGCGAATGCAGCGTATCGCCTTTCCATGTAACTGTGGATTGGGTACCTCCATTACTGCAGCCAAATCGCTAAGAACAAGTCCGACCAGAAAATGTTGCTGTAAAAATTCCGGACTAAGATCGGCGTGAAGAGCTCGCTCAAGTGATCCCTTTAAAAATATTTAATCTTGATATATGTGATATGATATGGTTGTGTTATAGGTATTTGACTTACACATGATGTTTGACTGTTACTCGATGTTGTGCTTGGCGTTGGGCTGCATGGCGCGGATACCATTGTGTATGAAGTCCCAAACGGTAAATTTAAAGCAACAAAGTGCTCATGGCTACACACGATTCTCAAAAAGTCTATTTTATAATTCATTAAATCTGGTATGGAAGCATTTTTGGAAATCAGAACTTTGGTATACGTTTTGATTAAGCCGAACACAAACCCCCTATCCATTATGCTTAGTATGTCAAATATAAAAAAGCTTAAACTAGCATTTAAAGATTGTGCTAATTTAGGTTCGTTGCTATGATAGCCAACAACCTTTGTTGTAACTAAGTGCACCAAGGTGGAGAGATCATCATTATACTGGTGTGGAAATCGATGCTTTCGGGGACCATTTAAAGTATTTGAACTGTGCAAATGCTCAATCATAGATTTAACAATCAGCTCAAATAAGAACCAGGAATTGGACATAGCTAAGTCTGCAGCTTTCCCACTTGCAACTACCCAATGAAGGGCCAATTCTTCGTGCAGCAGCCGAACTTGGACATCCCGAACAGCCATCGAGTGAACAATATCCATAGACACCTCTGTAAAGGCAATAAATTATACTTAGAATTTTTAAAAACTGGTATATATTTACCTTTGCAATCCGAGCTCCTACCACTAGATAACACATTATTATACAAACTATAGGTTTCACTCAACTGCAAATCTTCGGTAATGCTCCGACTGCATGTTAGACGCTGCTTGCTAAGAAGTGGGTGCGGAATTTTACATTGATATTGGACATATGTTGATAGCAAACTTTGCCGTCCATATTGGTCATACTGGTCGTCGTTAAGAATTGACAACAATGACGAAACTAAGCAAAGAACCTCAAATACCGTAGATCCCAGAGACATTGCTTGTCCACCAACTTTGTGAGTGATTACCAATAATTCAATAAGCTTGTCCAAGACTAATGGTAGATGCCTTACTAATGGTTCCCGATTTGCATGCTCGATATCCAGCAAGCATTTCTTTAACTCTCCCTCGATATTGCTTTCACCGATATGTGAAGGTATATTTCGTGTGTCTAAGTATTCGCATATTAAAAAGAATCGATCAAGGCACGAGTCCAAAGTATGAATTGCAGTCACTGCTTCTATATTAATAGAAAATACAGCTCTATGATTGTCCAGCCATTTAATACCAGGCAGATGTACATTCGGTGGTATAAATGAATAGTTTTCCGGTGGAGATTCGACCATAACCGGAAGATTAAATTCTCCAAACTTAAGTTTCCCATCTTCCAGTAAAGGCATCCATGTGTAGCCGATAGGAGTTTCAACGGATGGCTGCATATCCTGCGGCTTCTTTTGACAGGATACGTGATAAATGGTAAACAATAAATGGTGATTCTGCTTTATCGAAGCAGGCAGTGCTATTTTTATTTCATCATAAAACGATGGACACTTGTTGTGATAATTAACAGCTGTAAATGCTTCGGTAGAAAATTTCGGGCAAGACGATTTGCCATAAATTGCATTGACCGCATCTTTTGGGGTTTCCCCAGCCATGAGTTGTACGCGAACGGCAATGTTACGCGCAGAGCCTGCACGCGAAGAGAAATTCAGCTCTTTCGGCGACACAAAAAGCAAATTGCGGTAGGTATAATGTGGATTATAAATGGCCGATTGCGGAAACTCTAAGATTTCCTTTACTGGGCGAAGGTTTTCGACACTTTGGGGGTTTATACTGGCCAGCTCTGGTGTAAGTGCGTTCTTGGCTTCTTCTATGCAAGGTGATATTTCCAATTTAATAGAGCCAGGTATGCATTTGTACTTTTTCACTACTGAGCTTGGTCGTTTCAACTCTGGTAAAATTTTGTACAAGTCCTCGTCTTTCATTTTATCTGCCTCTTGCTTAAAGAAGTTTGGTACTGTTATAGTGATAGGACGAAAATTTTCTACAACGTTTGCAAAGTCATCCGGCGACCAAGATCGGCGCTTTTCCTTTCGTTCTAGAGAACCACGACGGGTAAGTGTTCCGCTCATATCGTTAGCTTTGCGCCTTAATTGATCAAAGCTGCTTGTTGAAGACTTTCGGTCCAAGCTGTTGGAGCTTGGTGCCGCGCATAAACCACTCGCTACTCCATTTCCAGAAGAGTCACGTTCCAGCCCGCCAGCTTCTTTGCCTTCAAAATTGTCTCCGTTAAAAACGTTAGTCAGGTAAATTCCTGTCCATGCAAACGGCATTCGGTATTTGCCTAAACGCTCACAGTAGTCCACAGCGTTACATTTTACTTTCTCCCGGTATTTATCTTTATCTTCCTTCAGATACGGTTCGACAGAATTGTTAATGTCACCTTGCAGCACCTTCTCTAGACGAATCACGAGAAACAAATCATTACTTGGATATGAAATTTCAAATATGGCCGAATGACTCTGAGTACTAATGTCGGCGCACTGGACGTGGCTTGACAGCATACGCTTAAGGTTATCTGAGTTCATATCAAAGTAGAAGTTTTCTGAAATTTTTTGACGTTCTTTGGCGTCATAAATGGCCATCGAAGCAAAAATTGGTTCTACTTCAAGTTCAAGTCGAAGCTGCAGGCATTTGACTTGAATTCGATGTCCCATGTGTTCGACCGGAATTTCCGCAAGTAGTCGGCGTTCAATGCATTCTTCCGCTTCAGATTCCGGATACAGTGAAAAAAGTGCCACTTGACGATCCTGCTCCCTCCGTGCTTCGTTGGTTTGATCAATTTGTTCCGGCGGCACATTGTCAAGCAAGTTTGGTATTAGTGGATCATTAACAGAGCGTCGAAGATCAAAGCTAGCCCAAGATCCACGTGGTGTCAAAGTGTCCGTACATGAGCTTACCGAAGCCAAACTTGCAATGGATTGCCTTGAACTTGGAGTGCTTTCGCTTTTATAGGCAAATGTTTCTTCAAACGATGAAAAATCTTTGTCTATCTCAAACTCCTGCTGGTACGCAGATGGACTTATCGTTCCACGATCAATACGTTCGCGGATATAACAGGAGCTGGAGAGGTGCCGCTGTGAATATTCTACAACCTTCCAGGGGCGCGTATAGCAGTTTACGCATTCTTGTACGTGTTGTGGCAAATCAGATCTGAAAGTTTATTCGCTTTAGTTGTGCTTTAATTGTGTTAATACGTACAACTTTTCATTCGGGATAATATGATCAACAGTTCGGATCTTCCGGGGAATGACTTTAACCGTTACATCTTCTTGAGGAAAATCTAATATATGTTTCAAAGGGTCCCGATTGATAATATTCATATGTTGGAGAAGAAACTCTTCATAGTCAAGGGGCTCTGTCGGGGAAACTGATACCTTCAATGAAAGTCGAAAGTTGTACAAATATTTCAGTTGAAATTTAAATTACTCTTACCGTGGAAGCGCACATGTCGTTTGCCTTAGATAAAATATAAACATTTTTTCTTACATCTGCGTTTTTCTGCCTAGGTATTACAAATTGGTATAGACACAATATAGGGCGTTTCTTTGTTTAAGACTATATGTAATAGCCCTTTAAAGTCAACTTACTTTGAAACTTTTTGCACAAACGACCGCTGCGCCGTCGACATTTTAAGAATTCCGTGTGTATAACTTTCAAAATGTTATGTTATATTATTAGAATAAACAAATTTTGTTTATACCGTCGATACTATTACCTATCGAAAATGAACACACAGCAGTGGTATAGTAATCATGAACTGGTTCCATTCTGCAATTACCAGTAGCGAACCAGAACTAGAAGGGGCTGGTTGAAGTGGATTTTTTGGTATTTTTTTTCCTATTTGGTTAAACTATCGAGGTAGTTTATTTAGAGAAATTTCTAATGAATATTCATTAAACAAATGTAACTAGATGACGCTTGTAAAATTGTACATTACATTGTACCTTGCATCCGGTTATTTTGAAATAATATTTTGGAGTTAGTGAACTGAGTAGAGTATATAAAATTGTACCAGCTAGAAAAAAACATTTTCAACCCAATATGATCAGGATCATTAGTCGAGCCGTTCTTGCAATCCATATAAACACTGAGACCCCCACAACTATAAGCACTAGAATGTTTTGATTAAACATGCAGACTTAAAAGCTACCTATGCAATAACCTTTTTTTTTAATTTTGATAATTTCGAAGCTGTTTATTCATTACCTGTTGGTATTGATTGAACAAATAGTTTTAAATTTATTAAAGAAGTGTGTATCTTGTTATTTCGATTTAAATGCGCTTCCGGCCAAACGAAATATGCTTTAAGTTTTCACTTTCACCCACAAGCAACAGCTGCAGTGTCTTTGGCGGGACTTTTTTAGATTTAGGCGAACATTTTCTGATCTGCCTGAGGAGGCGCTGTTTTATGACCTGCATACCACTATGTATGTGGGAGGCTGTTGAGATATAGACGAAAGCAAAATTAGATATGACAATAAATAGCTCTACTGCAGTCTAATTCGGTTAATCTCCAGGATACAAGAGTTTGCGGACCAAGTGGTTTTGGATAATTTTTAACATAACCTAATGAGCTTACAACTCAAAATATCCATATCTTATAATTTTGTTATTATTAAAAATATTTATCAAATGACATTTTGTTACATTTCATCTCTGAAATTATGAGGATTCCTATGCATTTTAATATATAAAAGGATTTATTTATTGCACAAAAGCGCCTTCCCCGCAAACTGTGAGGACTTTTTGCCATATAAGCTTTTGTCCCTTTTTATGGCTTGAAAATTGAAAAATTGAAATCAAGATATATTTTAGCTAACATTAAGAGAGTAATTTTATGCGTTTCAATATTAGCTCTTAGTTTTAAATAATTGTTAGCCTTAGATAAATAAATAAATACATTTTATGCGTTTATTTAACATATTTTTAAGTTTATTTTTGGAGTATCATAAGGATACAATCATTTGCAGCTGTATAGCTGTATCACAATGTTAGGTCGACAGGCGTCTCAGTCTGGGACGCCTCCGCTCTTTTAGTTTTGAACTTTTGTGCCAGAAACTAAAGACACTTGAACGACAGATGCCACCATCACCATCCGAACGTTGCCAAAAAGAATTTGCCGCCGGGTACAAAGTCCAATTAGTGACATTCTGACAACATGTTGCATTGAGTCTTGCGCTGAGATCGGCACTCATGTATATATTTTATAGGTATGTTCGTATCCGAACAACTAAATGAATCGGTCCGTAGATCAACGCCAAAACACTATTCTAATTGTCTACATATTTTTCATGGCTGGCGCCAATTGTCTTCATGTGCTTATCTTGTTAGATACATATGTAACGCTTAAAGTTCTATTATAAGAGAAATTTATGGAACCATATATGTATAACAGAATCTTCATTAACTCAAAATGTTACTAGTGCTGTTATATAATTCGAAATACTTTTTATAATCACCAATCTTTTTAACATTAATATCAACGTTCGATCACAAACTCAATCCAGATTAGAAACATGATAGGATTCGTTCAACATTTCAGCGCGTTTAAGGCCGAGTTAAATATAAACTTGTATTGCCGTGTAAACTCTTCAAAAATGTGTTAATTTAATTATAAGTAACTATTTTTATTCAACTCTTTGTACTATTTTTAGTATACATATACGAATAAAACCATATTAATTAACTGTCTAGCACCTTTCGAGGTGTAGCGTTTTTGCTTATTTTGCACATCCAGACAGTGTGAAGCGTTCAGTAAGCTAAAAATGCGTACTTAAATTCTATAAATTATATACGAGTATGCTCGTAAGTGACAAAATGATATGCAATGTATCAGCAGCCTCCCTGTCAATAATTTGTCTTTTTAGTTTCGTAGAAACTTACATCCAACCTTCAGGGTCATTTTACCTGCAGCTTTTACTCAGCTACAAAAAGGGAACTTTCCAAAAGCACCTGAGAAGCCAAACCGCATTTTGCTGCTATTAATTTAGGCAGGACAACACCGATCAACAGTCGGTGCCCTCCAGCACAACGAAAGCAATAATAGCAGTTGGGCTGCACCTTTCCTTGACAAGGTGTCCTTAAAAGAACACGGCCGGGTTAATAAACTGAAACAAAAATTGAGGTAGATGTGTAAAATTAAAGGTGCATAAATATTCGTTAGCTATGTGTTCATGCTGGAAATAAAGCATACAAATTAGAATTATTGGAAGGTGAGATTTTTTAAGCCCGACACATGTTATTTATTTATAATACGTGTCCATAGAATAGCTTTTTAGAATATTAACAGAGTTACAGATGCAACAGATCGCATAAAAAGCGCAACAGATGCCTTCGGTAGGTAAATCAACAAAACAAACCAGTTGCTCTGCTGGCGACAAGTAGAAGTGGTGAATGCGCCAACATTGGCAAATGAGTGGCCAATATAGCCCGTGACCATCGTAGTGCCACAGAGCAGCTAACCATGTGCCGGCATAGGCGTAGTTATAGGGAGCTTTTAATTGCAGGATTGCCTCTTCTCTGAAAATTTTTCCAGCTACGCTCATGCATGTCAACGTCAGGCGCGAACGACTGTGAGCATCTGGTCGGTCAGAAACCAGACACGGCGTTGGCACTGGACCTGTGCCGTGCCGTTGCGTGCTATACTTATTTGCACTGCGTTTACGACACTGCAATCGCATAGCCGAGGCCACGGCAACCAGCTGTGCATCTGGCGCCAGCCAAAAATTAACCAAATCGTCTTCTGTCTGGCTCTTTGTGTGTCGACTGCAAAACTGAAAATGACTATATAACAAAAGGCAAGTGAACAATGCTGTTTTATGACAAGGATGTTTGACGATGCCCACTTACAAATGGTCAAGATAGGTACGCCAAAACCCTAAAATGTCAAAATGTTTTTTTGCCTGTGCTATTACACTATTTTCGTTAGCCTTAACGATTTCTTAACAAATTAAAATACTGCACTTTAATTACAAGTTTAAATATATGTATGTGTGAATAAAATTCTCCAATGTTAGCGTGGATCTATGCGGAATTCAGCGTGAGTGACATAGACCTCAAACTCAGAGTGGTGCATAGTTCTATCAACAAACTCAGAGCGTACATTTAAATGGGTATAAATAGACACTTTTGAGGTGCATGACATACAGACATGCCCACATGCTAAGACATTCAATTAAGTAACTCATTTCTTATACCTCGAATTTAGGCTCCGTCCCAATTGCAACTGATGCTCAAAGCGATCTCGACTTTCGTATTAACTACCCCTGATGTATTGCATTGCTTCTGTGCAATTTCTTATGCACAGAAGTGTTCGTATACTTGTGACTTGAGGGCGAACGATGGCAAACGGTGCAGATACGGTCAATGAGAAGGCCAATGCTTTCCTTACATTTTTGCTGATGCGCTTGCGGGTGATTCCCGTACAAAGAAGCGTGGGAATGGCTTTGGTGGGGATGTCTGGACCCATTAAATAATTTTGTTAGCCTTCTTATTTTCTTGCGTGCAAAATCCTTTACAAATTTCGATGTAGGGGTTGTCTGCGATGTTTCTGGATAGCAGACTTGATTTATAATGTTTTGACATTAATAACGTATTTTTTAGTATCTAATTGTGTACCATAGGTATGATTTCTCGCACGCATCTTATTGATGGGTGCTGCACAGTTTGGCTTGCGGCTGTCACGTTTTCATATAAATACACAGAAATACGAGTTAGCATTCTTTTAATTTGCGTAATACGGTTATGTATGTGAAGTTCGTGAAGTGAAGTAAAGCCAATAAACCGCTACAAATGTGTTCACATAAATTCTATATTCGAAGACATAAATCTAAAGGATGGAAAACTCTTGTGATTGCCCTTAAAGCAGATGTCTCAATCTCCTTGAAATTTCCCAATGAATTCCCATGCTATTGCTCTTACAGCCAAAATGCAAAGACATGTTGTCGCCATTCAGAACACAACAGGGTGCAAAATTTAACAGATTTCTTGTGTTTTTTTCTATCCTTCTGGTCAGCATATGTGCCAGAAGCAAGGCAATGCCGTTGCTATGGAAAATGACAATTCTGGCTGACACCACCAGAGGTCACAGGGCAAAAAAACAAGAGCTGGGTGTAGGCAAACAAATTTCGTAAAAAAGTTTTATTTATTAAAATTCTTAAAAGCCTTAAATTAAACATTATCTTTAGCAAATCCATTTTTGAATAGTTTTTGCCCTTCCGATACGCCACTGAAAACATGTGTTAGCATTGACAACCAGTTTGTGCTTCTCCCACTGTGTAGGCCCTTCCAGTTTTTTCCACATTTGTATTACAATTTCTTCCTGCAAATACTTTTTGTTTAAGAAGTAGGTTTTGAAAAATCATTTTCCAAATGTTAAGGCAGCGCTTTTAATCGGAATCGAAATGTCGGTGGGGTAAGTACGCAAATCATCACGTGTCAAGTGTCATAGCTGGTTGCACTCAGTCGTGGGTCCAGGGGGTGGATTTAGATAAAGTATCTTTTCAAATTAATTTCAATCAATTTAATTAAAATCGAGAGACAATTCTTGAAGTTGCCTCAACGAATCGAAAAGTTCTCCCCCTAAAACTTTACTTTAGGTCCGCTTCTGGTTACAATGAGTACCTTAATGTTGACGTAACTAGAATAAACGTGACGTCACATGCATAAACATGTGCACGTTACGGCAACGTTATGTTCGCATGGAAACAATCTGTACTGAAGTGGGTGAGGACAGGTGTTGGATGATGGTCCTGCGGTAAATAATAAAAGTAACTTTACCACCACATTTTGTAGTATTATAGTTCAACCAACGATTGTCGTTTTTCTGATCATTCTTTATAATTTACACAAGTAGAGTAAATTAATTTTCATTTGGTAGGATTGGAAAAATCATGCTTGCCTTGTATCTTAGATTCAGCAGAAATTAGGAATTAAGTGTGAGAATTCTTAGAAGCCATTGCTACCTGACTTCGGTAGGTAATTCCCGAAATTCATCAATCGCCCATGAGTCTGGTAAAACTATTGGCAAGAGACAGAAATTAGCCTAAGTAGACTGAAAGCAATTAGTGAAACCTTTCCTATCCTGCGCTTGTAGCGCCATGTGAAATTTGAAAGACTGTAATACCTGCATACAAAACATATTCACTTGAATATGACAATTGTATAAAGTGCATTTCTTATATATGTTTAAATACATATGCAGAAGTCAATATGTTCTTACTTCTCTTTTGGTATTTTCGTACCTGCACTTACCATCAATATATAATAGTGCGGAAGCCAAATTAATTTCGTTACCTAGTGTAGAGAGCTTCGCACAGAAGCCAAATCAATAACTGCAACTTTAGCTAATTTTATATAATCAGCGCAAATACTTGTTAAAGTAATTCTATATGGGGCTTAAGAAAAAAATGAATTGTTGTTAAAGGGACATATCAAGTTTCGACGAAACGTACACGAACCATTTTTGGAAGCCCAGCTTCTTATCCTTGAACTTCCAGCTTGACAAAGGCTTGATCGCGACCCAGCGACGGTAGCAAAGACTTTTCAGGTTGCTATATTGGGGATTGTGAAGCCGAAGCCTGTCGTTCGAATCAAGAAAACAGGTTAGCCTGCAAACCAATCGCATTCTTATAAAGTGGAGTGGGACTCTTAAAAACGAAAGTCATCATTCAAAAAGTATTTCGCGCGACTGCCACAAACTCGTGCCCGGCGTACATCTGCTGAGAATATAAGACGAATATAAGAAAAGAACCCTAACAATATTAGTGGTACTGCCTCTTGTATTTAAGCGGCAAGTTTTTTGTTGTTCGGCGCACGAAAGAATGATTTGCAAAATATAAACTTTTTCCTAGAATTGATATTTTTATACCTAAAACACATAGGTATTCATTCAGGCATACATACATGTACAAAAACAAGCGAAAAGGACTAACTAAAAGGTTCGACTTTTTAATTTTGATCGAAATAATGTTTATATAAATAATTTATTTAGTAACCAGGTAAAACAACAAGGCGCTAATTTTTAAGTGCCAATAAATTGATTTTAATAGTTTTTTTATAATAAAGAAAATATTTAAATTAATAGATCCTTTTTTCGATCTTTTAAGGTTTAAGGTTTTTTTAAATATATATGATTCCTATCTGGTCTGCAGCTGGTCGTAAAATAAATAAGTCATTACAATAGAAGAAGAAACCTTGTTATATTTCTAGACTCTAGAGTATAGTGAATCTTAGAGAATCCTATAACATTTAAAATGTTCCATCCGTGCAACGTATACCAAATCTGGGTTTATTCACCGTCAAACAAGTTGAGCCGGACAATGAACTATTAACAATATCTTATGTAATTAGAACTATGATGGCACATGGTCAAAAACTTTTACTTAAATGTCTTACGAATATTTATATGAAACCATACTACGCCGGCAGGAAGTGCATTATAGGCGAATATATTCATTCATAAGCAAACTATTTATGTGACAATCAAACATGCTCGACAGCGAACATTTTCAAACAACTGTTGGTCGTTCAAGAGTGCTGTCAATTCCCGTTTCGGAAAATGTAGCTATAGCCGATGCTAACAATATTTGCTAAATAAAAAAATGTGTTAAAATTTGAATCTAATTTTTTTCCATGTTTTCTGTAAAAAGATATACAAAAATTAAAGAAATAAAACAATATGGATTTTCTTTTTATAAATTTGTTTCAAATTGTTAGCCTTCTCCTTGTGGGATAGTAATTAGAGATGCCCTATGAACTCCCTAAAATACTTGTTTATTTGCAAAGGTATTTATAGTGTAATTTCATGATAAAAACATAAATATTAGGAACTATTTTTAATGAAACATTAATTTCAGCAACAAGCTGAAATGTCAACACTGCTAATCAAACACAGTTCGACCGCGTGCTGCTTTTAGCATGAAGCCGACCGCCGACACAGGCCTTTTCGATCAGCCAGATACTTCAATCCGTGAGATACTTTTGATGTGAACGGTCGTGCTACGGTTAGATAAGTTAACAAAAATTCGAAAAATTTAAAAATCGAATAGAGTTTTGAGAAGATAAATATTGTGCCTCAAATACGTGTTAACCGTATTTCAAACTAAAAGAAAGTGTATGTAACCCACCGGGTTAAAAAGTGAGATTAATTAGTTACTGTTGATATCAAATCAGTCTTTGCCAATAAAATCAATAAAACTGACTGCAAAGCATTGTTAAAAACCAGTTTTGGAATACGGGATCCCTTCTAAAGGTTGGATTTTCGGCACTTCGACTATGGCAAATACCCACTCAGAAAAACTTTATATGCAACTAAGTGCATCGGAATTAGCGGCAATTATTATGAAAGGTAAGTTCTTAAATTCCAAAAAAAAAAATAGCTTAAAATGCTGAATGTCATTTTCCTTAATCAAAGCGCTAAAAAAGGACGAGTTCTTAAACTGTTTAAAGTTCGGGGCATAGTAAGAAACCAATTTCCCTAACATAAATGTATACTCCTTACCACCCGAAGGACCTTTCGCCCCCACCAAACCAGACGATTCTGCGTTATCATAAAAGCAGCAGTACTTTGAGGGTGGAAATTTAGATACAGACAGATACGTAAACAACGCCAACCATTTGTCGCCACTGTATTTCAACTTTGGGATTGTAGCGCATACATATACATATATGTCAGCCAGGCACTTTGCGCGCTATGGCGAATTTGGAACGACGATGTCGCCAGACATATTGGCGATTTGTCTATTTGTCAAGCTGGCCAACTGGCAGGCTTCGCCATCTTTTACCACCGCAAGCTGACTCTAATAGAATGCTGGCATTGCTTGAACTATTTATTTTTTCAAAATCGATTACTTTCTCGTTTCCTTCTTTTCTAATGTGTCAACAGATCGGAAGGAAATCTTTTGCCCGTATTTAAATAAATTACATACAAAGCAGCCCTTATAGGAATATTTTTAGTAGTGACCATTAGCCAAGTATAAGGGTCCTTGTCCATATGTGCCTCAATACTGCATCATCTGGTTGCGTTGTTGCGATTCATTCATAAAAGTGATGCGTCATTTTACTACAATATACACCAGTCGCTTTAACATACTTACATCTTTGTATGTACGAGTATATGTACAAGTTTTGATAAGAGGCTTCCCACACAGGGAATGCTTCCCAATGGACCGACCGCCATCCAAGAGCCGCCTATAATGATAACCTTTGGTTGACTTTTCGCGTGAATATGGGATTTTCTGATTCCTCTGACAGTTAATGTCTGCCGTTTTTAAGTAGGTTTTAGCTGATTTTCACAGGAGGGCATTCATTCTTGGAAAGAAATGCAAATAACGGGAAAACCGTTGCCAATTTCAAAGCAGAAGTTTTTTGATTACAATTAGGACCTGAAGAGGAATCAGATGCATACAAATAAAACGATGTTTTTATGGCCATAAAAGGCAAACAAATGCCGCAGATCTATAACTCAGAATTAATACAGAAAAATACCGGGAAAATTGTAGTGCATTACTTTTGGGAACTCACTTTAATCTGACCTACATATAACCCATGTCAGTCACTTGAAATTGGAGAAAAGTTTTAAGGGAAATTATAAATTATGAAAATTTCTAAGCCGCGGACAAGGTAAATGTATTGCACAGGTGTTTCGGTTTAGACGCTACCACTGACGGCGACAACTGAAGAGTAAACATTTGTCTAAATATAAATTATAGTGCTGAATATAAAAACCGAGACACGGGATGGAGCTGGAGATATAACACTGCTGTTATTTGTACAGCCTGATTTCGTGGACGCAATGTCAGTCAGTTGCTTTGAATTCCGTTATATTGTTTATCTGTCTAAAATTAGAAAAGATAGCAGAAAATTGTGCTTATAAATAGTTGAGTAAACATGCAAAAACATACCTTCCGTATACTGTATTATTTGAATGTCCGTACCTGCTTGACAAACGGAGAACATTTATGTATGAAGGTGCAAATAGGCTTTATCACTTTTTGTGGGGGGAAGTGTGGTAATGATATGTCAATTTCAAAATAAATAATTATTGATGGTTGTCGACAAACGTAAACCCATATGCATGAATGGACAGATGTTTTTGTTAAACTCTAGACGTTATTTCTAAATTGCATATCGGAAAAACAGTCAATTACGTTGAGTGAATTCACATCTGCTACAGTAATTAGGTGATGGAGCTACAGTTTGTACTGCGTATTGATCAAAATAGGGAAATACTCGCATACATCCTGGCAGGTTCTACTAATTCATATGTAATCCTAATCTCAAAAATAAGGCAGGCATGCATGTGCTCATACTCGCTCATTTATTTTGGTGATTTTATAAATGGCTAATCGGGTTGTTGGCTCCTGATGCTGCCGCCTGCGTCTGAACTTGAACTGACTTTATTCGCCAGACGTGAAATAAATTACTTTTAACAAGTAAGCTGCGTTTAAACACTGTAATACCTCTGGAGGTCAGTAATAAGCTGGCGGGGCTGGAAACAAGTTTCGTTTTTCGTTTCGATTAATGAATAATTTTGGTTTACATTATTGTTTTCGATCACATATTCCTTATAATTTTAAAAGGATTAAAAGATATCATAGGGTAACGGGACAATGAGTGGTAAGATAATTATATGTATGGAAATAACTAAAAAAAAAAAGTATTTACGTATGCACTACGTAAATCCAATTAGGATTCCAGCAGCTTGTAATACAAAATAATCTACGATTTGGCAGCTATTAAAATTTGAAAAGCCAAAGGGGTGTCGCACAAAGGCACATCGAAACCTTATTCGGCGAGTCTGTTCCACGAATTCGGGGGTTTTTTAAATTTGTTAATACAAAATGCCAAACATTAGTAACCGGTTCCGCTTAATACGTCACTACTAGAAGACAACTAACTCTTTAATTTGTTGTTATTTTTAGATTCACCCAATTCCAACGACCGTGATGCTGGTTTTTGTTCCGCAAGTTCAGAAAGCGAAGGCGGAGACGACCTGGTCGTCGAGCACGCACGCAGTGGCACTCCCGACATCGGACCAAAAGGAACAGACGACTCGTTGGACTCCAAACCAATAGCCCTGATCCGAAACAAACGCAAAAGTACGGAACCATCAAAGGTCGTTGGGTTAACGACTCCCACATCTAGCTTCATGTCCGGTCCTTCCGCCAATGCATGCATGAACGCGACAGGTCCGCTTAAAAAACGCATACGATACACCTCTTCAGCCGATTCAGCGGTAGTTCTTACACCTCCGGCCATAGACTCTCCACCGCCTAATAATTGTTTGCCTTCTACGTTGACCTTGGAACAGGAAATAATGCCGAACCCTGCTCACGTATTTATTCGCCATCCAGGAGTTACTACTCTTCACCGACCCTTTCCTGCCCATCCTGAACAGCTAGAGCCACTCGAATTAGTGACCAAGAAGAAGAAGTGCGTTGAAAACGCAGTGCCAAAAACGGAGGATTATTCAACCATGCTGAATAGAAAAAACCAAGCTCATAAAAAGGTGTTGCAGAAAAAGACGCCAAAAGTGTCGAATTCACCTATATTGCTGGACACCAGCCTCAGTGATGAGGACCTATCCAAGGATATGTCGAGACCTCACCAGCATCAACGCAATTACAAAAATATGACAAGGGAGCGCCGCATCGAGGCAAATGCACGTGAGCGGACTCGTGTTCACACCATATCCGCCGCCTACGAAACGCTACGCCAATCCGTTCCAGCTTATGCGAGCAACCAAAAGCTCTCCAAACTCTCAGTGCTGCGGGTGGCCTGTTCCTATATACTGACGTTGAGCAGGATGGCTGGAGAGGACTACAGCGCTGATCAATCGAAGCCGTCCATTGGCGAGTGCTTGGAAGCCGTAACACAAACGATTCAAACTGAAGGAAAGGTGAAGCGGAAGAAAGACGAGTGATCTAGCCTGATAAGCTCGATAATGGCACGTTTAAGACTTAATGCGACTGATTACTGCTACTGCTATAATACTCAAGTATGCTTGAGCTTAGACTTATCCTGCATTCAGCATTCCTACCCAAACACACTGAGCCTTAAGCATAGTTGAGATCACAAGTGGTCAAATAGCTTTAAAAGTTTTCAAGGCTTTGTTTAGTTATACAAATACAGTTAAGTCTTCATAAGTGGGGAAGTCAATAAGGCATGAAACAAACTATATAATATTTTTACAATCAAACACCAGCGATGTGATCCTATTTTAAAATCGCTTTTTACTGAAACGTGTTAAGAAGTACAAAGAGTTAACACTAACAAATTAAAAAAGACAATATTGTTATCTTAAACCTTAAATGGCAATAATATAACATTTTTATATATACCAAAAAACGTTTTTTAAAGATTTTTGTTTTAAACAAGATTCTTTTTTCATTAATCATACACCTATGTAAGCAAACTTTGCCAAAATGATTTAGTTTTTGTAAACTGGTTTGATAATTGAGGATTGACAAATAACACATTTATATTTTTAGGTATAACTTTAAATTAAGAACCCTCTGAAATAAAATACTTATTTTCTCAGTTTATGATAATTTAATGTTGTTAACAGATTATGTATTTTATACAAAGGCTAGTTGTAACCAAATCAAATTATCTTATTATCTGCATGCTATGGTTAAGAGGGTTCAGTCTACTTAAAAAACTAAATTAAAAGCCTTAAATATTTCTGCTTGTGTCAATGACTAAGTCTTTTATTCTCAAATTGTAATCTCATTGTTTTATATAAATGGATATATGTTTAAGCATACGCGTAAGTGCCATAGAAAAAGAATATATAAAAATCTGAAAGTCAAGAAAATATACTTTTATATCTGGTAAGGTGGTTTCGAAAACGACGGTGCTTGGAACGAACCAATTAGTCACCTCAGTGCGTGCGCACTGAATATTGCAAGCAAGCACAAAAAGCAAATTGAGGTGACGGCGTTAAGGGGTACTTTATGTCTGTACGTTAAATAATCTTATCGTTTGCAACAAGCTATTTTGTGGTATTATAAACTCAACAGGTGCGCACAAAACGACAGGCGATCGATTCAAGTACACCTGAACGCATCCACGTTATCATAAACGCGTTTTGGCACACCAAAGTTTTCTTATCAGGTTCAGAAATATATTTGTAAACTTATCTAGCAGGCACAGGAACAAAGTTTACCGATATCACAGATAGTTAACAGTGCATGTGCACCAATGACGTATTCCAAGACACAGCACCGTAAACTATGCAAATTCTGTCAAAGTACCTGCATTTAGTTGACCCAGTGCAATATCTAGCACAAATTACATCAGCTTAGAATACTATCAAAACAGGTTAATAACAGCAATTTCAGATCAGTATATAATGATCTAAGCATAGGCGTTATTCAACAAAAACCAGATGGCTGAGCTTGCACTTGTTTTTGTATACCTATTCAATTGTACCAGAATGTCCATATTCATATTGACATGAAACGGTTAATTATTTCAAAAAATAGTTTCTATTAACACAGCGTTGAAATAAATCAGCCTGCTAGTTAACAATTTAATATAACATAGGAACATATTAGCACGGCTAAATAGTTTTTGTGTCAATCTTTCAATCATCGTAAGCATCATTCAGAATACATTTACATAAGAAGGAGCTGATAACGCATCTATGAATTCGCATACAGGGATGCCCAGAATAATTAATTAGAATTATCGATGTCAATGAATAAAAGTCATCGCCGAAGCACTAAGTTGTCCAGAAGGATAATAAGTTTTTCAGTTTCTTACACTCGACCCGACTAGAAATACGATATGCACCATTTATTCTGCATTGCTTTTGAATTAATTAAAGTTACAACAAATACATTAGCATTAGCTGACGTAAATGCTGGAGTCTATTGCAGACACGATGTATTTCTAAAGATATGCAATTCCTCTTCTTACATTTCTCAATGAATTTATCATTAGGAAAAAATTGTTCTAAAAATTATCTATTACTTTTATAGACCAGTTCTCGGGGCGGAAACGCTACTATTTGTACTCTGGGGTAAATTTTATTACAAGTTATCTGAGCACTTTGTAAAAAATTAAGCTGACGTATTTTTTGGCACATTTGGCAGGAGCACAGACCTAATCCGTGCCACCTGACAGAAGAGCTTGTGTTTAGCTTCATATTACTGCTGATACTAAAGTAAAAATTAGCATTTGTGTAAACAATGAATATAAAAAAATGTTACTAAGCCGAACCATCACATGGCTTGATGAGATGTTGTTTTAGTCGAAACAAACTAAGAAAATTCTCAAATATTGGTTTTAATATCGTCTAAAAATAACACATCCGATTGTAGTCGCAGCTTTGAGTTATAGTCGGCGTCAAATATTGTCGCACCTGTCACAGGTGTGGGCAACGTCTATTTCGGGGCAGTTGCCAGTTGCGCGTGTGCCCCCCAACGAGTTGTTGCGAGGGTGAGCCAAGCATCTACGTATCGTCTTGGCATCACATGCTGAGCGAACAAGCGTGATCTTTTCATTAAATATGCGTAAAAATTAGCACGACCAATGCTGCTTGGACTACTTAGATAATTAACCAAAAATGTACTATTTGTTATAAAGGTAAGGCTAAAAATAGAAGAAGCCTTTTTGTTTACATGCTAAATGACCTGGCTTTTAAATTTGTACGGATAAGGGCCCGTTTTCGGCTCTTCCCATTTGGCGAATAAATTTTTTTTTAGCAACTTCTGATTGTGTTATATTATAGGTTGCATTTGTGATTAGTTAATAATATTGTAAGTTTTGTTATATATTTTGTATATCATATTATTTTAAAATGTTGTTGTTCAAAAAGTTTTAAACGGAAAAAAATCATTCTGAATACAGAATACACACTTTAAAGTGCAACATACATATATTAAAAAATGTTTTTTCAATATTGATTTCCAATAAATTTCTACACAGACCTTTTGATTGAAATGCAAAATGCTTTTACTGTGCATAAAGTGTGAGGTTGAGGAAAAAATGTGAGTGCACACGAGCGCCCGATTGGTTGGCGCCTAGGTTACACGGCACAAGTGACAATTTTAAAATAAAACAAGAAACGGTGAGTCGAGTGCTTCGACAATAATGTACCCGTTCCTCTGCAAATTTAAAAATATATTTGCCGGCAGATGATACTGTTTAGTATAAAGTAATGCATAATGGCAGTGCACCGTTTGACCATTTTTAAATTACCATATACACATTTGGAATATTTATCAACCTTATTATTAATTTTCATTTCTTAAATCCTGCCACTGACTTTAGGCTATGACTGGCTATAGGATATAGGAATAAACTTGCGCTTTGCATAATCTAGCGACAAGGCTAGTGATTCTGACCATGAATTTGAACCTCATACATTTATTTCAACTATTATTAGTCTTTGTCTAAGAGTAACGGGTATACCCGACTGGCGGGCTAGTGCCACAGCAAAATCACAAAAAAAAGGAAAAAAAGAGAGGCAAGCCATTAGGTGACTCGGCGCGACAGACACCTTTTATTGCACGCCAAGAGAACGACTTGCAATTATTCAATGATATTTATTATAACTCGGGCAGACGGTACGAGAACTCGAATCTTACATTTATAAGGACATTTATAAGGACATATTATATGCATTAGATTAAGTCAATCGATGATGCATTTAGTATTGCTTATCTGCAACTCAAAGATATCCACGGATATCCATATTGAAATATGACCCCATTGCTGTTGACTAAGCAATGACAGCATGGTCCCCACAGCGCACCGTTGACTACAGTTGCTAATTATCACGTAACTGGCTATAACCTAAGGACAGCCGCCTGTCTGCGATCGTTTCTTGTTATTTTAAGCGCGTAATTGACGCGGTAGACAAGAATTTAAATTGACAGCTAGACGAGATGGGCTAGGTGGAGTGCGCAGATGCGCAAGCCAAAGTCAACCCGGCGTCAAGTCAATCTGGCAATGTCACTTGGCGCCAATCTTCAGAATTATTTGTTTATATTAAATAAACTTGCCACTGATTCCCAGCGACAAGTGGCAACATCAACATTATTTTCACAATAGTTTGATTACAACAAAACTGGAAACAAGGAGCTACTGAATAATATTGTGAAAACAGCGAAAGAAAATATTTAGCTTCTTGTGTGTAAAATTATAAAAAGATATATCTATGGATGTCTTTGATTTTTGTGACATTAAATTATTACTGACAGCGTGTCAACGGCTGCTGCTATGGGTATTATGAAAGCAGTATTATTTCTTTAATCTTCACATCAATATGATGCCGATTGGGTATTGACCCAATAATTTAAGACTCAGCGTGTTCATGCGCAATGTATTGGCGCCACTATGTCCTTGTGCCTGCGTAAGATATATATGTATGCCCTGCTGGACCATCTCTTAATACACTTCTCCCTGCCAAACTTGCCGCATTAAAACGAGAATATGCACAGACACCCAAACACACAAGAAATATGTAAGTGTATATAGGAGGCATATTGATAAGATATACACTTTTAAAAGCTTTTAAGAATAATAAAATTATTACTATTCTGAATAGACATATATTTATAATCCAAGAACAAGTATAAACAGATCCTAAGACTAAACGTTTTCTTTATTTTGTAATCACAAGATTAAAAAACTATTTTAATGGTAGTTATGTTAGGGTTCTAGCTAATGTAGTTTAATGGAATGTATATATATGCGTATATAAAATGACTTGTAAATCACATTATCTTTGTCTTCGGTCTAAATTGATTAATCTATGGTATATCTAATGGAAAATTGTCATAATAGTTTTAAATCTCAGCTGGTTAAAGTAGTTATTGGCTACGTAGATAATTAAGTGGCTTCGGTTTTTCTCAATTGATGAGCTCCGAAAACTCAGACGTTCTTTATAAAGCAAAAAGTAGCAAAAAAAAAACAAGACGCCGATGCCGCCGGCTGGTAGTGGATGGCATGGCAACGGCAACACCGAAAAAGGATGAGATCGAACGATGTATCCAACTACCATATAAAAATATGCAATCAAAGAGTGTAAGATTGATCTCGGGCGATATTCTGAGAAATCGAGAGCTTGTGGTTCAGTCCGATTCTTCGTCCCTTAGTTGGAAGAGCAGGCATTCAAACATGCCAGTATAAATACAACATTTTTAAAGCAGGAGCGAGCGGTATACACATATGTCTGTACGTAAAAAATAACCTTCATCTTTTGTTTTTTGGATTTATCGCTGACAGCATTGAGAAAGAGTGAACTTAGTGAGGCTAAATTTCAAAAATATACTTCAAACGCTTTACATAACTTGGATTTATCTTTTATTTTAGAAATAGACACATACAAATGAAACTTCAAACGTAAAACTATTTTATATTTGCAATTCCTATATGAAATAAATTCCGTCAATGACAGCATGTGGTTTCAATCTTGAGGTGTCCTTGCTAATCCGAGGTCTGCATAAAAGACTATTTCTTTCTTTTCCTTTGGTATGTAATTGATTTTGACAGTGCGAGCTCGATTGACACTGCCGTCCGATCAGTAAGTGCAAATTCACAGGATAAGCACATACAACACACATATGGGAAAAAACTCATGGTTTCACGACATTTTTTCAATCGGTGTCGACGGCAGTGCACGCAGTGTCCACGCACCAATTTTTCGATAACTTCGTTTTTGGACAGTTTGCTGCAAAGCCAAGAGCATTCAGTTTCGCTTGATGCTTACGTCGAATACGAAACGGGTTGCATTCCGTTGACCATTTCAAACAATTGGCAGCTGCTGTAGCGAGCTCGAAGGCACAGGAACACTAAGGGGAAGTTGGAGGAACACAAGATAAAACCACAATTGAGGTTTAATTTAGAATGTACCCTGTGCTACCGCAGTGCAGAGTCATTGATTGGACAGTGTTCTTTGTGACACGAGGACACATTTGGAATATTGATAAGTCTTACTCATATTGTGCTTTGCTGGCTAATCGTCCCAGGCCGACAAGGACAACATTATGTTTTAAATTGGTGCGAATACATTTGTTACCATTTCCTTTTCTTCTCAGCACTGCCCGCCTGCCCAAGCTTAATATATATTTTGGTCATACTGTGAATTCTTAAGCGTAAAGAAATGGAAGACGTTCCAGTGCACAACGAACATTATATATATTAAAAATACAATAGACAATGGAGTACCTGGTTAGTTATATCAACGAAACTTAAATCACTAAAATAATCAAGGATCTAGTAAAATATGAATATCCTTGATATAATCACTATCTGAGCCGACCTAGCCATTTTTGCGCTATTCTTTGTCAGTGTATATAAATATACCCTTTCATTCTACCCGCATCAGATATAAGAAATCCATTTCATTAGCAAAATGGTCCGAAGCATGCCGACCACGTATAAAGGTTAACTATAACAATATTTTTTTAGTCGTAGTCGCTTTGCTCTTTCCTTTGACAAGCCTTGAGAAGTATTTGCAGGCTTTGAGTTTTGGACTTGGTTTATTTTGATACTTTTTGCTGGCATGACAAAACAATGTCAACTGTCTTGGGAAACACATGTAGACATAAACGTCAAGTTCCCAATGACGACTCTGGATACTGTGTCCTTAATCGATTATCATTTTTAATAATCAATTTCCGAAGCCCTTGGAGCACCTAAGACTGTCGGACTGTCTGCAATAAAAGGAGCCTCCTCTTACTATCCGTGATGCTTATGGGCAGACGATCACTTGATGTCGACAGCACATTGACATTTATGAGCTGGAGGGCTGCGCAGTGCCCTAGGCCATAGCTCCAGGGCGCACAGCTATTTTAATGCAGAAAATGCTGGACATCCGTATCAAGGGCGTAGCTAGAATTTTTATCAAAGGATTTCCTTCATTACTCTAACAGTAATAGGTTATTTATGATTAACTTAATTATTTAAAAATAAATAAATAATCAAAAATCCGCAAGGCTCATCACCGACTTCACCCTCGAATTCTGTGTTTGCTCAAGCTTAAATCAAAAATCAACTGTGAAGGTTTTTCGTCCCGGGCATAAAAACCCGCTTCCTTACGAGTCGATAGCGCTGACAATTTTTTTAAAATAAATTTGTGAAACATGACTTTTGACAGGTTTTATATTCGAATAACAGGTTTAAACATTGATCTTCACAGAGAGGATGTCACTATTACAGTCATATTTTGAGTTGCTGGATTTGAGACCGCTTCCACGCATTTATAGCACGTTCCATGGCGGTACGGACTTAAAAAAGTTTTAATTATAAGACAACAACTCCATTTGGCGAAATGTATATAATTACCACGTGGCTTTTTAATATGGCTGCCTTCGAGGACTACTTCCATAAGATTTATGTCTCCACGGATATTAACGATGTCAACACAATCTGGCTTCATTTGATATTTGAAGTGAAACAAGGACTTGTTGTTAACAAAAAGTTCGTAATAGCTATCTCGGCATACAATTACTATAACAAATGCGCCGCCTGGTCTAAGACTAGTATTTAGGCGAGAAACTGTGCAGTTAACCCATTCACCATTTAAATATGCACGACGTGTAATTATAGCCTTACCGATTTTGTCATGTCTACTTCTCAAGAAACATGGGCTAAAATAGAACGACACTGTAGGTTGCGGCCAAATTTCCTGCCCTTTCTGGAATGCTATGCTGAATCTTTGGGGCATCAAACGAACGCGGCCTTCAATGCGAAGTGCTCTTCCTTCAATGAGGCTGCTATCTTCCAACAGCTTCCCATAGAACGGAAGGGGGAGGCTGGGCTGGTAAAGATACTTTTTAGATGACATCCTCGCCAGAGAAGATAAGACTTTCCATTCGGTTTCTAGGTTCTCTCCATCCCGTAACTCTTCTTTTAAATGTGGAATGAGTCGAGGCATTGAATGAGGTAGACGTATGGGATACTCGGACACATGGTATGTATCGATTACAATATCAGAGACATCACCAAGGACATCCACAGCTTCCAACCATCGATATGGCATACGATGAATGTATTCCGCAAAGTGATAGCCATTTACTGAAATAAAGAAACACTCCTCAGTAAGTAATATCTGCATCCAAAAAGACTTTCCTCGGCTAAGTTGAAAGGATAGAAATGATGAATTTTCCTCGGGACCCCACATTCCTTTAAGCCGTGTATTACGCGTAATATAGTTTTGAGGAAGTCTTGACCCTATTTGCAGCAGCACATCGCAGTCTTCGCATATTTCACTTCCCTGTTTTGTAAGAAAGTCTATGGCAAAATGTTCACATGCATTTAAAATCATTCCGTGGAATACGAAACACAGCCCTGGCCTTGGGCATTGGGTTACTTTAAAGTGCTTGCGTCGATGGGCCGCTGAACGATTTTCATAGAACACCGACATTGCATCCATGGGCCTCCTTAGAGCTACAGTACCAGCTCCAGGATAAACGCTCATAAACTTGGATTCCATTATCAAAGTGGATAAAAAAAAAACAAAACCTTTTACTAAATACACCGAATTTGACATATTAGTACAAGATAGCCATCAAAAAATGTTGTATTCCTTCTTTATGCTGAATGAAGAATTATGGAAAGAGATGTAAACATTTTTGTATGATTATTTTGTATAAATATAAATAACACAAAGTTTACAATAATGAAAATTAGAAAATCTTTCAGTAACTTTTATTTAAAAATAATTTTTTCACAATGCTTATTAATAAAACCTTGCTGTTAATTATTGTCGCTTAGTGACTATAAAAACAATAACAAGTAAATCCACTTACGGCTAATACTCGTCAGTGCACAAAGGATTGTGATAGACTCGTACTTTCCTGCCTTTAATCAAGTGATTTTGTTCCAGAGTTACATTCCACAGTTTTACATCACCTTGTATGTAGACGGTATCAACCACCGAAGGACTGACCTTATATTTAAAATCAGTCATAAATTGCCGATCCACATATACCTCATAGGCGGTTTTTGTACAAACAATGGCCAAACTGAATGTTCGACCAGGACGGAAGTTTGTGTCAAATTCAGAACGTTCCTCTAGTGCCCAGCCACCATCGAACCAGGCATTGCGACAGACTACGGCCTTTCCTATAGCTCCACTACTTGCTTTTGAAAAGCGTGGGTTTAAGTGGAATGCTATGACAGGATGGGGCCATATATCCTGACCCTTTTGTAAGTTTATGTAGAAGGAGTGTGGCAGCAAGCGCACTCGCCCTTCAATCTTTAGGCATCGGCCTTCGACCAATGAATTTGGCGGCAGTGTGCCATAATATGGTAAGGTTAACCCAAGCTCGTTAGAACTGTGGCTACTCTTTGGTGAACCGTCCGACTGTGTGATCGGTGCTCTGATAAGGCACCACTCATGAGGTATTTTGACAGCCTCCTCGACGCTGGCGTCGATTTCATCAAACTCATCATCTATGTGGAGCTCAATGTCTTTTGTCGTTGTCTCCGGTAATCGTTCAGGGTAGTTTAACACCAAGGTACGCAGCATTTCCACATTGCTGACATCACCTTTGACTTCTAGAATGCATATATCCCTATAAGGGATTCGATGAGTGTAACTTGCAAAATGCTGGCCATTTACTGATATCATATAGCATGCCTCAGTAACAAGCACTTGAATTGAAAACTTGTCACCGCGACTTAAGAGAAAGGGCAATGCCGATGAGACTTCCTCGCTGCCCCATATGTCATGTACTTTGGTGTTACGAACAATATAGTTCTGTGGTAACCGAGGATTAATGTGAAGAGCAACATCTCGCCTCTCATTATTATGAACAAGGTTGATGGAGAACCTGCCAAGTGTACATCACAAGAAAGTTTTATGACATTAAATGAAGAATCATATAAATTCATACAGCTTACCTCTCGCAGTTAACTGCTAAAGTTCCGGTAATGGTGAAACTGACCCCTTCGCTCAATTGGCCAATTTGGTCGTTAAAGTACTTTGAGGCTGCATCTGAATATTCGTAAAATGACGCCTATAATTTGAATTTAATAAGCTGAATATTTAATCAATATTAAAGCTTATTATAATTGTGGACATTTGTCTTGCCAGGTCATAGTAACAATCAAGAAAATACATTTTTTAGATCTTATTTGTTCAAAATATACCAAAACTAGCTGAGCCTACTGATATCGTAAGCTAACGCCAAAACAAGTATATATACATATATGTGTCCCCAATTTAATTTAAACCAAAATTGCTTAAAGCGAAGAGTCATTTTTGTTGATTTTGTAAACTATATAATACTATTTCGACATAAAATGTAAGGTTATAAATTTATTTACAAAAAAACTTATTTTTTCAATTTTTAAACTACATACATTGTACATATGTATTGGGTGCATACCGCTGTGTAAAACTGTTCACTGTTGGCTTACCTCATTCAATCCGCTCTTTTCCGCCTTAACACAACAGCAAAAAACTTTCTCACGTATAACCTTTAGACACATTTTATATCCTTAGTTAGATTTAAAAATAAAACCCAGGGAAATTAATTCCCGTCTACTTTGAAGTGCTTTTACATATGTTTATCGCAGACTACAGCATGAAACACTAAAAATACATACTTATTTATTGTTATATTACTGCGCCAGTATAAAATATACTTAAAAAGCTTTTTCCAGTTGAATAAAAATATGTGCGCTTGCAGAGTTCTTTTGAAAGTATTAAGGAACACAGAGGAATAAATATGTGAAGGTTATTTAAGAAATTTTATTGGTCAAATTGTCTGATATTTGGCCGTAGTTGTTATTGTTCGGCAAATGCTTTGCGAATGACTCGCTCTAACCAAATGGAAACTTCATCGCTATGACAACGCCAAAAAGCTCATTTAACAACAAATGACTCCTGTATATCACTTAGACTCTGGACAGATGTGCTTACAGTCGCATGTATACAAATACAATGCCAATAAGTCGCTTCTTGCAGCTTCTGTCGATATTCTATCGCTATAAAGAAATACAATTGGGATTAACTTTGTATATCTATATTAAACTGGTTGATTTCGGATCGAATCTGTCGCGCCACTTTTTTAAGCCGCGACTGTGCGAAACAGCTGTTAAAAGCTCCCCGAACAATACAAAACTTGGAAATTACTACGAAGCATGCAAAATGTCAGAACAGAGACGCAGAAAGAGAAGATAATGTGTTAAGCATTGGAACTTACTGGTGTCTTATTGGAAAGATACACATCTGGTTTAATAGAACAACACAAACTCTTGCACTAAAGTTGTCTGAATACGTACTTTAAATTCATTTCCGTCAACCACCTCTATGTCGCTGAAGCAATCCAACGGTGTTAGGTGCCGGCCCTCTGCATACTGAAACCTGGTATGCAGCTCCCGCGGTGTGTCGCTAAGAGTATCCATATTCTGACTGCACTCTGCTCCCGCCTCGATAGCTGCAAAATCGATGTCCGTTTTCCGATGCATCAGGTCAACGTTATTCATGGACTGACGTAACCAAAGCTCGCGGCAATAAAATCGAAACAGTTGCAAGCGACGCTTGACTCGATAATACTTTAAACTTCGGTCAATATTAAATGCGTTCTGCCAGAGCGCATCTGACAGATCAATGAGTTCCCGAACAGAGTGGCAGACCAGGAGAATTATTGTCGTCATACTAACAAAATAAACTAGGGTTACCAATTTTAGCCGACGCAGATGTGATGTGATGGGCAAGCTTACGCTCTTCACTGGCTCTCTCGCTCTCTGCATACAATTCGGAGAGTACTTGAACGTATGTTTTACTGACAGTACATATACACACATATGTAGTATGTATTTCCGACACCCTATTTCGTGTGCCTATTGCGGTTTATTTATGCACGGCCTTTTCTGAATTTAATTTTATGTCGGTCTGACCGAGGCCACCTATAGCTCTAAACTGTTTATCGAACCCAAAATAAGTTTTTTTGATTGTGATAACAAGCGTTGTCCAAGAACACAAATGTAACTAGAGCCTATACATACACATAACTATGCACAAATACACACATACTTTCCTGCATATCTCTATATCAGTAAAGGCATTGCCTGACTCCTATTAAATTCCATCAATAACAAAGCATATATTGGAAATAAATCACAAAAAAATATCCACCAACTTACCTCCTCGTTCTTAAATCTCTGGTAGGTTTCATCATTTTCACGCTTTCGTTTTCCACAGCAGCAGCTCATCTTGACTTCTGTATAAAATTATTCTCTCATGAGTAGTTGCTTTTAAAAATGTATTAGCTAAAAAAAAATCCCAGCTGTTTTCAGTGGATCACATCTACAAGTGTGTGCTGCTGATAAGGCTTTGTTCTCTATCACAATTTGAATGGTAGTTTAAAAAAAAATGTAGGAATTCTAGACTTTATTAATTCAATCATTTTGAGATGATTTACTTACATATACACATGAAAATACATATATAGTTTTGCTCAATTTTAACAACCGCTACGCGTCGCGAGGCACTTCGAACTGATAATTTGTTTTGCAAAATGCTCATCAAATGACTTGGGTGATTCAGACACCGCTGGTTGGGTACATTTGTATACATACATGTATGTTTGTATGTATATACAAAGAAAGTAATCAAATTGGAAACTAATTGCTGAAACCATAATTCCAGCTATTTTGTATACCTCTGCCAATAAAAAAGTCTTTAGGTCCTCCGCCAAAACAAAACTTATATATGTACACATATTATTATGAATGTATAAACGTATTTTCAGTATATGTATGTATATACGGTTCGATTTAATTGTTGGTAAAATTACTTAATTTTTATTATGTTATCCAATGGTTCAATATTTATTTTCAACGGAAATTGCACAATGGTTTTGATTGAATAAAAAGATTGTTAAATATGGTTTAAAAAGAAAACCCTTTATTAAGGCCCATTTTTTAATTTAAGATTGATAAAAACCAAAAAATTTATCAAAATGATTTAAATTGCAGTGATATTGTAAACTTTATAAATGCAATGTATATGTATACGTTCTGTATTTATATTCATTGCGACCGGTGTTAAATTATATTTTTAATTCTAGGTAAAGTTATAATTGATCAACTTAATCAATACATTTTAAATAAAGAAAAACATTACTCTTCAAATATTTTCCGTTCTGCTTTCTAAAAGCGTTTTCGGACTTCCAAGTTTAATAATCCTAATCGTTACATACATATATTACATTTTAATTCTTCGATGTATTCATATACTGAAGTTAATTTAGAGTACACCATAATGAGTTATATTTTCGAATAGTTGCACTAGGTAGTAGTTCAATACGGGTTCTGAGCTCTAGTCATTGCTTATATTACTGGTAATATAACTAAAATATTTATAAAGTTTTCTACGTTGTACATAGTCGAATTTGTATCATAAAGGGACCTAAATTTATTATAAGGGGTAAAAGCCCCTTGAAATTATCCAATATTTATTCCATATTTCGTAATTGGTTTTATCAAATTTTCTTTAGAAAAAGAATAATAACTAGCGCTGCCGTGTTGAGCGCGTACCCATTGCATGCTGCGATTTAGAAGATGGTCCCTTATAGTACTTCGATAACGTTTTACTAGTGCGGGTTGGACGATTGCTGCTTCTGCTACTACAACGTTCCGAAGCCTTCTCTGCATCTGTCTTCAATGGCAAGTCGTCATCTTCATCCCATCTACTGTTTTTTCTCTCTTCATAGTCAGAATCCTCGACGATAGCATCTGTCTTTGATTTTCGGCTTCGGCGTTTTTGTGATGAAGAAGAACTAACATCGGTAAGCTCCGACTTATCACTGAAAAATTTACAAAACAATTAAAATAAACATCTACATATGCCCACGTATAACTAACTCACTCTTTAACGGATGTCTTGCTTTCTTCTCCGGCTTTTGAACCCCGACTCAGCAGGGCAAGCTCTCGCTCGGCAATTGCTTTCTTATGTTCATCTGCTGATTCGGAGGCGCTAAGCTTGGTCGTGGAATCTGCCTGTTGCTTTACTGGTTCTTCATGCTTGCCCCTCTTTAGTTGACGCTGTTGCTCTTGGGCTTGCTTTATAGAGCGTTTTAGCGCACTTCTAAGGGTGTCTCGCGAGTTTTCAGGAGCTACATTCTTCCCCAGTTGTGGGAGGCCAATGGCTTCCAAAAGTTTTTGACCGAGCGCAGCCTTGTCTTCCGGCTTTCTAATGTTTACAGAACCAGCTTTGCTATCCTCAGTATCCTCACTGGTTCCATTATCCGGGGCGGGCTCGGTATCCTCAGGGTTCTCCTCTGAATTTGTGACTTCAACAATGGGACCGCAAGTGGCTTCTGGAACTGTACTTGTGGGTGCCTGGGACGACTCACTTACTGATTCTTTAGTTGATGATATTTTCTCAGTTCTAATTTTTTTTGATTGCCCTAATAAGAATGATTCTTGACACTGATTTTTTGGAAACATTAAATCTTTTGATTCGGTCTTTTTAGAAACAGCTTCTTCGGACGAATGAATGACAGTCTTGCGCCTTTTACAAACTGGTCTTTTTTCTGCGCTAGCTAGCGCTGCTTGGGCCTGTGGAGATAAGTTATTATCTTCAACGCATTCCGAAATTTGTGGATCAACTTCCAGCGGCGGTTGCGGCTCGACTAGAACAATATCTTCCAAATTAACTATGTTGGCACTATTGCACTCTGCTTTCGATTCTTGTTGCTGCTGTTGAAGCAATGAGATAAGTGCCTCGTTAAGCGCATCGGCTGGATTTGACCCGAATTGTGAAATGAGCATAGAATTGATATTGGATAATTCGTTACTAACATGAGCTGCATTTGAAGTTAAAACCGAAATTTTCGGAACTGCCTCATCTTCAGCATGTAAATCGCGAACTCGCAATTTTCGCTGGTGACGTTTTACTATTGGAACGCTAGCTTTTCCGTCTCTTCGTTGAGGGAGCTCCTGCTCTGTGGGACTAGAGGGCACTAACTGAACCGAAGTCTCTGGCGGCAGTTTGTAAGGCATTGCGCTGGATAAATCAGTCAGCTTTAGTATATTTTTTGTCGCTTTCGAAGAAGAGATAATAGATGTGGTCGAAAGTGTATGCTGATCTTGTTGAACAATTGGAAGCATGGGGGCCAAATACGGACCTAAAAGTTGTGTTAGATCTGTGTCTTGTAATAGGTTGCTGTCCGACATTATAACACCGAACTTTGAACTCTTCAACCGTGACATTTGCTCATCGCAATTTTCTTCTGTCACTGGCCACTTTAAAGCCTTGAGAATTAGCATTAATAAGTCTGGATCCCTTATTACGCTTCCTAGGGAAATTGCATCAGTTAAGCTTTTAGCATTAGGCACGGATTTTAAGGGGTTCGGATCTTGCGAGTCAACAGATGTTGTTAAGTCTAGAGTGGCCGGCATAATCATGGTGGTATTTGATAAAACTTTCTTCATCGGAGAAGTTTGTGGAACTAGTTCATGATCCTCCCTTCTCTTTTTTGGCGCCGCAAAGATCATGTGCTCCGGCAGTGCTTCCTCTACAGAAGTTTCTCCCCCATATTGAGGAACTAGCGTAGTTGAGCCCAAGGGGCTAATATTTTGAACTGGTTTTCGATTTTGCGCCGATTTAAGTAGTGACACCTGCCCACTACGCATGGCTTGAATATTGCTTAATGTCTTTTTAAGATTCCTACTTTTTTGCTGAAACATATTACTGGTAAAATTCGGTATTCCGGAAGATATGGGCGCATTTCTGGTGGCTGTTTGGTTGCTGCTTCCGGTGTTGTCGTCCTTTATGGGAACATGTACATTTCCTGTTATGCGCCCATGCGTCTGAATAAAGTTAATTACTCCAGCAGGCGATAGTTTCGGGTCTGGGCTCTTCTTCAGAGCATTGGATGCCGATGGCTCAAAATTAAGAGGCACCAAAGAGGGAACTTGTTGCATAGAACGTTGAGCGATTGACATTGGGGTTGATCCGTGTCGAACATCAACAAAAACGCTCTTGCGCCGCGTCGGCGATATATCGCTCTTCACTGATCCGGGAGCTTTACCAATGCCAGAGGAGGAGGAAGATGCCAAGGGTTTCGGCCTGTTTATTCCACTAGCAGTATTGGTCACCAAGAGTTCTGCTTGAGGGCTACCGCCCACCTGGGGCTTGGTCGTTTCCGGTACATGGCAGAGCATAATAGGACGAAAAGCATCGTCCTGCTTTGGATTTTCGTCGTTTTGGGGAGAGGTTTGGGGACCTGGTGGCATATTAAGCTGAGCAGCGGCTGCTTCACGCACATTCTTCGGCTAAAAGTTTTATAAGGTGGTGAGCTTAACGTTTTGAAATGACAGACAAAAATGCATTTTACCAGTGTGCTTAGAAGAAAGTCCTGGAACACAAGCTGAGTGTGTTTGGCTATATTTGAGAGTGAAGCAGTGGCCTCCACCTGTCGGTAACACGACTTGCAGAGCACCTTGGGCAGGGGATCGTCTTCAGCCACCTAAAACAAACGAAATTAGAAAATTAAAAGTCTTAGCCACTTCAAAAAATTTGAAATCTGTTCTTTACATTTCCTTAAATAAACCCGTTAAATATATTCTTCATAGCTTTCCGCTCAATAGCGACCTCCAGGGCTGGAGCACAACAGCTTCGGTATTTTTTCTGGCAGTACTAAATTTTGCGTATATTTTATCATTAACTTACATTTAGGTAAAGGTGTCGGGATATTTTATCCTTCAATCCTTGCGTCTTGAAAATAAACACACTCTCAACCACGGAATTGGTTTTGTTCTTCGTGTTGGCCGCGCAAATGCGACATAAATGCTCAAACTGAGCATCCATGCTTGGAGTCTAGCGATGTGCTTCTATTTCCGAACTCAGAGCTCCACACGCAGCATATTGCTTGCAAAATACGATGTGCATTTGGTAAAACTCCCACGGGTGCGGTGTAAAACACTCACTATGCGTTCACGACGAATTCACATACACTGTTTTCTGTAGTGTGGTTTGCCTAGCACGCTACTTCGTTTTCATGAAATTTACACTTGCAATTCGAGAAAGTCGTCGCGCGGCCTCAGAGAGCATGCAAAACAAATGACAGAATGAAAAACAAATAATAACAAACTGTGGATGTATTGATCATTGAAAACGAAGAGCGCAAGTCTGTAGGAAGAGAGAGAGAGAGAGAGAGAGGAGAGAAAAACAGAGAGAGAGTAAAGTCAGAGAGAGAGAGAGGGAGTGAGAGAGAGGAATTCGGAAACTGATCTTGCTCTCGTACTGACAATTTGCTTTCTTCTTTTCACGTTGTCCGCAATCGTTATGCTATGTTTTTGGGAAAAATGTACAAATGTACATATGTAGTTTCCTCTGAATTCTTTTCTTTAATACACTTATTTGCAACCGGGGAGAAGTGTGGTAGTTTTATCGACTTGAAATAGACTTTTGCCACACCGATTTCACCAGCACTTGCGTTGCGACGGGAAAACGAAATAAAACTGAGCGAAATAAACGTTGCTGCTGTTTGCCATTACACTCACCACCCACCCATACTAGTGTATTCCCACACGCACACCGTCGCACGCAGACGGCTTACTGTACTCTTCACCTTACTCTGCCATATTCAATTTCGTTGGGCCGCTGATGGTGTGCGTGAGCCTGACTGTTGCTCGTATTTCACACTAGCGCGACATTTGTTTGTTTTACGAGCGCTGATGCGCTTGTGTGAGCGCCTGGTGTCCGTTTGCTTCATGGCTAACAGCCAGTTTTCCGCTCTATCAAAGTGGCCTTAATGGCGTATTTGTATTCGGTTGCTTTTCTTTTACCATGTTTTTCTGGCAGCCTTTGGAAATAATGTTTCAGACTTTCTTATTTAAAATAATATTTTAATATTAGGAAAATTAATTAAAAATGGTATTCACTTTGCCACAAAGTAGAATTAAGACAAGTTGCCTTCACTGTTTACTCGCCTCTAAACACCTAACCAAGAACTAATGGGAACTAGACAGTCGGTTAGTCGGACTGCCACTCTTATACATACATATGTAAGTACATAAACTAGTCGTCTCCCATTTGCGAGTCTTGGTGCTTCTTATTGTGTGGGTTATTTTTGAGCTTCTGAATGATCTTTCTTCTCCTTTGCTGCTATTTCCTTGTACTATCGTGATACACTTTTTTTTTTTACTTGTATTCGTGAACGTAAAAAAATGGTTATCGTTCATGCATGCATAAATACATATGTACATATATGGGCTTAAAGCCAATTCATAAGCATATTAAATTAAGAACTTATCAATTCCATTAACCGATCTTTAGTTTTTGAGGATCAGAAATGTGAGCCAAACGGCCACTTTTAGGCTGCCTAACCAACTTGACATAAGACAACACAATATCTCATTTTCCAATTCGACATAAAACAAATAAGTAGGCAAATGTTTTATCTTTCATGTAAAATTTTTGCAACAATAGAGATGCATTTTTATTTTCTACTTAAGATCATCGTGTAATGTCTTGGTATATTTCAAGACAACAACTCTATTTAAAAATAACTATATGTTATGGTAGATACTATTAAAAACTTTGTAATTCACTTCGAAGTGCAAACATTTTAGTTGAACATGCTGTTTAGCTGAAAGGTATGCAAGAAATCGTAGATTAGATCCATAATTTCTTGTATGACTGCCAAAAAACTTAAGTATTAAAAAGCTTCCTAATAATACAAAAATTTAATTAAAAAAAAGAGAAGAAATTATTATGACACGGTTATTTCAGAATGTGTGTCTTCACTTTATTTGCAAGCCAACAGACAACCTTGCATGTATAACTATGTTTAGAATATATGTGTACATAGGAATACAAAAAAAAGTCCCTCGACTTCTATCACGGGGTGGTTCACGTGTATGGGTTCGTTCTTCTTAAAAAAAGGGAGTATACTTGGCTGGGAACCCGAAGGTGTAGGTTTTTAGGTTAAACAGTTGTAGGTTTGTTGGCGAGTTTTTTAGTCTATACTGTTATTTTATCTAAATTAATAAATAATCTCTATATTTCTTTACAGCATACGACTAGGGTAATGCAGATGATGAAGATGAAATAAAAATGTATATGGTAAACAGCAAATTGCCTTACATGAATTTGACATATTTTTCAAACATATTTTATGAGCATACTTTTAGGCTGAAATAACTTGTCTTAAATATCAATAAATTCGAAAGTATAAAATTAAAAAATTAATCACACATACATTTTTTTAACCGCACATTTGAAATAGTAGCTATTTTAAGGCATTTTGTGGACTTACTATATAATTGTTTGCTGAGTATAACAAAAAATGCCTTCAGTTTGAGAGATTGTAAGAATGTATACATATTTATTTCTACTTTTAACCTTCGAAATGTTATACTCAGTTCTCGATATTATTATACTGATGCTGGGTGCGGGTAGCACATTGTGAAAAATATTTTGCATAGGCCAGTAGCTGCTCATACTCCGAGTTAAATTATAAAGGGATTTGGGCGCACCTACGGAATGTCAAAGCTGGTTTGTCATAATATAACATCAATTGAATCACAAACTCAACGCGATTGCACTCCGGTTGATAGGATCAAATATCTTGTATTTGGCACATAGCGCACAATTCTACATTGGATTGCTTGGGTGGGGCAGAAGATGGCTGGTATCAGACTTATTTAAGACAAGTCATTAAAGAGCACTCCTTTTTTGTTATTACAGAAAAGTCTTCAATGGATGAAATGCCAAGTATAAAATGTTTACTTAAATTAACAGGCACATTTACGACGAACCAGTTTAACTGTATCGCGATAACATTACAACCAAAGGACTGTTTAATAAATAACTTTTAAGTCGTATATATTGTCTAGTTATTTTAAGCTTTAAGTTTCTTGGTAAGTCAGTTAGCTCACCTGAGCACTTAGTAATGGAACTACCTATGTTCCTGACCCAACCTTGTCTCAAGTTTGGTAAAAGATGAATCAGTACGATTTAGAAGAAGTTTACTCTTCTTATACCTTACATTACGACCAATATGTTGAATGAATATATTTTGGGGTCTTGATCAATTGAAAATGTTCTGATTAAGGCTTTCTTGTTGTCTGTCTATGTTATGAACATTTGTCTGCACAATTTTAGTCAACAGACAGAGAAAGGAAGGCAACCGACTTTATGACATCCAGACCTCATAAAGTGCTCCCGATTGAGTAAAAGCAATTGCGTATAACCTCAGACAGAGGGCTATGAAACCGGCCAGCAATTTGATTTACAATTTGTTACAGTTCCAGTGGCGAAGTGAGTTTCAAACGGAGCTTACCACTCAAATAAACAATGAAAGTTGGAGCTGTCATTTACTCTGTGAATACAGTTGGTCCAGAATGCAGAGCAACCATTTCACAATTGTGGGCGGAACGAGTTGATGGCGAAACAACAAACAGATTGCCTGGCTCAAACGGATTATTCATTCGTTATAGTCAGAAGGTTGCCGATTTCGTAATGCATTGAGTCAAGGGAACCCTCGTATTGTGTGCATTTCGAAAGCAAGTCAAATTGGCTATCTGCACGGCTTTCTTCTGGTCATGCTGCATTTGCAACAATCAATTTGAAGACTTAACGTACTTGAACTTGTTCGACCACTGTTTAACGGTATCTTGTAGCGCTATTCATTCAAAATGTTGCCCTTGCCTTAAGCAGAAAGTAAGTGACTGAAGATCGATGAAGGGTCTGCCAAGAACCTGTAATATGCGCTTCTTCCGCATTGCAACGGCTGGGGCGGAACTCAAACCTTAAAAGCTTGGGCAATAAGAAGCCTGCTGGTACCTCGTTGGAGATAATCAGGTCGGTAACAGTCTCGCTGGCAAAACGGCCTTGGCGTAATACACTTTTGCGTGTTGAAATTGAAAAGGTAGTGGCACTATGCCTGGGAGTTGTAGTTGAATACTGCTACAGTTTGTCGCTTAAATCCGGTTTATTCAACCTACAGTGCTGTTCGTTGTTTCTTAACTTTGAACGACAAAGTGTGACAATTTTATTAAATTGGCTGCGGGATCGACGCTGTGCAGGACAGTGTGATAACACTAATACAAACTCTATTGTAATAGGTAAACTGTATATAAACTGTATTTATTGCCTTTAAATGGCATTGAAAATACTTATTTCAATAAACAATGAATATGAAACTGGACTTGTAAAATATAATAACAAGAATACATATAAAACTGGTTTAAAGTAAATGTCGGAAAACAATCTCAAGCCCTATTGACTAAAAAATAATTTTAGAGCTCTAATTAGATTGCACTGATTGATTCCGTTTGAATTGATTACTATTTAAATTTTTTGAAAGTTCAAAATATTGGTTCCATTTATTTGTTTATACTCACATGTCAAGAAAAAAATTAAAAGTCGATCATAGCAGAAACCCAATTGAGGCTAGGCAGCTGGTCATGCAAACCAGACTATCGTAAATTAAGGCGTGGCTTGTGATTCCGGAAGTTTTTGCCTGGCGGTTGTTCTGGTCGCCGGCACTTACTTTTCGTTTGATCTATACAATGGAAAAGTTGCAGCAAACTTGGAAAATGGACTGTAACCAGTATCTCGATTTGTTATATTCTTTAAGTTGCAGTCAAGAAGAAAAAAACAAAAAATATTGGGGTGTGAAATGGTTTAGTAGTTACATAAACTGTTCCGGAAGGAATAACTTTTATAAGTAGTAAAATTAATATAAAAAAGTCAAGTAAACATCAATTAGACAGTCATTTTTAAACTACTTTAATATTCAGATACAAGTAATTCTACCTGATTCGATTGACAGGTATAACTACGGTGTGAGATATTGGCTTGTGGGGACGGGCATACATACAGTTATACAGTTTATTGAATGTTTGAAACATACGTCATTTATTTAATTTTCATTAGAAAGGCAAACTTTATGTATGCCCATACTCGAGTCACTTAACTTTTACTTTCAAAATCCCTCGCAAGTGTTTGGTCAAGAAACTGGTATATGAGGGAACATTATCACAATTGAACGTGTTTTTCGTATTATTAGGTTAACAACTTGCAATAAATTGTACTACAAGTAGCCAATGTCGAATTGTATTGGCAAGGGCAAGCACCTAAGTCAGAGATGGCAAAACACTAAAAGCTACCAGTGTGCCAGAGTATCACAGTAATACAAAAAAATGACAATGAGTTAATTTGTGAAGTTTGAAATTTTCAAAGCAGCAAACTCCAAAAGTAGTCAATGATGCGATGTTGTAATAACATTAACTGTCATACAAGCCTAAATTAACATTCGATTAAACATGTAACAAAATAATAACTTTATTTCTTTATCTGGATGATTAACGTATGAAGCTAGTTACTAGATTCCCAAATTTACTCCACTCGATTTTACGGCACTTTCTTGCCCTATTCTTCTACCCAATGATAGGTAAATATAATATTTCTTGGCTGTAGAAAACAGCTTTTAGTACTATATGATGTTTATGATAAGGTCGGATATTTTTATGGAACGAAAAGAGAATTTCTGACACTAAATAATACCAGTATGGAAGCAAATGTTAAAAAAAGTTCTTTGCTGATCTCCGCAAGTTTGGTATATAGAACGTTCAATATATATGGTAGTTAGTTAGTAGTTAGACCGTATAAGTCTATAGTCACCGAAGTCAACCAACAACTACATTTTTTAATTGACACTCAATTTACAGTACAATTTAATACGCTGAATTTCCGTATAACCCTCATTAATATATTTTTTGATTGCGCTTTTAGCGGTCTTTTCCACAATGATTTTTTCAATTAACGGGACCATTATATATTTTTTGAGTGGCAGCACTCCCATTTATTCATCGAGTAAGTATTTTAAAATAACACAATGGAATGTGTTCGTAGGCTTACGGGTTATAATCTCTTTATAAAGAAGTAATGGGGAAGTTTTCAAGGCTTCCAATTTAGCAGACCTTTTTCGGTTTGGGCTTACTTGTAACTAAATCAATTTGCAGTTCAAGGTGCATGAAATTGTGTCTATACAATTGTTATTATATTTGAAACGGAAACGGAATTACTATGCGATAATAAATTTGCACCTCCTTTTCGATAGGCAATTAACTACTAGATTGCAAGCACTCATAAAGGTTAGGACTATCGCCGTTCAAATTTTTGCAATCAAAAATGTACGTTTTGAACGTTTTGAAATTGTGTATTACACCAAATAAATAATAACTTAGACTAAGCTAGCAGTAGAATGTTCCGGAATGTATGTTCTGTATTCCTTTTGGAGCAAAATTTTTTATTGAAACCTCCAGCCCTGCGAATTTATAAAAATAATTATGAAGGCCCTTTATTGGCCTCGTGGTGGCCCAACTGTGAAAATTATACAACATATTAAACAAAGTAAAAAGTCCAAAGGCAAAATACGTCTCACCATCCACTCACAGAATAAATCGTGTGAAACACAACCCAGCAATAAATAAATTAATACAGAATTATATTAATGCTCATGCCTTGCTTAAGCCAACATGTTGAGGCAGCCGTTCACCAGAGCCCCTTTTACTGAAGCTCGGCCTGTTGCTTGGGGCTTTGGGTTGGCTTTGGTTGGCTGCTTTGGCCCAGTTCTTGGTCGTTGCCGTTTTTTTAACTCGGTTTCACTTTCCATTCTATGGTTGGACATTCGCTAGTGTTCAGCTATGCACGGAGGCATGGCAAATCAAATCCATCAAGGACAGTTCGACTGGGTGGAAGTTGTTCTTAAAATGATTAAGCTGTAATGTAGAGAGCTATAATGCTTAATATGGATTCCGACGAAACCCTGGTGGAGGTAGTAAGCGTTCTTCCATCTGAACTCTCTGATTCGATTCAAAAGTGCACAACAAACTTGCTGGTAAAACAAAAATGGAACTAAAATTGTAACAATATTTCACAATACCCACGGTAAATAGTTGCCCAGCCAAACCGAACTCTTTGATCAGAGAGGGAAGGCGCAGGTTGCTGCCGAGGTGGTGGTGTACTGGTTTTCGTTTGTGTTCAATAAAGCCACCCAAGTAACCCGCCTTGTAGTATCTGGTTTGCAAATGATCGGATACGGTGGGCTAAATTCTCAATTTAGTGCTCAAATTCATAAAAAAACCGATTTGGTCTACAGTTCAAAGGTATTCTTGTAATATAATTAGCTCAGGAGCCACATATTTGAAGGTAGTTTTGTTTGTAATGGCACAAACTTAAGCTTTACTCTTACTTTCAAAAGCTTAAGAGATGGCATACCCGAGCGGGTTCAACAACAGCTATACCAATCTGTTACTGTAAAGTAGCAGACGGAGCCGAGTGTAGCTCAGACTAAACTTGGCCAAAAAGACTGGTAACGAAGCTTGGTACGGACTGGCTGACTGAACTTGCCGAGTGTCTCGAGACACTCACTCCGCACAGTCGCGTTGTATAGTTGCTTCGATTAGGACGTGTGGTTCGCTCAAGCGTACGGTAAGAAGAACCGCTCGAGGGTCACCCGGACTTGGCTAACGAACCGATTGCATTGAGCCACCGCCAATTTCGTGGCGATTAATTGTCAAATGAACGCGTCGAAATATAAGTAAAGCCCTCGAATTAGATAAACATATATATTTATATATGTATATAGAAAGCAGGCACACTGCATTTCGGAGTTCAGGCAACCAACTCGAGCGTGTGCGTCGGTAGGCTCGATTTGCGTTGAAAAGAAAGTTTTCACTTAATATACAAGCATCAACAAACAAATGAAAAACGTGCAAGTTTTGTTTTATTTTGCTTCACATTTTCCTCTCTATGCTCCAGACAAGCTCGCACATAGTTTCCAATTTTGTAGTGCTCGCGAGTACCGTATGGGTACTGAATCTGATCTGAATCATAGCAAGCGTCATATGTTTATTTTGGATGTCTCTTTGCATTTTGCTAAGCCATCTTATCCATGGCAACTGGCAAACTAACTGGTGATCAGCAGCGGCTCGTGTAAAACAAAATAAAAACTAAAAAATCGAACCGTTTGCCAAAAGCAATGGAGAAAAACTAAGTGTTGTAATCTGTGAACATGTGTGTGAACTATGCATTGTCGCTATGTCTAGAGCCAAACGAAACCTCGAATAATAGGGGCAGCAAATGAATCGGCTTACAACAATACAAACGCGTTCAAACAAAGTGCAGCCACAGTCCCAAGTCCGCAGTTGGGGCAGAAACAAAACCCATAGTCGAGAAAATTGTAACACAAGGCTCGAAAAAATCTAAATTGAAATATTGCGACACTGCCTTCTTAATTATTTAGCAATTGTATGCAACAAAACAGAGCTTTTCTCAACGGCAGCCACCACTGCCGCTGCTGGTCTCCCACGGCCAGTTTTTTAAACAAGAGCTTGCTTATTGGTATTTCAAATTCTGTGAACTAACCCAAAAATGCAACTGTACCAACCACATCAAGAAATTTTACAGTTACAGCTTCGACGATGCGCAACATGGATTATTCAAAAGGTCGACTAAGCATTCTGTGGCTGTTGGTATTGTGCCTACTGCTATTCAAAACAGGTGAGTAATGCCCACTTTTATGAAGGACAGCATCCAAGAAAAACAAATGAAGGATGGGTCTCTAAGTTGCATGGGATTGCGCGAAATAGCTTAATCATCCTATCCATTATATCAAAGAAGATTCTAAAAGTACTTAAGAAGATGTGAAGACGAATTTTGTGGTTTATGTACTTAAATAATATTTGCAGGCCAACAAACTGGTTATCAAGTCCAGACTCTAATAAATGCAGATAACAAATTTTCATTTATTTATTTTTTTATTTTATATATTAGACTAGAAAAGGAGGAACACGGTTTTAGTGAGACTAATTTAGATAAACAAAACCATAAACAACCTTTCTCAAACCTTTGGTTAAATCATCTGGGAGGCTTATATAAAAGTAAAAGTAGGAGAGAATACATTCAAAATTCGGTCTTCTCCTTACTGTATTCTATCTTTGGCTGAATGGAATGTTTATATGTGCATGATTAACGCTTATTCTGCTTCACCTCAAACATATTCGGGACTTTGTTATGGAAATATTCTGTTCCGCAAAAGAAGGTAAACTTGTTTTAGCATCTGCCGACAAACTCGTCTGAACTCACAAAATGTGATGTCAAATTTAAAATCTTGGAATAAGTCAAAAAAGACGCTGGCATCCGAGCATCTTCACACTAATCACTTTCTAAGGCTCGCGTTTCAACGTAAATAGATATACCAGTTGGAGTTTTTATGCATGGGAAAACATAATTAGGTATACAGATAAATATATGATCAGATCAACTGGTCTATTTACAAACAAATAATAACAATCGAACATTTCGAGCATAACAAGTAATTGGTCAGCCCAAGTTGTCCACTCACCGAACTGCTAGGTAGTGGTAATGGAGTTATGTAAGTTATGCCAATCAGCCCGCAGTCAACCAACCGACTTATGACACAGATATTAATTGCATACAACACACTGACTTGAATGGCATGAATGAGTTAAATAAGTGTTTGAAAAAGTGAGAGTGTGTGTCTCTGTAACTGATCAAATTGCTGGTATAATAACTGTTAATAATCTGCAAAACAGTTTTTTTAATTATTCGTCCATATTTAAATATGCAAAAATTTAAAAGAAACCCAAACGACGAAGATGCAGCAAAACAGTTATTAAGTTGATACGTTTCATCAGGATCAAAAACTGAGTCGATTCTGCCATGCCCAGCTGGAATTTCGGGAACTTTAAGATCTAGTATGTTGTGATTAAGCATGGTTATTTTAGCTATCGGCCACAAACCATACTTTACCAACGGCTGTTGCTTGGTTATTCAGTAAAGGGCGGTACAGACTTCTTATTTTAAATATTTTTTGTACTTACATATGATTTGCATTTGCATTTTGGTATCTTCATTTTGAAGTAATTTTATAGAGGTAAGGAAAGGGAAAAGTCCAGATCGTCTAGATGTAACTATGATATTGTAAAAAATGTTCACAATATGCCCCTACGGAAATATTTCCATGCGTTATTGCTAGATCACGTTCAGTGAAAACGTAAAGCTACTGGTTTTAAAAGGAAAGCATATTGCTTAAGCAAATGCTGACCAGTTGGCCTGTGAAAGGCCAATGGCGAAAGTTGACAGAAGAAATAGCCCGACAATACAGAATTATCCAAGTTGTCAATGCCAAATCCACTTGGTGACCACACCTTCGTCCAACCATCTAGTTGTTTATTACACAAGGCAGTGTCAATGCTTACCGTGCGAAAGTTTAGGCACATGCGGAAGATCGTTATTAAATTACTTGGCTAGGTCTTCGACTGTAATCTGAACGCTTTATACGAGCATGTACGAGCGCCGAAGTGGCGCAACTTCGTTTTGCATGCACAGCGGTGCACTTTCGCTTTCGAGCAATACTCCAGTGAGTTTGAGGCAAGCTTGAATAAATTTGCACACAGACATGGTAATCCCTGCATTTCGAAAGGCTCCATTTAATTTGCTTTGAATTGGAGTTGAAATTGTTGTCTGCATAGTACGAGGAGTACCAATAGACCACCAAATAGCAAACACCGAACTTCCCCTATACTTAACGATTGCCCTTACGAGCTCGGTGTTAATGGTGCTACTCACCTTGAAATGCACATGTTACCATGTTTCAGCTGCAAATTTTTTTTCGCTGCGCAATGAGCAATCTATTAAGGCATTGCCTCAGCCTGGCGACGTTCATAAACTATGTGAACAGAGCTCTTGACGGCTCTATGCGTCGTATCGTGGAATTAAATGGGGCTCGAAGCCGCTGCTCCACTTAACAATCTCACACCTGCCCTGTTACGGCAAGATAGCTCTCTTTTTCTTTCACCACAACAAAGACTGTCTGACAGTTGGATGTGTGGATTGCGTAAAAGTTTTCAAGTTTTATGATTATTTTATGCGTGCTCCATAGGCATGTTGCATTCAACAATCTGACACCAAAGTTTAGATTACTTGTAATTGATTTGGCAGACTGCGGATCTAGTTTTAAGTTTAAGTTTAATTGTATACAACATTTAGTTTAAAGACCAATAATATTTGTTTAAAACATTAATTACTAAGAGACAGACCTTATATCATTTTTAATCCACTTTGTTTACAATTATTATGCTTTAGTAGGGCTGTTACAGTCAGTAGGATTTCCTCTGATTTTAACTAGGATTAAAAGCGTAATAGCAATATATACATACATATTTCTATAGTTTCAAAGCTCGGTTAAACTCTCTAAGCTTCAGACTGGCAGCCAAGACTAAAATTATAAACAGTACCTCCTCAATCAATAGTTAAGCACAAGGTTCGTTCATGTCGGTTGCAGTTTTTTCAATGCCTCCTTTTTGGGTAAATAAATAAGCTCGTATAAACTGGATTTTGCAGATGCTCAATGCAACGACCTTGACGCGATTGCCGTTGGGGATGCCGTTTTTTTTTTGATCTGTTTTGGTTTTGTTTCGTGGACCGTAAGTATGTTTAAGTCGAAACTAAAGCTGAAGGCTCCCAAAGCCAACTGCAGTGAGGTTGCTCCCCTCTTCTGCGGAACATTCGGATGAGCAACATTTTTCATTTATCAAACATTTTGCAGCACCGCATGTGCTATTCACCTTTCACTTTCACCAACCACAGCCTGGGTGAGATGCGTATTAGTGGGCTCGCTTAAATAAAAGTTGACGGCTCCACAGTGACAAAATGTTGACTAGTTTGAAAGTACCAGTATCGATTAGCAATGCCCGACGATTGCATAACGGCACTCATCTGCGTCGTTAGGAGCTTCATTATGTGTTCGATGTCAAATGTAATGAGTTACAGGGCAAATGAACCATTCACGCACAGGGCTGTAGGCTTAGACTTCCTTTGGGCACAGCGGTTCTATATTATTTAATGGAAAACACAAAGCGGCGGGGCACCGACGGTCTGTCTTTGGTATAATTTATGATTAATTAAAATATAATAAATATAATTACCAAAATAGTTGGTATATAAATAATCTCTATGATAGCTTGCTCACAGCTCATGGTTTGTGAGTTTAAACAGCAGCTAGAGTAACTGCGATCAGCACAAAAGTCAAATGGGCTTGGGCTGCTTTAGTTGTTGTAGCTCCAATTATTTTACAGAAATGTTGACATTTAGGCCCCGATTGGGTAATTTGCATGGTCACGGTGCCGTCACCCATGAGCAGCTGCACTCACACTTGGAAGGGGTGTGGTCCAGTTAACCGCAGTTAGCGTGGGAAAACGATTGAGTTTCAGAAAATTTATTAATTTACAGCCGGGGCGAATAGTTCAATGTCGTTGAATAGATTTACACCTTATACTTACTGGAGCTCAAAATACAAAAATTCAAAATTTAAATGAAAAGGTCATTTTAGGTATGCATGCATTTTATGGACCTGCATGTCTTTTAATACATCTGCGTTTAAAACAGCAATGATTTAAAAGTTTTTCTTACTGTATTCCAGAAAAGATAAAGTAATCATTCGGCAAAATACCAGTGCAAAATGTTTCATCTGTTATTCAAACCTAAAAATGCCATAAATTTATTCTGATTCCACCCGAAGGCGTCGCATAAATATAGAGGCGACAAGCGTAGGACTGGGTAACAATGTACTTTACTCCCAGTTCTTTTTTGTGCAATGCAGACCTTCGCGCTGCGTACAGCTTGCTTTTTACTTTACGAGATTCTTTTAGTCTGATTGCACGACAGACATATTTCATCGGTGTTCGCAGCGCCAGCATTGCCATCGTATTCCACTCCATTATTCGTAGACGTGGTTTCCCTCCACAGATAAGCCATCTATGCACTTCACCCATGTCTCATATCTTATGGCATTACCTAACGTAGGCTGTATTTTAAAATAACGTACATTTTAAAACAATATGATTTTTAGCAAGAAGACTTATTTTCTAAGAGCTTATGTTACCAGTTGAAACAATAATTTATTTAAAAGCCAACAGGTTGTGTGAGCTAGGCTTCGAATTACTGACAACAATGTATAGGCCTTGAATTCTTTTGTTAGCATCTGATCGTATCAAAATATCATCGGATAAGGTTTGAATCTTTTACAGAGCTGAATTGGCAAAGACAATATTTAAAATACGCATAATTTATCGGAAGATTAATTTTTCGGGCTGGTATACCGAAGCAATCAAGCAAACCGGATAGTAATCCACAGACAACTAGCAGCGAACAAATAATATCCGCTTATGCGAAGACCAAATATCGATTAGTCACCGTGTTATGCCAGGCTACGGTAAAGTAAATCAACGCCGAATCATCGAAAGTTCCCAATAAAACAGCTGAAGTACAAAACAAAAAGGAAGGTAGAAAAAGTCCGTTATTACGGAACACTTGACATGTGATCACGAGAAGCGCAAATAATCTCCGACAGTAAACTCAAGTTCACAGCTCCAAACACAGTCCAATTCTGTCAGCAGAAATCAGTTGCGCCCTTGACTTTAGTTGTCCGATCCGTAGCTTCGGTTTTGTTCCCACATGCATTCGTTCAGCGCAAATAT